CAGTGGCAGCCGCACAGGAAGAGGAGGAGGAGGAGGAGGAAGATGAGGAGGAAGAAGAGTGTTCTGGAATGGGGGTGGAGCAGAATCAAGCAAATTGAGATCATATGGCCTCCAGACACATACATCCCATGATTAATGTCTCTGTGTCCTCTTCCTGTTACTGTCTCCTCCACGTGGAAACTTTCACTATCACCCAGAATGAATAAATATTTGAAGTGAACTATTGTCTAATGTTTTTTTTGTATTTTTATTTCACTCAAATTATAATTGGTATTACACGTTTCTCAAAACAGTCTAAATCTGACATGCCATTCCATGGGTGTGACTCTATAGCAGTAATTCTAGTGTGAAAGTCTACCAACTATAAATGTATACTTATGGTGTGAGTGGATTGCAAAACAGTGGTCTTGGTTTTTGAATATGAAAGACATCCAGTCACGTCCATCATGGCAGAACTCCTGGAATAACAGGCTCACAGTTTTTAAAAAACTCAACTTTAATGTGAAATAATAAATCTGGCTAAATATATGTCATATAATAAATCTAGTACCTCGATAAGACACTGCAAACAGGAAGTAACAGTTTTTTAATCGAAACAACATGACAGTGTATAATTAGGGCTGTTTACCTGGTCTGCTGTGGGCTGCCAAGTCAGCAGCCAAACAAAAATATTTCCCAGACAGCCTCAGTATGAGACAACCTTCCAGCCAACCACAGCAGCCATGAGTGTATGACCCCAAACAACATGAGAATCTGTGTTTGTTGATGAAATCTGAACAGACAGCTGTTTCTGACCAAAGGGATTAAAAGAGGTCAGTATAGTAGGAGTAGATATATATAAAGAGTTGGACCAGTAACAAAGAGGATCATTTACTGCAGTTTTGCACACCTTCTGTAACGCAGAACTACTCTGAGATCTGCAGATTTATAGATAGATAGATAAATAGATAGGTAGACAGAGAGACATATAGAGACAAGCAAAATGTTAGTTGTCTCTGCCCTCATGTCCACAGCTGTATTTACTGCCATGCTGTGGTTGTTTCATTGTCACCGACAGGATCACCACAGCCCTCTCTGAGGAGCCAAGTCCCACTAACCCTGACCCTAGTACTGTACCTATCACAGAATCCCCTGACTCTGACCTCTGACTTGACCTTGACATTTTCTTTTTTTACTTTCTCTACCCAGACTGTGGGACAAGTGGGAAAGTTCTGAGCTGATATGGCTGCCAAGAGAAAAACAAGATATGAGGCCCATCATCATGGCCACACTGAGACAGACACAACTCTCAGACACAGCCAGCTCCAACAGATAAACAGACCTTTGAACGTACAGAAGGTTCTAGCACGCCGATGTAGCCAAGTAGTATAAATGACTTTGGCCTCGGCAGAGCTTGAACGTACAGAAGGTTCTAGCACTCCGATGTAGCCAAGTATAAATGACTTTGGCCTCGGCAGAGTCCCCACCCCGACATGTAACCTCTGAGTGACGCCTCAGAAGTCTACACTATCTATCTATCTATCTATCTATCTATCTATCTATCTATCTATCTATCTATCTATCTATCTATCTATCTATCTATCTATCTATCTATCTAGATGCTACAATCCAAGTACTGCTCATGTAGTAAAACATTTTGTTTGATTTGATATTCCACACATGATGATGTCAGTTGTTTGTGTCCTGCAGCCACAACAATCTGATGGTTTTTAGTCCAGCGGCTTCTGGAAATCTCCACAAACCCACCTCAGATTCTGCATCACTGTGTAATTGGTTGTGGTTTTTCAGCTGCAACAAAGGCAGTTGTGGACAGATGAGCAGGGTTGGCTCTTCATAGAGGACTACTCACTGGGCTACTTACCTTTTCTCCCTTTATTGTCCAAAAGAAGATGTCATATTCCAGGTGTCTATGACACACAGGTGACAGGTACTATGGGGCTCGTCAACAACAACCATGTTCTGTCTTCTAATTGGACCATAATAATCTCCGGGCCAGATATAAGGCATTTAACACGCGCTCACACAGTGTTTAGTGTAGTCTTTGTCTGTTTTATCTGATTTAAAGAGTCAAAGGAGAGACGAATTTCAGGCTTGTTGTAAACAGGATAGGGCAAAAGAAAAGAAAAAAGAAAAGAAAATTCAACAGGCCTAAATATGAAGATCCTTTGTCTTACAACATTTGTGGTTACCATCTGTTATGTGAGTATTTTATACCCATGTATGTACGTACATATGTATGTATGTATGTACGTACATCCCCAGTCCATTTAAGTCAATAGTTTCATACATTATTGACTCATCAAATATCATGTCTATTTACTTACAGGTCAGCGCGGGCAAGGTGAGGACTATATGGACTAATTATTTCTCTCTGTGATGTCTACAAAGTGATACGTGAACTGGAACAATTGTTTTGTAGAAATTAAGCCACGGCTAAAAGTAACCAGTGCTTTAATCAGGTTCTCCTTGTCTCCTTCCACACAGACACAGAAGTTATTAGCAGCTATGATGGCAGCGAATATGAACGCAGGGATGATGGCAGGTGCGAATGGCGGCATCGTCAACCCTGGCCTGATGGCACGAGGCATAAACCTGCCTGTAGGGGCCGCCGCTGGGGCAGGCTTCTTCGGTCAGCCAATGTATGCGCAGGTACAGGTACAGTGTAAAAACTGTTCACAATGCAACCACAAGGTGACACTCTCTGACTGACTCTGACTTCATGGTGCTCCTACATAGAACGTTGAAATACTACTACTACTACTAATGATGATAATAATAATAATAAGGTGAAATAAAATAAAATCATGACATTTCTGTCCTTACTCTCAAAGCTCGTTCCTGGAGTCCCTGCTTTTGCTGCACCAGCTCCATTTCCTAATGTTTATCCTATGCCTGCAGTTAACACGGTAAGTATCAAAAACACACATATTGTAACAGTATTGGTGTTATGTGACAAAATGTATTCAATATTGCTTGTGCTTAATAAAACATTTTAAAATATATGTATACTTTTAGCTTCCCTTTTCTGGACTCCCTCAAATGGCAGCAGGGAATCCTCTCCAGCAGCCGGCCATTGTAAATAGAATATTGTTTTTTGTTTTTTGTTTTTATATTGCGTTTTACCATGACCTAGAAGACACAGAAAACCAGTGACTCTTTTCCCGCATTTTTCTTTTCTCTTCAGGGGGCTCTAGGGGGTGTCCTGACTCAACAACTCCCCCCTCAGGTTGATCCCCTTAGAAGATTCAGGGTGAGAAGATGAATGTTTATCTTCTGCAGTGGTACAAAATAAGAAATTGCGCGAATTGACTTTTGTTTTCTGCATTTATTTTTCTCTTCAGCGTCAGGTTATGAAACAGGGGGAGCTCTCAGAAACTACCCTTGATACTCAAGTAATTTCATTTATTAACCCATTCACAGATGCAATTAATTTTAAATTCTCATCAACATATTTCTTTCCCAATTTCTTAGATTCCAGCTCCTGACAAACAGACGACTCTGTGTGGTGGAGATGGGAAGCCGAACAATAACTAACAAAATAAAACACACATTTCTTGTGTTCTAATCACAGGAGCTTTTGCATTGAATAAATACAAATAAATTACGAAAGTAATGCGTGGGATACATTCTTTTACAGTAACATAACGCTGGTATTCATAGTGACTCTCTACTGCCATCTATCGGCCAATCTTTATATCAACTAATGCATAGTAAAATAAACTGTTACCGATGTTCACAGCTGAAATAAAGCAGTTTCTCCATTTTGTTAGGGTCACACAAAAGGTAAAAAAGTTCATTACTATAATAGTATTTCATGAGTGCATTATTGGAAGAGAAACACTGGTCTGGGTTTAACATGAAACATACGTTGGACTACAGTGATACTGTACATTTTACAATAAACTTAATTATATATATATTGGAGAATATATAATATAAAATAATATATATAACATATTGGAAAAAACGTTTGGATTTTTCTGCGTGTAACTTGCGCAATAAGGCAGACAGATACTGACATACTTTATTAATTACTCCTTAAGGAGCCTTTGACAAGTACAGTTCATTAAACAAGAAAAATGTGAATAAAATCCAAAACCATATGTTTCAGACACCAATATTTGTGACACAAAACAATGTCTTTAAAATCAAAGTCCCTGAAAACAGGCTAATATGGATGATTTCTCATCATGATTCAGCATGGCCCGACCTAATATGAGATTTAAGTCAGTTCAATGTAAAACTTAAAATGGAGTCTCAATATCTTAAATGATGCCATAAGCCACAGAAATATCACATCAGGCCAGCTTTTGTTTTCCAGTTAGGCAGGTCCATGTGGCCGACTGAGCCACTGTACACCACTGTGGGCTGAATACATGATACATACTTGTCAGAACTGGGCCTCAGTCTCTGTGCTCTCTGAAGAATCATTGGAGTTATTTATTTGTTTCTGTTGTATTAAAATGTGCCAGGTGTCATCTTTCAGAACAGCTATTTAAAAAGTTCAGCTTTTTTTAGCTGCACAAGTTTAAAATGTCTGTCACTGCATTTTATGTCATACTGCTGTACTGAGACTAGTTATTGAAAAGACATCCAGCAGTAAAATTGCCATTAAAACGATCACAAAATGAAACAAGAAACAAAGTGTCTACAACAAATGTACTTTTTTTTCCCTCCCCAGACAAGCATTACCACCTGTTACACCCAAGTTTCTGCAAATGTAGGCAAATTTGGGTCTAATTATAGTGGGGATTTGTTTTTTTGTGTGTAAAAATTGCAGCTCCTATACTTTTGAATCCAGATTCCTTAAGACCTGCCAATGCTTCGACACAGACCGTGTGTAGAGACATGACTTACACTTAATAACATACCAACTAGCACTGTGTTGTAAATGTCTGAGAATGAGAAACGTCTGTGACACTGACCACACATTGTCCAAACAGGCCATTGGTGGACGGTAACAGCTCACATCAGACAATTTATAAGGGACATGGACCAGATGAGAAGACCAGCAGACAGGACTGAACATCAGGAGCTCAGCACCAGAACAAGGACTCTGTGTCAGACATGATGAAGCTGCGAACCGTCTTCCTGTTGGCCTGTCTGTTGAGGACCAGCTTGGCTCTGCCAGTGAGTTGCATCCACTCTTCTACAGTATACTGTACTGTGTGTCGTGTACTGTGGTATTTAAAAGTTACAGATTATTTCACTTTTTTTTTCTTTTATAGTTGCAGATTGGGATTATTGCAAGCAACAGTAACGAGGTAACACGGCCACGGCATTTTCCCACAAAACATTTTACCTGGAATTATCTGATAATCTCAGGTCTAAATCTAATCCTGCACTTTTGTGACTTCAGATCTTGAGGCTGAATGGACTAACTCTAGCAGCTCTTGGACAAGCGCAGGTATAGAACTGAAGTCAAGAAAGCAAATAAACTTTGTTTTCCTGTGCATATTCTCAAAACATAAATGTCACCCTCAGGCAGCGTCATTCCTGCCCCCGTTCGTACTGCAGCAGCAGCAGCAGCCGGAGGTGCTCCTCACTCCACAGATGGTGAACTTGAACCCCCAGCTGGCAGGTCCTTTTGGTCCCCAGGGGCCTCAGTTCCTGTTCCCAAACCAGGGAAACCAGCTGACCCCTGTGATTGTCCCCAACGGCCAACAAGATCAGGGGGGGCTTCCACAGGACCCCAACAACCCTAATGTTCCGCAGCAGAACCCAAACACAGTTCAGGTACAACATTGATCTTACAGCCATGTTTTTTTTGTGGCCTCATGTAATAATGAATTATTCTTTCAGATGTATCCACAGTTTCACTACCCAGCCTACGGATTCCCCCAGTTTCCCAGGCAGCAGGTAAGAAGTCCAACATTTTCAGCAAGTCTCGTGTTCTCAGTGAAGAAACAAACTTCATATTTAACTGTTTCATTAACCACCTACAGAGTTACCAGTACTTTGTGCCCTCATATGGATATCCTCAACAGAGGAACACAGTAATGCTTCCACCCAACAATGGCCAGCAGAACCCTGAGAGAACCACACAGAGGACACAGCTCCCTCTGCAGGTCAGACGTTAAGAACGACATCACGGAAAAAGATCTTGCTCTCTTGTTAGAAAGAAACAAATGATCAGAAAATATAAAATATATTGTTTGTGGTTAGGCTTACTCTCTGAACCACCCCCCAAAGATGTAGCCTAAAGATAACCACAGCTGTAGATGTTGAGTGATTCCTGGACAGTTGTACTGACTTTGATGCAACAACAACCAGTAATAACAGTTTTCTGGTCAGACAATGTCTGCACAGTGGTGAGCTATCATCACAGACCTATTAGAGTGTTTAGTGATAACATATGATGACTGCATACCTTAGTTCAGCCATGGGCAAACTAAGGCTCGGGGGCTGGATACGGCCCGTTCATCTTTTTAATCCGGCCCGCAAAACCTTTCAAATTATATAATTTATTTATATTATCATTATACTTCGGCCTTTTCCCTGCAATACTCACGTTTCCCCAATAGATAGCATAGAAAATGAAAAAAAAACATTTTAGCATTTTAGCCTTTATGCATGACTTTTACATCATTTATCCCGTAAAATGTTCCCCCATTTCAATTTTAAGACAATTGTGGACCACGAGTCAAAAAGTTTGCCCACACGGATTATTTTGTCCCTTGAAGTTCATGTTATTCTCCTGTTGTTTATATATATTTTTTCACATATGTTGTTTTTCAGCAGGGTTCTCAGCCAAAGGTGCCAACAGAGAGGGTAGGTGAACAACACAATCCTTTTCTTTCATTATTACCTACAGTATAAACTACTTCCATAACAGTCATCTCTAATGGCTGTGGTGTATGACTATTACCAGACCTGGCCACTGGAGACACAGAAAGAGTCTACAACGATCCCCCCTAATCCTCGTGGTGACGCATCTGGCCCTGGAGTTGACGAGGTACAGTTTTTGACACACACACAAAAGACTAAATGACGTCTCTGAGAAAATTAATGACTAAACCTTTTCTCCAGGGTAATTTCAACTTTCCCTTCCTGTTTGAGCCTTAGACGTCACCGGGGGCTCGTTCTTCTGCAGAATACCTTTGAGTATTTTGAGCGTTTTGTTCTGAATGCTGTTTATTTGTATAACAAATCCTGGCTGCCTTTGTTGTTTTCAGAACTTGTCCAATAAACATCAGATACAAACTTCCAGAGTTTTAATCTAGCACACATGGTGTTGTTTTTTTATATATTGTACAGAGAAGGTTGTGGCAGTGACACCCATGAATTATGGAGGTAAATATTCAAACTATTACAAAACTATAAAAAAATACTGTATATTAATATTGAGATCATTTACAGTATTAAAAATTAAATAGATACAGACTGTATGAATTAAATTAAAATTAAATAGATACAGACTGTATGAACTCTTCCATCATAGAAGCACACAAACCAATAATGTTATTCCCAGTTACTAAAAAAATAAAAAACAAACTGCGGCAGATTATGAAATACACCACATATTATCAAACATTTTAATCATACACAATTATTTACAAAACATGATGACCTGCCTTTTAATAATTAATTTTTTTATTAACTATAAAGTCGTATTATTATTGTATATAATTGGGATGCTGTAAAGCACAAGAACATTAAATAAGGTAAATAAAGAGGTTTAAATAACTTGGTGTGACACAGAGGAAACAGACATTAAGGTCTGCTCCGAAGTGTCAGCTGTTCAAACCATCTGAGGTCATTGACCACACCTTGGAAGGATACGATTTCCTAATAACTGCAATTCGTCAACAACGTTTGTGGAAATATCTGCCTGTTTACCCATATATAAGAGGAGAGAGACTTTAATCCCTGACATTACAACATTCACACTGTAAGCCAGCTGTGAGATCATCTACCAAAGATTAAGTATGAAGGATTTTTTATCTATTTAATTTTAAAAAAACAAAACTGTCTTATCTTTGAGATTTGATGAATTCGGAACTGTTTTTTTTCCTTCTTCCTTTGTCCTAATTTCCAGCTGTGGCCACTGAAACCATGCTGAAGGTACTGCTGATACTTGGATGCCTCCTGACCATTACCTTTGGTCAGCCTGTAAGTCTCTTTCTAATCCTCGTCCTCAGATGATTGTTGAAGTTGAAGAACCTGTAAAGCCAGTCTCCTACTGCAATATTTCTAAATTCCTACAGATGGCTCACAAGCGAGTTGCTCGCTCCAGTTCTGACTCGAGCTCCGACTCCGACTCAGATTCTGATGAGGTGAGTGTCACCTCCGGACCTCCGTCAGCTTCTGTGAAAGTTCTGTCAGATTGTGTTTGATCTTTGACAACCAATGTCATTGCATTTCCAGAGACGTGCCCCGAGCCGGCCTCGCGTCAACCAACAACAGATGCAGCTCCTGCTGACTCTCATGAAGCTCATGAAGACCACCACTACTGCACCAACAACCACCACCGCCACCACAACCACTACCACCACTGCAGCTACCACTACGGCCGCCACTACAGCCGCTGCTACCACCGCTGCGTAAAACAATCACAAATGTTACCGTACATTTGGGCTGGATTATACAACATGGATGTTTTGAGATTAGTACTTTGTCGAGTACTTGTTTGTTTTAGGATGAATCTTTGTACTCCTAAATTTTTTGTTCCAGCTGAATAAACAAAATTCAATGCAACCATTTTGGCTCAGTTTATTTCCTTCTCTGGATATTTTGATATATATACTTACTCAACTGTCTTCTACTACATCCTCAACCATGGACGAGTGGTAAACTCTTCAAATATGTCAAAAATGTACTGCTTTGTTTGTTCTAAATTCAACTTGTTTGCCAAGTGAAACACTAGAAACACGTCTTGTTATTGATCTGGTGTTTGTCGATGAAGCTGTGTGAACAAAAGTGTTGGACGTCAAATGATTTGTTCACCGTTCACTCGGCGTTTCAGCAGAAGAACGTGCAGCCTCAGTTTCTATGGTTTCCTATCTCCACTCCTCTGTGATTCATTCAGCTTTTGGTTTTATTTGCCATCCCGTCCGAGCCACACAGGTCGTCTATTTAACGAGAAAATAAGACCAGAGGCTAACTACAAACACAAAAAAAGTCAGTCAATCGGCATTTTTTTTAACAAAGTCAAAAAGTAACAACTTTCACTTCTTTGACAACAGATCCAGGCAGAAACAGTTCATCAAACAGAAACAAACATGAGCAAAAACACCAAGAACAAAGCATCGATATAAAACTAAAAGACTGAACTACACAGCAAGAAGAGCAAACACTGAACACAAAGCAGCAGCAGCAGCACAAAAAAAGACTGAGTGAAGGAGGGAGGTTTATATTCCCAGGCCACCAGGTGACACCTGTCAGACTGATTAACAAAGAGTCAGAGGACACAGGTGAGGCTGATGATCCTCTGATTAGCCCAGAGCACTAGACAGACGTTGGTATTTTTTGTTTTTTACTTCACTTAAGAATATTGTGTAATCCCTAGGTGTTCAACGCAGGTTCAGACACACACTCCTGGTTTGTGGACTTATCAATAATCATAGACAGTTATTATCAACACACCAACATCAGAATGTCTTCATTTTCTAAGTGTGTTGGGAAAACATCAAACAAAGGCTACAAAGAAAAAAAAAGTATATTCCACTATTCTCAAATTAGTGTTATGAAAAATCTTATCAGCCAATCCAGTATTTAATTGATTTTCATTTTTTATTTTGATAAAAAATAATTTCAATACATACTACAGTTTTATATTAGTCTGATCTGCAGACATTTTGTTCTAGAATTATTAATTGATTATGTTTGTTTTGTTTGTTACTTTGTTACAAATACACAGTAGTCAGAGTAGTACTTAAAAGAACTCAAGTAGCTATATTTGTGCGTGTCATGTGATCACAGCCATCAATCAAGCTCAGATATTTGTATATGCTACATTTAAATCAAACTGGATTTATATCTGTGAAAGTAAAAGAATGCAATTGTTTAAGTGTGATGTGTGATGTTTAAATCAGAATATTTTTTATAGAAGAATACTTTTGTATTGCAACCCCAAGGTTGAAAATCCCTGGTTTAAAACACTTGATCCTTGTCAAAGCCCCTACATTTGCAACTTCCAGAGCAAATCCTGATGTGTAACATCGAGTGGGCGAATAGGAACATCGGACAGCTTTGATATGGGACTGTGACTCACCTAAGCTCTGTGAAAGAACACGTGAGGTGATCAACACAATGGTCAGCTGCAGGTTGACCTTTCATAGCACTCAAAAATGTGTCAGGGATCAATACAAATGTTATGAAAAGCACAATAATAGCAATGCATTCTTTTTATTGAATGGATAAATAATCCATTCTGTTTTTGAACCACAGAGACAACACTCACCAACAGATTTCCTGTGCAGAGGCCGAGACGTTTCCTAATCTGTAGAATTTCCTAACAGTCGTTTGCTCCTGGATTAAACTCTGACACCGTGGCTGTATATAAAGGAGCACGCTCCCCAGAACAACCATCATCAACCAACAACCAACAACCAACAGTCAGACATCTGCAGCTGCAGCTTTGAACACTATAGACTTCTTTTTTGTTGATTGTTCAGGTATAACAACAGGAACCATGCTGAAGTGTCTGTTCGTTCTTGGATGTCTCCTCAGCCTGGCTGTGGCCAATCCTGTGAGTGTGACAGCAGCACTTTTACCACCTTGTTTTTTTTATTTATTTATTTTTAAAATGCATTTTATAAGAAGCAAAAATGTGACTGTGATGTTTGTAACATAATAACTGCTTCCTTACAGCTCGAGGAAAATCACAAAAGAGTTGCTCGCTCTGATTCTTCCGAGTCAAACGAAGTAAGAACCTTGTAACGTCATGTTGATTCAAATCCTCCACTCTGTGGCTAACAGCCTTTCTTCTCTTTTTCAGACCGGTGGTGGAAATCCTTTAAACAATCAACTTCTCAACCTGTTGATGGCTGAAATAATCAGGGCACTGTTTACTACAACTACAGCCACAACAACTACTCCAACTACTACTACTCCAACAACTACCACCACCACCACCACCACTGCTGCAACTACTGTATAAAACTATCATTTACCCAGGGTTCAATACCAATCTGTGAAGAATAATGTACATGACCTAAACCTTAAACTCTGTACAACCTGATGAATAAACTTCTGAAATGAAAAGTTGGCCATTGCTTCTTCTTTGTGTTATTTTGGGAAAAGACTAAGTGAGATGTAGGACGTAAACCTTTGGAGGACTCAACAGTGATACAAAAACTGCTAAAATACTAATATCATTCTTTTCCATTATTCATTAATATAATTATAAACTCAACAGCACCATATGGTGGCACTTAGCTAAGGTTGATTCAACACTGTACTTATCCCCTAAACATATACAGTCACTTTAACAGTTCTTTGTTGGTATTTGATAGTGTGGGTATAAACGAAGTACAATTTGTTCAATGTCTATGAAGATTCTCAGGTCACGAACATGAAAGAAAGCAGCAGTTGTACAACAGAAGTTAAAAATGCCAGAACAGAGAGGTGAAGCCTAACTGTTCTCAGGGATCATCGCATGAAGACATGTGACCCAAGAAGAAGCTAAAGTAATGATGGACAATATAAATCAAACTGTTGAGTATCTGCTGAGAAACAAGACTGAAACAAGACTGACAACGTTCTCATCAAAAGGTACCAATATAAGAAAATAAAAATATTGAAGGGCCACAGCATCGGCATGTTTCTCCAAGTGGGTACATTTAGCTATGATACCTATGTGGTTCAGATAATATCGCAAGTCTAATCAGGGTTGAGTCAAGATGTAGGTCAATACCCAGAATTCTTTTCATTTTTGTTTTCCAAAAGTCTATGATGTTGGGGCACAGTGAAGTCACCCACCGTGTCACTGTTCCTCCAGCGTAACTGATGTTTTACACATCTTTAACTTCCAGTCAAACTCCCTCCATGTTGGACTGTGAGCTAATATAGGTCCACATCTGAATGTGTCCTTCCAATCATCATCCACTGTTATTACATCTGCTTCCAGTTCCCATCTTTCTTTAAGATCCACATGACTCTCACTGGATTATTACTGTCTTATTATGTATGTTAAATAATAGTAATGGACATAGATGTATTTTTCAAACAGGGTCAGTGAGGTCATGGAACCCTGTTTTTTGTAATATACCAGTCTGTAGTACTAGTTATACTAGTTAGTGTCTTTGTACAGTGACATTTCATTTGCGTTATGGTTTAAAACACGTTTGAACATCGTTCTAATTACACCTTCATTGTGCAAACCCAAACACAACATTGACCAATGAGCTCAGTTACTGGTGTCTCAGTGTTGTATTGGTCAACCTGTAACCACGAGGACTGTCCAATATCAGTAAAGCTCTTAATTATTTTACACAATGTCACTGTTTCGTCTCCTGGAGCAGACACAGAACCAGGAGCAGGTAAATACAGGGCTTTATTTACAAATTCAGGAATGTGCAAATGTCCGTTGAAGCAGGACTTGAGGTGGTGACAGTGGTGGAGCTGAAGCAGGGGAGCAGAGGGTGACGGTGGTGGAGCTGCTGACCCAGAAGTAAAAAACAACTCCCAAAACACCAAAACTAACTAGGAACTGTGGAATTACAAAAAGTGACGATGAGCTTATAAGCCGGTGTCCTGATGAGTTGGGATCACCGGCAGGTGTGTGTAATCACCAGCATTGACACAGCTCCAGTGACCAGGTACCTGTACACACAAGCCAAACACACACCCCAACACACTCCCATCCACCCACGGTGAAAAACACCACACTACACACACACGTGCAAAATAATAACAAGAAAAGGGTTCGAACTACATACACCCCCTCCGTCACCCACTAAGCCTCAGAGTCACATTGCAAAATGCCCAGGCTGCTCTTTGGTCACGAGTGATTGGTTGACAAAAACTATATAAAAGCATGGACACAGTCACAGTCAACATCCACATCACAACACTGTATTGGCCAGAAGTGTAATATATAGCCCAACATTTACAAAGGTAAGGAGGGATTCTCAAACATGTTGAATTTATGTTAGTATTTTATATTATGTTACTATTTAAAATAAATATTTTTTTAGATGGAGGTTTTTAGGATGAAGATTTTGGCTGTCGTTTTTGTCATGATGCTGGTCTCCAGCTCAATGGTAAGATGTTTCAACCAACTGTTTTTGAAAGTTCTTCTTACACTGGTTTTATTTAAGACACTCACTGGTCCTCAGTTGCGGCACCACAGCACAGCCTAGCGGCAAAAACTGCAAGCAGCAAAAACAATAACGTTTTAAAAACGTGTTTATTGTACGGAATGGGTGTGTAACAAAGTAGCATGTACTGTGAGATGTAAAACAAGGCTAACATTCACACTCAGAATAAGTTCAAACATTAATAAACTTTCACAATTTAATGCTTGAAATTAAACAGTGTGTTTTTCTTAAAGGCAAAACCAACGCATGTGATTGAAAAGCGCTCCAGTGAAGAGGTCAGTTTAAGATTTTACAACATGTAAATGAGAAAAACTTTTTTTTTTAATGAGTGAAAAACAAACAAACTTGTGTTTATCCTCTTCTCCTCCTGTTTACAGAGAACACAGTCTTCTACTTCCACCTCCACTATTTCTCAATTTGTGACTCAGCTGACTCAGCTGCTCCAGCTCATCAATCTCATCAGGGGTGTCCAGGCTGCGGGTTGAGCTCCCAGACGAGATGACACTGTGGATGAGAAAAGAACCCACGCACAAATAAAGCAATAAAGAAACTTTAAATTGCAATTCACTCACTGGTTTTTGTTTTAGAGTAAGGATCATCAAGATCAATCAATCAATCTATTTATGTTTTATTCATTTGCCTTTCTATTTGTTGTTGACCAAAAAACATGAAGGGCGTGGTCTGCCTGTGCACCCTCAGGTTTGTTGTCAACAGGGATAAATAAAGAGTGATTCATTTTGGTTCCTCCGGTGGTAACAACAGGACTCCCTTTGCTGTTTCAACTGTGAGATATGTGGGTTACAAAGACTCACACAGTAAATTTCCTCATTGTGGGACAAATAAGATACTTTTTTTGTTCATGTTTTTTATTTATTTATTTATTTATTTAACCAGCATAGATAAATGGTTTTATTTTGGCTAACGTTGACTACAGTAAATCACGATCCTCCAGCATGTTGTCTGATGGATTCTTTTTATGGGCTGTCAAATGATTACACTTTTTAATAACATGAATAATTTTTATATCCAACACAGATGCACCTTTAAACAAATGAACAAGAAAACGTTTTAGCGGTCAGCTGTGCCTTTCCCGTTTTTAAAAATCTAACATGTCTGTTGACTTTTTAATTTTGACAGATTTTCTTTGTCAATTTCTGCAACACTTGACTTTGGCACAAAACACAATAAAATCCTGAGGGTGATCATTATATTACAGGCTTGCGGAACGCACACTACGCATCATAAAACCTCTTGCCAAATAGATTTTTATATGGACTGTTTGTCTCAGCAGCGATGATCACAACACTGACAGACTTTCCACGCTCCTCTCCGAGGACACAGCTGTTTTTGTCTAATACTAAAAGTAGACGTTCAGACTGGGTTTGTTTAACAAAAAAAAAAAGACTCAGCATAATCTATGTCGGCACGAAATGGTACTCTCTCTTTAGCATATCAATCAACTTTTAGCTTCTGAGAATTTTCCCCACTTTTCCTACATTTATTCCTGATGCACAAGGATGAAATCACTGGCCTCGTTCATTTCTTGGAAAAATATGCACAATACACCAGAGTTATTGCGCTGTGAAAATGCTGATTGGTCAGAGCTGTTTTCTGTTTCTCTAGTAATGCTCTTTGGTTTTCCTGGCTGCCGAATACAGCCTCATATTTTCCCCCACAGATGTGAGAGTGGGCAACATTACATTACAGCTTTAAGCCCATGAACCAGTATAAATAATAGAAACAGTCATATCCAAAGAAATGGAAACGGCTGCAAAAGTAGGAATCTAAGAGTATTAAGTCCCGTTGGTGGATAGCATTATGGTCACTAATGAAGGTAAGACCCCAACGTTCTTCTCAGATATGGGGGTCTTCACACTTTAAACCCAATGCTCAGTATTTTGAGCTTACTTTACATCTCTTGATGTAAAGATAAGATCTATGATTCAGTAAAAAAGGAAAATCTTTGCATGACTTTTGCAGCAGGTCATAAAACCTAATGACTGCTGTGGAGGACATAAATGAGGTCCACCAAGAGTAAACAAGATGATTACAGTGTTTCTAAAGGATTGAGCAAGTATCGCCTTGCAGGTGGAAATACAGCCCCAGGCGGCAGACTCACAGTTACACAAGTACAGAAATAAAAAAACAAATAAAAAAACCCTGACATTGATCATCACTGAGAACCACAGGAAATATTTGGCAATATTTTTATGATACATTACAATTACACTAGTTGAGTTTCTCTAATTTGACTCAGATAAGAAGTTAAATACAGCTAACATTGAGTAATATACACCACAGGCTGTGAGCAGTGTGTTGACGTTTGGTAAAAATGTTTAATAAAGATTTGGACGTACAAATAAAAGAAGATAAAGAAATAACACAGACCAGTTGAGTAATGATAATATGTTCACGCCTATTTTGGTTTTGTCTCCGGAGGCTGACTGCGACAACCACACGAGATGAAGCAATATGGCTCCATAGTGCCAGACTATTGTGGGCGCGTGAAAGCTGTTTAAAAGCTAATGAAGTTTTCCAAAGTGACCAGCTTAAAGGAAGAGAGCCTACCTTTGATACACAGACGAGAAGGACTTTTTTACCTATCGAGGGAATTTCAATTTCAGGCAACATGATTTTCCTTCTGACGATTCTCTTCTTCATTGTTTCCCCTGTAGCTGTAAGTATGAAAAATACATTTCTTAAAAGGCTCAGATTGATCTCATTAAATCTACAAGTGCTGCGGCAGAAGACGAGGAACAAATAATGTCTGATTTCTGATGCTTTCAGAATTGTCACCGTTATTACCGTAGCGATTCAGACAGCGATGAGGTAAGAACAATTTCTTCACACTCCAGCAGTGAGTCTGACAGTGATGAGGTAGGAACGTTTCCCGAATTCACTTTACAAAGCAAAAGTACAATTTACTTTTTTTTTGTAAAAAAACTGCTAAAAATACATTTTGTATTGTCTCAGGGAGGCTATCATTTCCCAGGGCTCTGGCCGTCCTTCCCCCTCTGGCCCCTGTTCCCTGGTCTATGGCCACAGCCGCCACCTCCTCCTGTTCCTCCTCCACCTCCACCTCCACCTCCACCGCCAGCTCCAACGACAACCACAACTACAAGGACCACACAGACTACAACTACTACCACCACAGAGGCCCGAGGGGACAGTGACTGAGAGGACAGACGTAGCTGCAACTCAGATAGTACTAGGAAAAAAACTATATATATATATATATATATGTGTGTGTGTGTGTGTGTGTATAAAACGATAAGCACTGACTAAGTTTTCTTTTTTTTTCCATTTCAGTATTGGTTTCGTAACCTTCACACCTCTTCCATGCCTGTCATTGTGATTATTCATTTTTCAAATCGCATTTTATAATATTTTTTATCAGATGATCTCACACCTTTATAGTTAGTTAATTAAAGTATACATTTTAAATAAACATAGTGTTCAAGTGAATTGCATTTGGAATAAAATATGCAGAATATATGTGGTAATTTAGTCTGGGTGTTAATGCAGGAGACCTGTGGGAGGAGGTTGATTAGAAGCCGCTGTGTCATCCATTCTGCAGGTGAACACATCACTGCTGCTGGATGAAGACAGCTTAGGAGTGGGATGAGTGGTTAAGCCCATAATACCCAACTATCCAGTCGTATTCTTTCATGACTCTGCTCCTTTACTGCACTGCGCTGCTGAAATGTACCTCTGCGTGTCCCTTCATTTGTGATTTTGCACAACTGCTGTCTCTGAATGTGATTCTGATTTCACTTGCTTCTGTGCGAAAGTGTCTGACTACGAACATGTGAACAGGTATGAGAGCTTCACCACGGTGTTGTGTTTAAGCCAGAGAATAAATAAAGAATTTGGATTCAGTCTCTTTGTGTCTACAAATGGAAACGCACAAGTCCGTAAAACATGTGGTGTTTACAAATGAGACCAACGATCGTAGTTCTTTATTTCTGACAAATCAGGAACGGAACCACATCATTGGCATCACGCAGAGTGAGGTTTTTAAATAATCAAAAGTATTTTTTTCCTTTTCTACCTCCAACTGATGCACAGCGGAATGGCATTTCTGAGTGGTAACAAAATATCAACGTCTTTTCAAGTGTACACTTGCATTTTTTAAAGGATTCATGCGATCGTTACATCTCTTACACTTCTCTGTTTCCAAACAGTTTTCTTCATTGTCTGGGTTTTTGACACATTTTTTCAAACAATTTCAAACAAAGGGCAAAGAAAAAGTGAAGTAGAGAGTAAAACACCTTACCCCTGGAGTGCGCCATCTATTGGGGAAATGCAGGCATTGGAGGGTAAAGGAAGGAAGTCTACCGATAAGATAGTTCACAGAAATAATATAATTTGGACAAATTCATGGGGGTCAAAAAGGGAGATTAAAGAGACCAATGGGCCGAATCTGACCCCCGGGCCGTAGTTTGCCCATGCCTACTGTGGACTTTACTCTACTCTTCAGACGTGTTCTAGAACAGTGTTTCCTAAACTATCTAAACAAATGATCCACCAATGACCCATGTTCTAGAAGACTGTGTCAAGATTCACAGTAATGACTCAGATCTGCAAACTTAATAAATTATTAAATGATTAATCGTGATTAATGCACAGATACCTTCTGGTGAATCAGATTAAAAACTAAATGAATCATTTTATAGCCCTTGTATTTACATGTCAAACTGAAGCAGTCCAATAACCAAATGTTGGCCGGGTCTAAACCCACAAATGTTACTGGTTTAGACCTGACCAACATTTGGTCAAGGAACCCACACAGATTTACACATGGACTAATATGTACTGCAAGGATTTGTTCCCAGCAGTAAACCTAAAACCCAGTCTATACTATACTTGCAGTACTGTATAGGTCGTCTATGTAAACCCATGTTGTAAAAACCTCACTCACTCTTACCAGTCCAGTTCTGTTGTTTTATATTTGAAATTGATTCCTGACTGAACCACGATGCCGTTTTTACCCTTCTATTTTCTCACTAATGTCTTTTCACGGTTGTTGCGCTCTCTGTGCATTTGTTCTGACCATAATTACAACATTGAGACATCAGCCGCGCCCACGGAGGCCGTGAGTGAGGAACCTACGAGGCCCTAATTCTACCGTGTTTGTTTATACTACCCTTCAGACATTACTGCATTGTAAATGAGGGAAAACAGACGTTTTAATACATCCAGGGTTTTTCTGTCTACCTCCCCGCAGCATTCACACCAAAAGTCCCATTCGTCTTTTTTCCTGCTACGTGATTGGTTGTTTCAGTCTGTGAGGAGAGCATAAGTCACTGCTGCCTCTCCTGTCCTTCCATTCAATTTACTTCAAGTGGTCTCAGAGGACATTTTTACCTGCTTCCATTGATCTCTCAGGATCATTCTGAGACTGTATTGATTTTTTTTTTCTAAAAATGATTGCTCTGATCCTATTGTCGTGTTTCACTCAGACATTATCTGCATTACCAGTAAATAGACTAATTCATTAATGTCTTTTACATTGCTTGATTTCTGAACCGATTAGTGATTTCTCTTCATTTCTTTTCAGGTTAATACAAATGTCCATCCTCCATCGCTGTCACAAGGGGGAGCACCACACCTTCAGCCTGTTGAAGCCACAAATGTGAACCAGGAATCTCAGACTCCAGCTCCGCTTTTACCTGGGCTGAGGCAAACTCAACCTGAGGTTCCCAATATGCTGAGGCCTGAGGTGGAGCCCCAGCAGATGGTCCCCCAAGTTTGGCCCCAGCAGATGGTCCCCCAAGTTTGGGCCCAGCAGATGGTCCCCCAAGTTTGGCCCCAGCAGATGGTCCCCCAAGTTTGGGCCCAGCAGATGGTCCCCCAAGTTTGGCCCCAGCAGATGGTCCCCCAAGTTTGGGCCCAGCAGATGGTCCCCCAAGTTTGGCCCCAGCAGATGGTCCCCCAGGTTGGGCCCCAGCAGATCGTCCCCCAGGTTGGGCCACAGCAGATGGTCCCCCAGGTTGGGCCCCAGAATCTGGGTCCCCAGGCTGGAGTCCAGGCTTTTTCTCCAATGCAGCCCTACCCCTGGTCTGCACTCGGAATGATCATCCCTGTGCAGCCCGGCATGTACGGACCCCAGGCTGCGAACCAGCCGTCACCTCAACAGCATCCGCTGGTAGGACATGAACAAAGCCAGTAAAGAAAGCACAGCTGGTAACAGCTTCTTCCTAACTTCTTTGTCAAACCAATAACCAGTTGTTGGTTTGTTGCTTTTGTTTTTCAGCTTTTCCCTTCCTACGGATACTACCCTATGTTTTCACACTACATCAACAACCACCAGGTAATGCAGTGTTTAAGTAAAGAACACACTGTCTGCACCGCGGTGCATAGACTAACTCTTGTAACAACGGCTTGCGTGTGAGATCTTATAGGGTGCAGGAGATAAGAGCAGGAGTGTGGGATCTTATTTTCTCCATCAACAGGTACCTTTAGGATACGCCAACAACCTGAGAGTCTTTCATAACCCACTGTGGGGCGAAGCACAGATGTGTGATTTATGACTCTATAATGGTGGCGTAGATTGTGTTTTGCTTGTATGTGATTTTCTGCCACAGGTGGTATTGACTGATGTCAAGTGTAGGAGGGGTTTACATTCTTTGGTTCTTGCATTGATGGAAATTGTTATTAAAATGCCACATTGCAGCCTCCTTCTCCCTATGGATTCCCGAATGTTCTTCAAGCGCCTCTACCACAGTCTCCAGCAAGTCAACCTCTTCAAACACCAAGCCGTCAGACTCTTGCTGCAGCAAATCCCTCTGGAGTTCCTCCCACGGGAGATGCACCTCAGCCGCAGCCGCAGCCGCACCAGCAGCAGCAGCCGCCACAGGACACGCCGCAGCCGCCACGTTCCTGAATTTCAATGCAAAGTTTGGGAAATCTAAATAAAAAAGAAAAATATTTTAACAAGTCTACTTTGGATTTGCAGAATCCCCAAATTGTATACATGCTCCAGCAACCCATGGTATGTTGAATAAAACCAAGTTTTTAAAGTGTAATAAAATGTAAATAATAGCTTCAGCAGAGTTTCTGACATGTGCTTTTATTTGTAGACTTCTCCACTTGGCGCTCTGAGTTCTGAGGAGCTGGAGGTATCGTACCGCAGCCAAGATTCTTTTATATTTGACTGTGCCGATCCAAACGATCTGCCTAGTGAACTCAGTGATCCTGCTGTTGATCCAACTGTCCTCCCTCACTTGCCAATAACTGCACAACATCTTCTTTTGTATGTTTGATTTCAGTTGGCAGCTAAAATGAACCAGCTGAGTGCATATCTGCCAACTGTGATCAGAAACCTTCCTTCAGGGGGAGGTGTTCAAACCCTGAACCGCGACACTGGGTTCGGACCGCTGGAGCAGTTAGGTGAACTGCCAACCGTGGGGACCTTCTCAGGTGGAGCTGCGAGGCCACAGGGTCCTGCCATTACTGGACCACAGCTAGACATGAGAAGAATGAGGAGTGGTGCCGGGACAAGAGTAGATCGAGGGAACCTTATGAAATCTCCAGTGGAGCCTCCACTTCAGGAGACGGAGGCCATCTCTGCACAAGATTAGATAAACAAGATGTAACTGTTTTTTCTTAAAATATATATCCCAACTGTTTAAATAATTATAATTTTAAAATAATTTAAATTCTTTTAAAAAATGATGTTTATATAAGTATGGTAATAGTCACGGAATATTGTCTTTGAGCAACTGGTTTGTCAGAGAAACAAGAATTAAATAAATAATATAAAATTCTCCACCCATCGTCCTGATCAGTCTCTTATTCCAAATATATTAAAAATGTTTAATGCATCACAAAGAGTTAAATTCAATAATGCAACCATTTGTTTGGTGTTGTAAAGTAAGGTGAACAGTAGGAGTCATAAAATTTAAATTAAAATAATAAAAAATCTGTTACACTGGGAAGAACTGTGTGTGTGTGTGTGTGTGTGTGTGAGGATGATGACTACACCATCATTAAACTGTCATCACTTAAATATTTTCCCAGAAAGGTTTAACTGAACGTCATTATGATGAAGTAAATACACCACCACTGTCCACATATGTGGAGGAAACCCAAGTGGTCCTCTCTCTCGGTGAGTTAGAACGACATCGTTTCCGACAAGTACTGTTTGTGTATGAGGCTCTGTAATTGCTGCCACAAGAAGTACTCACTGAGTGGCCCTTTGTGTTGGCCCCGTGACACCATAATGTAAGGGGACTGGTCATAGCGGTCGTCTAATCATTGCACTGAGAAATGTTCTTCCTGGCTAATGGATTTTGGCCCGAGTGTGGTACTTATGAATCTCCAGGCGAGCAGAAAGATGTGTAGAATGGGTTTTTTTTTTTGCACACTGTTTGATTACAGTAATAAACAGACTAAGTGTTGAAAAAGAGTATATGCCTTTTAACTGAATTGCGTATTTTTTCTTACTTTATTAACTGTAGAGCAGAAAAACTCCAACATCTCCTGCTAAAATACATGTATTTTTACCTTCGCTAAACTCATCTCCACGTGGAGATGCTGTTGAGTAAACAGCCGTAGCTGTGATGGTTACATCTCCACACTCTGCACATGGACCGGTTGACCTCTGAGTACAAACGTTGTACGGTTTCAATAAACACGTCAGCAAGTGAGCAAATGTGAGAGATGTGTCTCCGCAGCCAAAGTTCTAGCCGGAGATTTCTCCCAGACTTATTGCTGCCAATTTAGTCATCGTAAATAACACCTGGCCGATCACCAACGCTCCTAAAACTTTCACTCATCCCCTTTCTGTGAGTGCAAATAAATAGGAGTGAAACTCTGCTGCGATAATCTCTCAGCTTCTCGACAACCCTTCACTGCTCCTGTGCTGACAGAAAGGGAAGGTAATGCAGATGATTCTTTACTTTTTGCTCCACGCATTAAACGATTTTCCTCCAAAATCCTGCAGGACTGAAGTCGTTTTCTTTTACAGCTGATTTCAAAATGAAATTCCTCCTCCTCGCTGCTTGCACCATCGGGTTGGTGGTCTGTGCTCCTGTAAGAAACAGAATCTTCTCTCTGTCTTTTTATTCTCACCCAGGTAGTGAAACTAAATCATAATCAAACCACAATGTTCAAGTTTAATGGCGAATGAAATCTCTGCTAATTCTGGTCTGGTCATTTGATGATCGAGTTCACTGTTTTCACGTGTGTAGAGTTTCTGCAGATTCTCTGACTCAAGCTACAGGTAATTGATTATAAACTCCGGCCAACTTTCAATCACCTCACTTCCTGTAATTGTCTTCTCACTCCTCAGCACCACATCTTCCAGGATGAGACATTCATGGAGTTTGACATCCATTATGCTCCACCTGAGGTACAGTGGTCGCATTTGTGTCCTCAGTGAATGGCTGCTGTGCGCCGGTCTGCTATTATCTTTTCACTGCACTTGGCCCTGCGGAAAATGTTGAACTGATTATTTCACTTTCCACAGGCAGCACAGGTGATCCCTGCTGGAGTCCCACTCAGATCTCTGGAAGTTGTAAGACAAAACACGTGCAACTTAACTAGGTTATATAAACCAGTCACCTGTGAAGTAGATGCATGAAGTCCACACAAGAGTTTCCTGCAAATTTAACAATCTTGATTCTTCTTCTCCTCAGCTGCTGCCAGTCAATGCCCAGAGACAGCCTATCGTAGGACAGGTGAGACGCCAGATTAGACTGAGAGACATGACAGTTTGCTGGTGTCCAGTTTCTAATAATTAATGGTCCTTTATAACTTCATGACATATACAGCAAATCCATGGCTTCATCAAGCATGAGATTCCTAACCCTAACGGCAGAGGCACCAAGGACGTGGTGAGTGTTTAGTATTAAAACAGACAATGGTACTACTGTACATGGGATTTTTAAAAAAATTTTTTATCACACTGACAGTTTCCTCTACCACATCTATTTTTTTAGTACTACCCATTCGGTTTTCATCATGCAGTGGACCCAGCAGCTGTCGTCCCTGTCGTCCCTGTTGCCCCTGTTGCCCCTGTTGCCCCTGCAGCTCCTTATGTCCCAGTGGCCCCCGTTGCACCCGTTCAGCCTGTCATCACCGTCCGCGCCTCTGTAAGAGTTATTGATTTGCATTTCTGAGTATGTTTTTTATAATATAATAATAACAACAGAGCAGTAGGAGTGAGCCACCACTGTATGTGCCCAACAGTGACACAGAAGTGAATTAGGTAACATAAATAAGGACGACAGGTTCATTCTGATGAGTGAGTTCTGCGTCAGAGAACGGTCATCGACTGGGTTTCCACTGAGATACTGAGGCACATCGATCCATCAGCAGACGGCACTCGCTCCCGATTGGCTGATAACAAACTACTGTCATTTCAGGCTCCCAGACCCAGAGGTAACGATGATGACGAAGAAGATGATGATTAGAAAGTCAGAGTCAGCAGGATGTGCATGTTTGGACACATACAGGTACAGACAACCACAGACACAGAAGACCATTAGGGGGCAGTGTTTGTCCAAAGCCAAATCATTTTATATATAAGTGATTTTATTTTATTGTTTTCCATTTTAGGTAACCAACGCTCGACGACCCAGTTAACTCTTGTAAAAGACGACCAATCATAAACGTTTCCCCGTGTGGAAACTGGTGGTGTGCATTTTGGGGCAAAGTTTTTCTCATGAAGAAAATCTGCAGTGCAAAAAAAGACATTTCTCAAACGAAGACATACTCATTACAATCAGTCTTAGCCTGAGCTCAGCTCTCACCCTGAGATTGGCTGTTGGAAAAGAAAGAAACTTCTGTCTGTGCGCTTCACAATAAATAAAAAGAAAAAAAGCCTTTTACCCCGTGTGGTTTGTTCACCTAGGATTTAAAAAGTAGATCGTCCAGCTCTGTTTAAACACTTTTGGCATTTGTTATGAATAATGTCAGGGTTTTGCATTGAATCACATTTAATTCAAAGAATATGAGCAATGGCTAATTCTAGCTAAGGTGGCCAGGGTTCCTGCCTGCCACCCAGGAGGTTGTGGGTTTGATTTCAACTACAACAGTCCACAATCCCAGGTTGGGATGTATCCATGTGGGAATTCACTGCATCACATATGACACAAATAATCCCATGATGAACAGACTGGAGATGAAACGTGAAAATGAATTCTGTCTCGGCAACGTGTGAAAAAAAAAACAAGCTTGCCTTTCTAGAAAAGCATAAAAAAAACTGAAGAACTGAAAAAAAAAGAAAACCAAAATGTTTAGAATTATTTTTTCAAAATGCGGTTGGTAGTTTTGGTCAGTGACATCATAAGAAGCCAATTAAAATGACATGAAATGAAATAAGAAGCGTCAGACAAATGTCACAGTTCTATGCAGTGGTTCAGGCTCATTCTTCGATTCAGTGATGCTGACTCAGGATCATGCAGAGAGACGGTGTGCTCTGCTCCCTGCAGTGTAATCATCTCCAGTCTGCTATTACACAGAAAGTAGATTTGACCACTGGTCATTTAGTAAAGCTGGAGACTAGACACCCGAACTGTACCCACTCATTGAGTAACGTCACTCATGGAGACTGCCATTGGCTCCCACAGGAGCTGGCACCATATAAAAGCCAACGCAGTTCTGTTGAAGACATGACTGGCATCACTTGACTCTGAACTATTCCACAGGTTCATCTATCGAATCCGGTCTCTTCACATCGCAGGTGAGTTTCAACTAAACTTCTTGAGAGACTCTTTGAACCTGAAGCACCGACTCGTGTGCCATCGCTCCATCCTTCATGTTGATTCATTTTGTGTCTAAAAGATTTAAGCACTTGAAGATATGAAGCTCCTTCTCCTCCTGTGTCTGATCGGCAGCATCTCAGCTGCACCGGTGAGTTTACATCCACCGTCCATGTTGTTGTGTGAGTTCTTCATTCATTCACCGTCTGTAGGTTTGTTTTTCTGACTCCGTTTCTCTCTCTCTTTTTTCTTATCCTAGTCTCCCTTTCATTACCTGACTCATTACACAGGACCCAGACAACAAACTCAGGTGAGATGCTAAGATTGGTTAAGGCAAAAATAAAAAATTCAAAGAACTGCCAACCAAAGGGCAGCTGTGTCATAGCTATAGAACAATGCAGAAAAATGCTTAAAGTTATTTTTTTTTTTTACCAATTTCTCGTTTTAAATTCAGCTGAAGACTCCGTTCGCCCCTGTTCCGCCTCTGCCACAAACCGCCATGCCTGGAGGTTACAGTGTGGAGCTGGTATGATAAACCTTCTCTCTCAGCGCACAGAGAGGGCATTTACCCTCAATAAACTTCGATTTCTTTGTAAAGTATTGCTTCTATATCTGCAAAAATCACATTGTACCGTTTTCTCTGTTCTAGATTTATCCTCATGGATTTCTTGGTGGAGCCAATGCTGGTCAGGTGAGTGAGGAAAAAAAACATATGTGACCATTCAGTGACATTTTGTCCTTTTATCTCACTCTTTTATCCTGCTACAGTCCTTCCATGGATTTATCAAATACTCCATTCCTCAGCCACCTGGCAGACAGAGTGTGGAAGTTGTAAGTGTTTGTTTTCAATGAGTTCATAATTCTGATCAGAGCAAAGGAAATAAATAACATGATGCTTTTGTACATTTTCAGTACTACCCCTACGACTTCTCTCAGCAAAGGGTAAACATAAAAGAACAAGCTATTACTCAATATGAATATACATTTGTTTGTTTTGTATTTGATCTGTTATTGAAAAAAATCCAACTTTGATTTCAGATAATCACAAACGTCCCACCCATGACAAATGTTCCTCAGGTAAAAATGATGAGAAAATAATACATGTTACTTCTTATGACATTTACTGCTTTATTTTTTCCCCTATATAACAGTGGTTTGTTTTCCCACAGGCCATTCCCTTCGACTTCCCTCCTCAGAATATTCCCCAGCAAACTTTGAATGTAAGAATTATGGATTATCTAAATTATTCACATGTACTCTTCATAACCTGGTTAAAAATGGTTATGTTAGAATGATTTTTCTAACTGTTTTGTTTTTTTTAGATTCCAACATTTGATGCCAACCCTCTGCCGTCCCAGGTTCCCCTGCAATCTCTCCAGGACCAGCCCACACAGACAAACCCAGTAATTAGCAATAATCAGCAATTAGCAGCTTCATTATGTGAAATAATGACATTAACGTTTGCTTTCATGTAAAGCTATCTAGAAAGTGAAATAATGACATTAACGTTTGCTTTTAATTTGTTTTATTTGCAGCTGCCTACAAATGTTTGAGGCGAAGGATTGTCTGAACTGGAAACCAACGGTGGAAAGACCTCGGGATAAAGACAGAACGTTTTCATTTGTTTTTACAAAAGTCAAAATGGAATGACAATGTTGTTACCGAAATTATCCTTTCATCAGACTACTGATTATATAATATACACACACATATATATATGAATATATGATACCCTGATCGTCAGCATATAGGAACATTCCTGAAATCTTCCCGCTTCTCTTCATAGTTGTAAATTAACAAATTAACCCCACTAAGTCACATTAGCGCTGTGAACACTTTGAGCTGCTGTATTTAGTTTTTACACAGCTGTAGCAGGCCAAATAAACACACCTATATAAACACAACTATATACGTTGCTGTAATTTATGAATAATAATGAGTTATTAATGCTTTTTACTCTGAAGAAATAAAGGCTCCTTCTGTGCAACATTTGGTTTTCTGTGATGTCTGTTTTCACACACAAAGAAAATATATACTGTATACATATATATGTATATAATTAGATGTTTATATTTCTTTGTTTTTAGATTTTAATTTAGCCTGATAGTGTGAGGTGTCTCCCCCTTCCCTCCTCCTGTCTCTGTGTGTGGAGTTAATCAGTGTGATCAGACTCACCTGTGTCTCTGTCATTAGTCTCACCCGTCTCACCTGGTGCCCTGGGTGTGTACACTGCTCTCCCTCACTCGGTCTTCATGGGCTCATCGTGTGTTGATGTTCATTCTTCCCAGTTGCGCTCTTCGTTCCTGCGTTCCTTGTTCCTTTGGGATTTTTGCACTTTGTGAGTGAATTCACTCCACCAGAGGAGGAAGTCTGCCTGGTGCTGCATTTGGGTCCTGTCTGCTCACACTCATGTCCAAAGGTGACACACAGTCAACAGAGAGTTGGTGGACTTCAGTGAGTGTGCAGCTTGGCTTTGGAGTCATTGTAGTGGACAATATGAATCAGTCCACAGTCTCTTACAACTGATTTGACAATTGTCTCAATCAAGTCAGTCACTAAAAATGGCCGTCTGACCTCAGGTTTAAGGCTATGTTTTTTTTAGGGCAGGAGTAGTAGAAGTAGGTGGATGGGAAATGACTGGATGAGGAATGTGTATCTATAGTAGGTATTTTACTATATGTGCCCTGGTAATGTTGAGGTACACGGCTGAATGTAATCATTAAACCTAACCATGGAGTAAACGGTGTTTTTGAAATCGTGTGATGACAATTATTATTTTCTTATTTTGTTCTCACGTCAGCCCAGTCATCGAGGAGACAACAGATGTTCCACAGCACAGTGACGACAGTGTGAATCTGTTCACACCTAGCCTTGTGTTCTGTATGTCATGTGTACGACACACCGGGTATAAATTACCACAGCGGTTGAGCAAATTCCCCCCCTGAGTGAAAGATATCAATCTTGAAAAAGCAAATACCATGATGGAAAAGTGTCTTCCTGATCCTCCGTCCCTCGGGGGGAACAGAGTACATGTCACAACAGAGCTAAACTTTTATCTCTTTGAAAACACTGACGCTCAGGCGCCATCCTCGCACGCTAATGCTGTCTCCTCTTCAAAAGTTTCTACTTTGGAACTTTAAATCACACATATTCAAAACCTCTATCACCCAGAGCTGAGGACATCTTGACAGCAGGTTTTCAAAGTCCTAATTACAAGCCACGACAGCAGGACTGTGTCTGCGTCAGTGTGTGTGGGTGTGTGTGTGTGTGTGTGTGAAAAACTGAGATAGAAATAAGGACAGACAGAGAAGATCAAAGTCTGAAGTGGCCATCAGATTACACTTCACAGGCCCTGAGGTTGGACCATCGATGGACAGATGGACAGATGGACAGACAGATAGAGTTGGAGAGAGAAGAAAAGGTTTTGTATTTATTCAGTTTGTGTCCAGGATCCCATCAAATTAGTTCAACAAATGACATATTACATTTACAATTATATTTTAAGAATTCTATTTTGGAGTTACAGTACAAAACACATTGAGAGCTGAGCAAAGAATCGACACCAGGGTTAATATCATTCATTCTGCAAGTTTTGGGAAAAAAAACAACAACATTTAAACACAGTTTTGCAAAAGAGTTAAGAGACTACAAGTCCTTTAATTAACTTAAAACCACAAAAAAATAAACATTAGAAACCTACAATATCCCCAAATCACTACGTTGTGTCTCCACACCAGTTATAATAAACAGAAATCAGTGAAAACTCCCAGTGAAACCACCCAAAAGCTGTTTTTCATGGTAAATCCAATGTGTCTGTTTGTGTGTGTTGGTGTAGAGGTCCAAGTACTGCACTGCTGTGAAGAGAGTTTTCTACTATTAAAAAATCAGAAGTACAATAGTGTAGACAAATATACAGGCCTTGAAATGACGTCCTTCATTTTATAATTGAAGTGAACACATGAAGGTTCAGGTTTGTAGCATCTGGATCATTTATACAGTCACATACACTGTATTTACTTCATACTATCCTTATATGTAACTTTCTGCTGTGAAGACAAATTACCATTCCAAGGTGTTCCGCGATGACCATGAAACAAAACGTTTGTCTTTGGAAGTCCAGGGACCATAAATCAGTGGGACAAGTGAAAAAATGTCTTCATTTCTCTGTCACTGGACTGTGACCAATCTGCCTGTTTCTCCACATGACTTCCCTCAGAGACAGTTATGGATGTAATTTTAAATGAAGTTCACACAGAGTCTCAGCGTTGTTTAAAAAAACACTTTTCACTAAGCTGTGACTGCCGAGCAGAAGAGCACACCTGGGGCGAAGTGGGTTTCAGTGGAAGTGGGTTTGTCTCCACAACAAAGAACGCGTTTCTCAAAGACCCCTGGAAAATAGATGAAGCCCCCCCATCATCCCCACCCCCCGTCTCTCTCTCTTTCTCTCTCTCACCTGCCCTGGGACTGGTTGAATGGTTAAATACACACAGTTTAAGGACTAGTGAGGATGATCCCATTTTATTCTAAGAAGTTATGGAAACCAAATGGTAACCTACAAATTAAAATGTAAAAAGTCACTCATGTTTAGTGCCTGTGTTTGCTAAATATGGTCACTTTCTTATGTATTAGTTAAAGGATTTGAGTTAAATGATGACATAAATGATGACACATGACAATGTGCACATACAGAATAGGTCGATTTGCACAAACATTTTAGGCGACCCCACGTGGAATTGTGACCTCAATGTTGAAAAACACTGGGTTATTGGTTATTAGTATGATTAGCATCTTAAATTTAGCATTGTTGTTTTTTTAAGTAACCATTTTAGACTTATTAATATAAAACAAGTTTTAGTAAGTGTGTGTTCAGTGTCATTACATGTCTCGTTGAACTAATGCATTTTCCCCCAGTTTTCGGTTGTTGGTTATAAACCTGCGCCGACCTGCGCACCATATAATTAACTATAAGAAGGGCCTTAACCCTACATGCCTCTCCTTCTTTAGTTTTGAAGGGTAAGGAGATTTCCCCCAGCACATGGCTCTGCATGTTTTAGCAGATGTGATTGGCTGTTACGTCTGTTGTTAAGTCTTCTGCTATATATATTACATCTGTGCTGTAGACATGAAGTTCAGAACTTTACATCACGGAGGGGAAATCATTTGACTGCAGGAGGAAGAAAAAGGTGCTGCACATTTTCATGGCTAGAAACTTTTACACAATTTATTGACCTTATGTTTGAGTAGAAATTTTTATGGGTTTTTTTAGGTAAGGTAAAAAAAAAAACAGAGTTTTTTTAAGCTAAAACAAAACAAAACAAAACAAAATTAATTAATTTTTAAAAATGTATTCTTTGGTTTGAGAAGCCAAAATGAAGCTGCTGGTGTTCATGACGTTCCTGCTGGTCTCTGCTCTGGCTGCTCCTGTAAGTTCTGCTGTGGAGTGATTTCCTCTTTTAACGCTGCAAAAACAATGAACGTGATTACGACACAATGTGAAAATACACTTTCTCTTTAATCTCTGTTTCCAAATCTACAGGTTCCAGACAGTGACAGCGATGAGGTAAGAGAGTTGAGTATTTACAGTATGTCTGTCTGCCAGGACATGTCAACCCATGTTTGCGTTATGTCATCAAATGTGTCAAATGATTGTTGTCTGAACGGACGGAGGAAAAGTGATTCGGTATCAGAGCGTGTCTGGGGGTGTGTGGTATTTCTTAGCAGGCTGCAGCTCATGCCAATGAGGCCCTCAGGTGGATGGAGATGTACAGGCTGTACCAGCAGCAGGTAGCGGGGTCTTCATCTTCAACAAATGCTGAAAAAAAAAGAAAGAGAAAAAAAAAAAAAAGATACGGACACAAAATTCACAGCTATGATTCTGTATTTCACAGGGAGCATTTGGAAACCCCTTTCTCCCTGCTGCTGATGCTCCTGTAAGTTCATCTATGTACTGTAAAAAACTGTGCTGTTGTAGATTAAGAAAAAAGTAACAACAAAAAGTAAAACATCAACTGAAACTCTGGCTCTGAGACTGAAGTGTGTGTGTCGTCTCCTGTTTAGGCCGATCCAGCTGCAGTAGCGGTGGTAAGCGCAGCCACATTCACACTACAGAGAAAGATTCACTGGGACTTGAAAGTGTTTTGTTTATGCAGGTGGACTCTGCACAACCGGTTGAAGCTGCTCCTGCTGCTCCTGCTGCTCCTGCTGCTCCTGCTGCTCCTGTTGGTGAAACCTCAGAGGAGGAGGCAGAAGTAAGACTTTTAAACAGATTTAAAAGTGGATATTTGCTCCAAGTGTATTTGTATTCTCATAATACTGCTACTAAACTACTTCCACTGCTACTACAGCTTCTACTACATCTGAACCTATACAAAACTACAAACAGAAAACAAACTCATTTGTTATCATGTTGTATCATGTGTTGATGATGATGCTGATTTTTATAACTATTATAATTATTGCTATTATTATTGTATTTTATTATTAATATATAATAGATTTTTCACGACTGTAATCATTAAAAATGTCACATTATATTATCAAGAGATTTGTCTAATTCTAATGTCCCAATATAACATGTAACATAAAATATAATAATATTTATATTATATTATAATATAATTATATTTACTATTTTAAAATTTGACATTTTAATACATTTATATTAATTATTTCTTGTAGAGTATACCTTTGAATTTTTCCTCAATTTTTCATAGTTTTCTGGATACATCTGATTAAAATGATTACTTTTACCCCTAGGGTCAACTTCACCGATAAAGAAAAAAACCTGGAGACATCATATCATTATCTTCACTGTTTTACTGTCTGATATTTATCTGAGCAGTGGAACTATCTCTCCATCCTCATCTTTTCTTTGTGCTGCCCAGGAAGGAAACCACGCCCCCAAAGCTGCAGCAGCCGGCGCTGGTGCTGCCCCCCTGAACTCTGATGAAGTCGAAGAGGCTGAAGAGGCCGAGGCCGAGCCAGCCGTGGCTGAAGAAGAAGCAGCAGCAGAGCCGGCTGCAGAGCCTACAGCAGCTGTGGTCGACGTCCCCGTAGATGCTCCAGTAGATGCTGCTGCTGCTGCCGATCCTGCTGCTGTAGATGTTCCTCCTGTCGATGTGGTTCCCGATGTCGCGCCAGCTGCCCCCGAGGTGGCTGTCGCAGCCGATCTCCCTGCCCCTGCTGATGCCGCAGCCGCCCCTGTGGCAGCGGAGGCTGTAGACGTGACCCTGGTGGAGGCAGATCCAGTTCCACAGTAGTTACCTTCATTTCATTTCCTCAGTGTTCTCAACTGCAGAAAGCAGTTGAGCTGCATCAAGTATAAAAGACGTGACGTGAATATATATGTAAATGTGAGTCTTTGTGGGATGAGAGACGGCGTGTGACACTGGAAACTTAAACTTGACTTTGTAATCATTTTGTCTGTTTTGAATAAAATACATTTTGCAGTATTGCGCTTGAAATTCAATTTCCTGAAAACATCAGTATCGCACCAGATGATAGTGAAACACAAACGAGCACTTTGAAATGTTGGTGTTACAAGAGCCAGAAAATGCACATTTTTTAGGATAAACTTTCACATTCATTTTGACTGTGTAAAAAAATCTAAAATAATCATGGTAGTTCTGGAACCCTTGTCCATGCTTGCGGTATGTTCTATTCTACGTGACCATAGGTATTAATTGTGAGTGTCAACGGTTGTCTCCATTGGGCTATTTGATTGACGGTTGACCTGTACTGGTTGTACCCTGCCCCCTCCTAATGACTGCTGGGATTGGCTCCTGACTCTGAAAAATTACTCTGGTAGAAGATTGAAGGACCATTCTTTACCCTCGAGTGACTTCATGACTGCCACTGTCTAAATCTCTCATTAGGAGTAGGTGAAAGAGCAGGCAGGCCAGTCATTCAAATGCAATACTTCGACAAAGCTGTTTTTTTTTTAATCTCATTCAAGGACCTGCAGGGACACAGGTTGTTTTAAATTCCAGCTAATCCACATAAACCTGTATATTTGTCCCACAGTGGTCAAAGTCACAGTGTGAGTCTTTGCAACTCGCACAGGCTGCCACAGGAGGCGTAATTAAGTGTGGTTTCAACTCACAGGCTGCAACATGGGGTCACCGTTGGGAACATGTTGTTCACGTCTGCCTTGTGTAAGGCAGATGTGTAAGGCGTCCTCTGTCCACCCTGGTTCCAGCATCGTAGTCATCTAACATTTCCATTATTTTGGAGTGTGTTTGGAGTGTTGTTTGCATTCAATTTGAGTTTTTTTATTTACTAAAAGCATTAATAAAACGTTTCTTTTCTTCCCGTAGAATAGAGTATATACTGACGATCTTATAGTACATTTGTTATTATATACTGTACTGTACTGTACTAGAACTAGAGCATATCTTGAACACGGCTCCTTCCACGTCTATTCATCACCCTGAGCACTGAGACAGAGTCAGATTTAGTTTTGCTCTCACTGTTCTTGTTAATATAAAAGGCACCTTATCCACCTGATCAGGAGGCTCTTAGACAGGACAAGCAATCTAATTGGATCAGAGCTGGATGTGGTTGAGAATGCTGACTGAGCAGGATGGGACATTGTTCCTGGTGGTGCGCGTGTTCACACAGGATAGAGAGGGGACAGACGGAGAGACAAAGAGAGGGAGAGACAGAGAGAGATAGAGACATAGCAGTTGGAGCATGTTGTGAAAACCTAATTATTAAGACTTAATTATATGATTCTCAAACCTCCTCTGGTCTCTATACCTGCTCTCCTCATATACCTTCTTCACCCATCCTATCCTGTCCTTTTGTCTCCTTTACCACACTGTCCTCTACTTTACTGCTGTTCTTATCTAACCACCTTTTCTCTCTTTTTTATCTTTTTTTCATTTTTATTCTCCTTTTCTTTCCTCTCCCTTCTCTCCTTATTTTTATTCTCCTTTTCTTTCCTCTCCTCTTGTTTCTCCGTTCCTCCCCTCCTTCTTCCTTCCCTTCTCCACCTCCAGTAATCCCTAAATCCTTATCAAGGTCCCTGGAACAGTAGAACACAGTTGAACCCATTGTTGTCTAACAGCATTTGACGATGTTTTGAAGACATGCCTGAGGATCAGTCAGATGTTTCCATATTCATCGGACACATTAAAGAGAAAAGACCTCCCACTGAATTGACATGTGACAGGAAATGACAACATCAAGGTAAGATTGTCTTTTAAATTGATTTTTTTTCATATTTAGCCCGTCGTCGTCTTATATTGTTGGTAAAACAAATTTAGTGACTGTTACACAATACTTCTGTTATTTGTATTATTATATATAATGCATTTATTATTTTACATTTATAACATTTATACTTTAATTTTAGGACGTTTCCCATAAATAATAATAATCCAATTATACCATTGGTCAAGGTGTACGGTGTGAGAGACAAACACATTTACTAACTGAACTAACTCAGCTGTGCTCCCTAAATAAAATAAAGTAATTATCATTCATAAAAATAACTATAAGAGGCCTGTCACTTTGACAACATTATTATCACACAGTCTAAACTTCAGAGAGGTGACCCCTACTGTCAGCTTCTGCTTTACTCCTGCAGGCTGAGCTGTGGATCTGCTACTATAACAACTTCTAACAACCGTTCCTTTCTCACAATGGTACCTCACACCACAACACAACCTGGGAAAGACAACCAGCAGTGAGGAAATATTATAGAAAAAAGTTCAGTTCAGAATTAGGTTTTTACCTTGTGTGAAATGAACAGAGTGTGTGTCATATTCCGTGTTCTAGACGTGCTTCGCCACCTGTTCCACACGTTCTGCTTAATACGAACAACAGTAACGACAACGAACAGTAAGTACAATCGAAAGAGTCACATTGACAATTCGGTAAATTTCACCTAAATGTTCTGATTTCTGAAATCGTACAGTGCATTTTTATCTCAAGATATTTTGTTGCAGGAAAAAGGAAAACAAAGAAAAAGAGAAGGAACCACCTAAAGAAAAGGAAAAAGACAAGAGCAAGGAAGAAGAAAAGTAAGTCAAACCTAACGGTTACTTGACTGTTTGCTCAAATTTATTTTCGTTCTTCTTCCCAACAGGCCTAAAGAGGTTTTTGTCATCAACCCTGCAGGGAACTTGTACTACCACTGGCTGTTTGTCATCACAGTTCCAGTCATGTACAACTGGACCATGATCATAGCCAGGTAAGACTCTTTGACTCTGAGACTCTTTGCCATAGTCTACCTCTTGTCTTTATTTTCATTTTTCTTTTGAATTTTCTTTTTTCTTTTCATGTTTTCAGAGCCTGTTTTGAAGAGCTGCAGCATAATTACATCGTTTACTGGATGTTTTTGGACTACGTTTCCGACCTCGTATACGTGGCTGACATGTACGTCAGGACCAGAACAGGTAAAAGGAAAAACGCGTTGCAGTCTCACCCTTAAAGTTAATTGAATGCATTAACATGGCATGGTGTTAAAATGCGAAAATGAACCGAAAATATTCCTCCCATCATAAATGATCAGTGGGTTATAAGTGGTGAACAGCCCCAGTTCTCTCTGGTGGAAAATACTGTTTTTGGCTTTAGCAGAAGCTAATTTTAGGTTTTCACTGAGAGGTGGTTCATCCATTATCTTTCTCCACATCCATTCTCAGCTGAGAATGGGTGAAAATGCAAGTCCTTTCATAATATTCCCTGTATTTAGTGCCGTAATATTACTCCACTGTGGCTCGGCCATAAAACACTGAGGTGAAACAGAGTGCTAAGGTGCTCAGAGTCTAAATGCAATTTTACAGGAGAAGGAAATCAATCTTTTCACAGCAACTACAGTACATGCAATAAAAACAGCAGCCAACTGTTTTAGCATACACTCAGAGGTTTTTTAAATAAGATCCTCTCCATTTAGACATTGTATCACACTGTTGATTGATAGTATTAGCCCGTCTGTGATGTCCTGATTTGAATCACAATACCTCGTTGATCCAGTCTGAGAAAATACAGACTGATTAGAAAATCTCAATTAGAAATAAAATATGTAAAAGTACCCGGTCGTAGCTGACATCCTTGTACAATTGTTAATTATCGCTGATGGGTAAAGGGTGATTACCTGTGCAATCAGAATGTGATTGAAGCCATTACAGGAAGACCTTTAAAAAAAAAAAAAAATCTGTGTATTATTTCCACAATTCTCTTTCTTTATTACAGGTTATCTTGAGCAAGGTCTTCTGGTGAAGGATGAGAAGCTGCTGTGGGATTCCTACATCAACAGCTTTCAGTTCCGTCTTGACGCTGTGTCCATGTTGCCCACTGACATCTTCTATTTGATCCTCGGTCTTGACTACCCAGAGATCCGCGTCAACAAGCTGCTGAGAATTGGTCGCATGTTGGAGTTCTTCAGGAAGACAGAAACCAAAACCAACTACCCCAACATCTTCCGCATCGCAAACCTAATCATGTACATCCTCATCATCATCCACTGGAACGCCTGTTTCTACTTTTCCTTTTCCAAGGCCATTGGTTTCGGGTCAGATGACTGGGTTTACCCAGCCCTGGACGATCCTGAGCAGCCGGACTTTGGTCTGCCGGGGAGGAAGTATGCTTTCAGCCTTTACTGGTCCACGCTGACACTGACCACAATTGGAGAAACACCACCACCCGCCTTGGACTCTGAGTTTTTCTTCCATGTGTCTGACTTCTTGGTAGGGGTCTTGATCTTTGCCACTATTGTAGGAAACATTGCCACCATGATCTCTAACATGAATGCGGCCCAAGCGCAGTTTCAGGCCCGAATTGACAACATCAAGCAGTACATGCACGTAAGTCACTTTCTTTCTTAAAAAAAATCCTAAAATTAAGTTTAAAACCCTAACTGTTTTTGCCAATTCATATAGGTTCGCAAAGTCAGCAAAGAACTGGAGTTGCGGGTCATCACCTGGTTTGACTATCTGTGGAATAATGGAAAGGCACAGGATGAGAGAGAGGTGCTGAGATATCTCCCAGACAAACTCAAGGCTGAAATTGGCATCCAGGTCCACATGGAGACGCTGAAGAAAGTGCGTATTTTTGCCGATTGCGAAGCTGGTCTGCTGATCCAGCTGGTGCTCAAGCTGCGGGCCCAGGTTTTCAGCCCAGGTGACTACATCTGCAAGAAGGGCGACATAGGCCGTGAGATGTACATCATCAAAGACGGTAAACTCGCTGTTGTCGCAGATGACGGCGTGACACAATTTGTGGTGCTGGGAAGCGGCAGCTATTTTGGTGAAATCAGTATCCTTAATATAAAAGGCAGTAAAGCAGGAAACAGGCGGACGGCCAACATCCGCAGCATTGGATACTCTGAACTTTTCTGCCTGTCAAAGGACGACCTGATGGAGTCGCTGACAGAGTACCCAGATGCTAAGAGCATGCTGGAGGGGAAAGGCCATCAGATCCTGCCGAAAGACGGGCTGATAGAGTTAGACCCGTCGAAAATCTTGCCTGAGGCTCAGGAGCTGGAGGACAAGGTCAATAAATTGTACAGTAAAATGGAGCTGGTGCAGATGAAGCTGAAGAAGATACTGGGAAACTACACCACTGCTGACAGGGCTCTGAGAGACCGCATCAAAGATCTGGAACGTCTGACAGGAGAGGAGGTGGAGGGTGAGGAGGACGAAGATCAAGCTGAAAAAGAAACAGGTGCAGAAGGAGAAGGAAAGGGGAGAGATGATGGGAGAGAGGAAGAAGGAATTAAAGAAAAGAGTGAAGAAAAGACTGGAGAAGCACAAGATGAGGAAGGACACGATAAAAAATCCAAGGAAGAGGACGAAGGAGGCGCTTAACCAGAAGTGAGAACAGGTTCCTCCTCTCTGTCTCTCTGGCCTAATCATCAGACTCACCTGGTACCTGTTAATCAGTCTCACTCATCTCACCTGGTGCCCAGAGTATATATACCCCTCTCCCTCACTCTGTTTTTGTTTGATCGTTGTTCTGTGTGTGTTGTGTGGGTTCTGTGTTCAGTTTTCTTTTGTGAATCTTTTGTTTTTCCTTTTAGAAATACACAAAAATATATATTTCCCTAAATATGAAGAATAATGTATGTAAGTGATCTTATTTAACCTAAAATAAAAATATTTTTTTGTATGTGCACGTTGTCAGTGTGCAAGACTGCAGTGAGCATGTGTGACCACAGGGGGGATAGTAAAAGAGTTTCAGTGCATATCATAGAGGAGTGACTCACAAAAGGTAAAGGTAAGGCTAAAAATGGCTTAGTAGAAAAAAATATTTGATAACTAAGTTTTTGGCCTAAAATAATTTTGTTTTTCTTATCATATTTATAGACAACCTTTAATTAAAGCACCAGAATTTAAAGTTTAAAAAATAATTGAATTTTTTACTGAAGGTCAAAATTAAATTTGTGCTGCACTCATCTCTATACTTTAATTTGTTTACAGTAAATATGAATTGCTTAGACACAAGAAGGTTGCTCTATCCATTTCTATAAAAGAAACGTTCTTCGTAGGACAAACATGTTCCTATGTATATGTTTGTGTTGGTGTTAATGTCATTGAAAGAAGAATGCTGATGGGATATGAAGCATTACCAGTTGCATGATGTAGGGTGAATAGTGAAATAAGATGCTCTTTTTGGTTCTTATAATATACTGTTCAAAATATGTTTCCAGAGGATTCAGTGCCTCACTAGCCATGAACCTCACTGTTTTGTTGGCTGTGCCACAGATGGCCCAGTGTTACCAGAGTCACATTCACCAGCGTGGATAGATGTTATCAGGGAAGTGATAAGAAAAGCAACAGATGAGTGAAAATGGCAGATCTGAATCAGCAGCACGTTGATGGTTTATTAGCCTCGGCAGAGGAAACTGAATGTTCGGCCATTTTCCAGGAAAAATGTGACTACATTATGTGGCATGTTATGACAGCATAACAATGTCTTTGTGTTAATTAATGGTCCATGAAAGTATGATGTGTTACTGCAAAGTGACAGTAGCAAATAAAAATAACATGTAAAAGTCCAGAAGCTGGGTTCATGCTGCAGTTGTTGTGCAATGGATCATTTTTCTGACTGTCAACTGATTTAATAAAACGTTTTTTTTTTCATTCATATTTGCACCATTAAATCATTTTTTTGGCAGTATTACAAATTCATGGCCAGACCTAATGCCTTGCTTCTTTCTTGAATATATACAGTATAGAACCTTCTTTGCTGTATTAATATTAATATCACATTCTCTTCTTGTCAAGAAGTCAATTGTGATAGCCAGAGAAAATGTACTCAAAAGCGGCACAGAGGAGTGATGGAGCATATGTCATTTATCCTTGGGAAATTGCTGCCTATATGGCTGATTTCTCAAAGGAGCTGGTTCTTTGTTGGCTTTAGAGCAGGTGTGTGTGTATGTGTTTGTGTGTGTGGAGGAAGAGTGTTAAATGATTAGATTTCACATTAGTGTTCATGGACCTGAGAGAATGTCTGTATACTAAGGTGATTAATATGGACACCATGACACTATTATATTTAATTTATAAAAACCTATAAATAAATCACCGTGGATGTATATCTGGTGCTGTGTCCACGAGGCAGCCACACTAACCATCTGTAGCGAATAATGGGATGTTTGCAGATATCAATGCAATTTCCATATATATATATATATACACACACACAAACAAAAATGTACTAAAATAGATTACAAATACTAATAGTAGTATGAAGTTTTGCTCATATAATTAAATAGATTCAAAAGTTTAGGAAGAACAGGAAACAAAACAGTGACCACATTTTCATTAAATACCAGGTCACCTGGTACAGATACTGGGTGTTAAATGGAGCACTAACTACTACTATAGTTTACTGTAGGCTGTACTGGCTGCAAACGTTAACATTATAAAGGTACTTGTTCTTATTCTGGCAGATAATGAAGAGAAGAATCCATTCCTTTTTATTATTCTTATAGAGCAGGAGAAGCATTAAAGCAAATTCAGTTCCAATTTGTTAGAAATTCTAATTAAAGGAAAAGGGAAACTGTCCCGGGGGGGAACTTGTACCGGTCCCAACTGTGGAATTGAGTTGCAGGGATCACTTTCTTTGACAGTTAGTAATGAGTGGCCGGTTGGAAACTTTCTGGATGATTCAGTCTTTTCTCCGTCCTTGTGTCTGATTATTAGTGCAGCAAGAACATCAGCCAATGGAGCAGGGTTTTGACAACAATAAAATTCATGGAGAGCAATTTGTAGCATACAGTAAAGGCATTTGACAAAAGGTCAAATTTAAAAATTATTATTGTAGTTAACACAATTAAATTATATTGGGATTAATTATTTCAATATCCATTGTCATCCTATCCATGCATTGCCCACTGTGCTAATATTAACTGGTCCACATCCATCAGTAAAAGGTTCTTTATTTTAAATATTTTCCCCTAATTATTTTTTTACAGGCCTATAGTTACTTCTATATAACCCTTTATGGAACTATACTTCTACTTCTACTCTACGAGTAAATATACAAAAAAAAATCTTTGAAAAACTACACATAAAATTTGTATTAGATATTACCGGCAATTAACAGGATATTTTTTCATTTTAAATTATTTTATTCTATTTGTTTTATGTTTCATTTTACATGTTTTTGAATCATTATTTCAATTTAACACACGTATTATATCACATACAGTATATAGTTATATATATTATATTGTTTTAGCTCAGGTATTAAACACAAAATTGGACAAATGTCACATAAAATCACAGCATTAGACTGTATGTTAATGAAGTAAAATTACTGTACTTTTATGTGTTGATAACTTTCCATTAATCACTATACTTTAATGCACCATATTGTTGACACAGTGATGTGTCTTTAAAGTCTGTACTTTAATGCACCATATTGTTTTTGACACAGTGATGTGTCTTTAAAGTCTCTGGTCCATAAATATATATAAATACCTCCTGTATGATCTCTCTCTCAGTCCATTGTTTCAAGGAATGTGATGAACAATTATTACTGAATACAGTAAAGACTAATTAGAAAATAATTGAGCAGGAATTCCTTAATTAGCAGAGACATTTCGGTCACTGATTTCCTTAAGAAAGGAACAAACCCTGAAATGTCACATGTTGTGTGGGAAAAAAAACAATCACAGTGAGACTTGTTTTATAGTGCACACTAAGAGTGTACAGTCAGAAAGCCGTCAGGTTCCAGAGGTCATGGTGAGGACTCTCTTATACAATTATTAACATAATTCTTGTACAAAGCTACACAGACTGTAAAATTCCACTATGTGCAGTGTCAGTGTGGGAGAACCTCCTGCATGTTTTTATCTGTGGGGGAACTGAGTCTGAGAATCTGAGTCTTGGTGTGGCCTTGTGCTCTCTTCACAGCCACTGAGCTCAGCACCTCCCCACTGCAGCTCCTGTGAAATGCACAAAGCTGATGATTATTGAGCAAAACCATGTTACAAAAATATAAACCATTATGAATCATATATATATGTAGTAAGAATACAATAACTCCTATCAAAAATATTAATGGAGAGCTTTAATAAAAAATATAATTATCTCTGTGATACTGTATCTGTCTGTTGGTCAGACTGTAACTGTAGGTGTAGCACATGCATGGACATAGACATGGACATGGACATGGACATGTCCATGCATGTAAGATTCCCCAGTGATCACAGTCGAATATTCAATCTGAGCTTCTGTATTTCTAATATTGTGAGCCTAAAGATGTTCTTTTTTAAGGGAGACCTTCAGAGCAACGTTAAATCTGTTCAGAGATTCCGTTCATGGTTTTCTTTGGAAATGGGTGTCTGTTTCTGAGGTTTCCATTTAGGTCCTCTTATTTTTCTAATGGTTTTCACGTACGGTATAGTATACATTATTATAGTATACATACAGTATACCTTCTCTTCATTTTAGTGTAAAAACATGGCTTTTAGTTTTCGCTAGAAAGCTTTCTACCCTAGAACCTCTGCATCATGTCATTATTATAGTGGTGATCAAAGTCTTGCATGAAAGGCACGGAGGTTGTTTCCCTGCCCTCTGTGAGTGGTTGACTTTAGTATCACAATGACAACAGAGAGTACAAAGCTATGACACTCTTGAGGGAAATACAGATATTGAACTGTAATAAGCTTTGGATGTATTTTTGTCTTACAGTAAGCAAAGGAAAAAGACTACAAAGTACATCTTGTCTTTACATAATATATCAATATTCACATAACCACCAGCTCATATAAACTGAACCGATGAATATGCATGTCCTCTTTTCACCTCAAACAATGTCACTATTAAATTCTGTTTCTATCACAATGCTGTTGGCAGTGGTTTCCCATCTCTGGAGGACGAAATTAAAAGTGTGAGTGATTCTGGTGTGAATTTTAATCTCCAAGGCGTGCATGACTGCAGAGCAGGAAAAAACATTTGAATGAAGTCACCTACGTAGAAGATATCAGATACCACACATATTTTTACTCTTACATTTTCACTTTAAGTTTTTTAAATAAATGCCATGCCACAGAACAGATTCTTGGTTATTTATAGACTAACCCTAACTGACAGACACATTTGGTTTTGAAGTCATCTTTGCATCGTTTGATTTCCAATGTATTAACTTGTAGTAAAAGTTAATACATACTTACTAAAGTAATTAAACAAGTAATATCTTTTATGAATAACTTTTTTCCTTCCTAAAACTATATATATAAATACATACACACATACAGTATATATACACATATAAATACACACATATATACCCATTAAAATGCACACCCCCACCCCCAGCTTTCACTACCCATTAAAATGCATGCACACCCCCACCCCCAGCTTTCACTGTCACAACATCTCATGTAACTGTGGCCACACATTTTCATTGACTGCGTGGCAGCTCATGTGCAGTGTGGGAATCAGCTCTAAGATTTAAGTGAACAAAATGATTTCTGGCTTTCGTCTCTTGCAACAGAGCAATTTAAAAAGGTATTGGAGTGGTAATGGTTTTGCATTTTGATCAGTTGCTGTGATTTCTATGTGACGGCAATAAATGGTTTGGGGCGTCGGAAATCCCGACAAAAGCTGCATCAAAATACTTCGGTACAAAATACATCGGTGCAATTAAATCAATTCTCCCCCCGGCACAGCTGTGATGCCTGACATGTCTGCTAAACATTCCATATCAAATAGCTAACAAGGAGAACACAGATGGACAATAAGCTGTAGCTGCTGCGATCATACAACGGCAGAGATGATTTTGGCAGCTTCTTCTTTTCAAGGGTCAACACAGGGGACGGTCTATAGTTCTCATTTTGTCAGAGGTTTCTAGATAAGATGCCTTCATCCAACTGCAGCACCAACTCTGGTACAACAGAAACAACACAACCCCAACCTGCACATTTCTAGCAAACCATTAACAAAAATTAGCCACAACATCTTGACCACCTGAGAAATGTTAGATCCTGTGAATTCTGACAAACCTAACTTAGAAATTTAGAAAACAGTATCTTGTCAGCTGGATCAGACCCCACAAGCCTTCGCTCCCTCACATGCATCATGGAGACTTGCGGCTGAGCATCACCTGCTCAGAGATTTTCCTCCGTCGGTCGGTCTTTTGTTAGATGTTGACCACTCAACACCAGGAACACCCCACAAAAGCCACAGTTTCAGAAATACTCTGACCCAGTTTTTGGAGATGCTCTTTTTTTCCTCTTTTCGAACGTCACCTTTGATGACTAAATGTTTTGTTGCCGCCTAATATACCTCACCCACTCACAGGTGCAGTAATGAGGAGATAATCAGTGTGTTATGGTTAATAATACTCTCACTAATGTGTGAAAAGCCATTCCCAGAAGTCAAATGCAGAACACACTGAGAACAGTTCACTAATCCATCTGTAGGACTCACATACAGACAAGGAATCCCACCCCCCCGCTCACACTGATATCCCAAGGCAATTAGTTTAATTAACATAATCCACAATCTTTGTGCTTTTCATCGGAGGAAGCAGGATTATGCAGGAAACACAGGCACATGGTAAAACCTGACGTCTATAATATGTTTTGGAAGGATTTTTCTCCTTTCAGAAATCCATTAATCCATATCATAACTAATCTATAAATCCATAACACTAAACGTATACCAGTATCTCAGTCGCATTTAGAAGGGATCTACAAACAAACAATGCCTGACTACTGTGGTGATTTAAAAAATACATAACAAATAAATCAGAGAAGCTTACTGAAATGAATTTCTTCCATGGCCCATTACCTACATACCCAGAAACCCCCATTCCGTTTCAAACAAACATTACTATATTATGATTGACTTGTTTATTTATTTACTCCAGCACTGAAACTACACGTCTGTCTTTTGAGTACTACAGTATACAACACTTTACAACACTTTCGGGGTCTGTGTATACAGTGCAGTCCAAAGCAACTGAACAGCACAGTGTGTCTGATGACTATTTCTCCAGTGTTTGGATGTAATAAATAATCTAATGTCCTTTTTGGAAAAAACAACCTCCTAGACTGTTGGCTGAAATGCTCACATATTAAATCACAGCAACAAATAATGACATTACTCAGACTCATTTTTTGTTTGTTGGAAATCTCGGCTGGACTGATTGGGTTTAGTCGGCGGTGGATGGAAGGTCGTAAACGTTAAGACTGGTGATGTTTCCACTGCACTTGAGGCTTTGTAAGCAGATGGAGGAGGTTGAAGTGATGTAAAATGTAGGATGTCTGGAGGCGACCTCAGCCTGTTAGTGGAGAATGTGACTCTAGCAGAGGAGGGGAGAGAACATTCCCCTTCTCTCTGGTACAGCCACGTGAGCATGATCTAAGATCTTAATATAATTGTAAAACCAACCCACCTGAAGATCGTGAGACGCACATACGTTGTTTGCTGTTTGCTATATTTCAATATCCTGTTTGTGGCTCCTTTGAAATGCTACGAATAGAAGAGGGAGGAGTGGGGGGAGAGGGGGGGATAAAGGTGCGCCGTGCGCGCTGAATGATTACACCCCACTGAGTGTGTGGAAAGGCTTCATCTGTTATTCATGAAGTTTTAAACAGCAGCTACAACTATCAATCAATCCTTTCGCCGTTTGTGCCACTTCTGCGTCACTGAGTGCGCACGGCGTCCTGCCTGATGCTGATGCTGATGCTGCTGCTGCGAGAGAGGAGAGAGAGAGGCTGTGCGCTCACATCCACAGACATTCAACAGGCGATGCTGAATTGTTGCGACCTGTTGGTTTTCTCTCGGGTATTTAATGATAAGAGCGACCAAGAAGCGGCTGTGAACAGGTGTGAACACAGGTGAACGCCTTTTACACGGTCGTTATGCCTTTTTACGCACACCCTGTGCCACTTCTGTAGTGTTGGACTTCACAGTGATCGTACAGAATTTTCTTTCCCACTGCACAGTAAGGACAGGAGGATGGCGACTCCACATAACGGATCCAACATCACATCCAACTATACCAGCAAGTTTGTCCAACCGCCGTGGCGCATCGCCCTGTGGTCCGTCGCCTACAGCGCAGTTCTGGCTGTAGCCGTGTTTGGAAACGTCATCGTCATATGGATCATTTTGGCTCACAAAAGGATGAGGACTGTGACCAACTACTTCTTATTGAACCTGGCGTTTTCGGACGCGTCCATGGCCGCGTTCAACACTTTGATAAACTTTATCTACGCCGCCCACGGAGAGTGGTACTTTGGGGAGGCTTACTGCAAATTCCACAACTTCTTCCCGGTCACGTCCGTGTTCGCCAGCATCTACTCCATGAGTGCGATAGCGGTGGACAGGTGAGACACCGAGATGCTGTTAAAGTTAGCATCCATATCCACTTTTTCTGTTGTTACTACTTGTCTTTCACACAAATGATATAGATTTTCTCTTCCATATTTGACAGTCATGGAAGAAAAACTGTGGTCTGTACTAAAGGTACATTTTGCGGATCTTCTGCAAAAAGAGGCGTGGTCCTCAGTCGATTCCGTAGTTAAAAATAACAATTTTGTGACAAAAAAAAAATTGTGACATTGATTTCCTTATAAAAATATTTTTGAGACAACAAAACATAATCCAGCATTCAAGTTACGACACTGTTTTTGCCTCTAAACATAAAATAGTATTTCAAGTGTGATGCAACATGAGCTGCTTTCTAACAACTACAGCAATAATGTAAACTATTCCATATCAGAAAACTCGCAAATTACTCGCAAAATTCCAACTAGAACTGGAGATTACAGGGTACTACAGCAGTAACAAGTAGTACTGCAGTGATATCCAGCAGGTTTGAAGTCTATTAAATAAAAGTATGCTGAAAACAGTCCCTGAGCTACTTTCAATAAGACTTACTCTGTGTTAGTCGATTGCTTAGTTCATTTCTCGTCCTCTTCCAGTGGAACTGCACTAACTATAGCATTATCTTTCCACTGAATATTAGCTTGTGTGTTAGTGTCAAACACACACTGAGCATGCTTGGAAAACGACATGGTCCAACCACTGGCCCAGTCTGGTTTACAGCATGACTGTTTTACTTCAAACAACACACCAATGCCAAATGTGATAAAAGAGCTAAAGTTGAATTCCCCTTCACGCATCAAATGAGCCCTAACTTCTGAGCTAACTTCTCTGACTCCAGTCCCAGCAGAGATCATTACATGTCCATGTCTGCTGAACACTTTCATCCAACTTCTCTGAATGTCCATGTCTGCTGAACACTTTCATCTCTTTATGCATGATTTTTGGACATCTCGCTTGAGATTATTGCACATGATGTGGCAGCCTGGTACAAGAGGTATCAAGGGGAAAAAAATATTTTTGAAAAAAAGTTTTATTTGACGGAGTCAGTGTGCCAGGTAATTTTATCAATTTAACATTTTACCTGCCCTCCCATGCGCTCATACTTAAAAGAAAGCATTTTTCCTCTGATTTAAATTCCAACATCACCATCTGAGGCACAGTCTTCATTTTATTAGATCAGCGTTAGCTGTCCCTGCTGACAGCAGCAAACATTTACTTCATTTTCTTGGTAGAGACAGTACTCTGGTAATGTGACTGCGATCGGCACTTATGGTAAAAATGTCACCCAGAAGGATTGAGTCCATCCTTCGCTTCATAGGTCTTATCTACTCAGATGTTTTCCTCTGAATCATACAGAAAAACACCTGCCTTTAATGCCTGTGTACTTCAGGAGGTCCAGCTTATCTGTACCAGGACTTGAGAAGACGATCACGTCCATGCTTTTATCCTCTCTGACTCAATCTCTCTGTTAAATTGCCTGATTCTTCTTCTTTTAGGCTTCACCACTGTTTTCTGCTTGTTCTTTGTTTCATCACGTGTTCCTCTTTTTTCCTGCTGCCCTTTAGATTCCAGTAATGTAGTGATGCAGTCTTCACTATCAGCAGAGCTTTGATAATAATCAGTGGACGGTCATACGTCACAGTGTTTGAATTAAAGGATTAGCCTGATGAAGGAAACAGCAGCAGCCTGGATATAATGAAGACTTACGAGGAGCTGCATGAACACAAAGTGTGTGTCTGCACACACAAACACAGTGGGTATAGAGAGATGGGGTTTCTTCTTATTGACAAGGAGAAGGACCTATTTATTTTGGGTTGGTCCACTTACAGAATATCTACAGTGAATGTGTATCTTTGTTTAGTGGTGTCTATGTAATTGTGTCAACAGTGCAGTTAGAACCAGAACATGGCCATGGCCTACAGTATGTGATGCAAAGATAACCTGCAGCTATACTCTCCACGACCCCGGCGCGGAGCTGCGTCTGCTTCGATTTGTTAAAATGTCACAAAGCTACAAATTGCGATTATCTGTGAATTTATTCTCGCTGCTGATGCTCTTTGTTGCCGATAGTGTATCCGTCGGCACTGACACGAAAATCTAAGTCAAGTTTTCAGTAATGTTAACTGGCAAAGTCTTTAGATTTGACATTCTTTTTACAGTCATTTGATCACACTATTTTCCTTCCTCCATCATGTTACAAGCTCTAAAAATTGTCCTTTCTTCAACATTTGACAAGTGACATTTCTGTTAGCATTGATTTTGTTCCGTTCCCCCATTTTCTTCCACTTGTTATTCACAGGTCACAGCTAGAGCCAATAAGGGCTGATAACAGGGAAAAAGAAGAGATTGACCCTTAACAGGTTAACAGTAGATCACAGAAACACACACGCAGGTCACCGTTCACGTGTATCACAGATATCCTGACCTGCGAAAAGTCATTTCCAGGATGTAACCTACCGCAGCATCCTGCTGCTTATCAAAACCAGTCATTCAGGGGACTGTGTCTCTGCTTTCTTGACTGGCACACAAGCACAGTGCCAAATGTGTGCACTGTCTCTCTCACAGACTCTCCTGTGGGGATTTCTTACCAACTCACTCTGGGCTCTGGGGAGTTTTATATATTTGTGGAGATCCAGACGCTGTAGAAACACCAAATTTCCAAGATTCTTGGGAAGTCTTATTACTAACACAAAAGATTCCTTACTTTTTTTTGTGACCACATAAAATAATAACCTCTGCTATTCACCTGCTGATGGCACAGCAGCTAGGAGTACTTGCTGTTACGGTACGTGTCATGATGTAATAATATAATAACATTATTAGTCTCTTATCCATCCCACAAAATTCACAGTGTGAGTCTTTGCAGCCCACACAGGCCTCCACAGGAGGCGCCATTAAGTAAGAAGTTCCTCTGGGGCTCAAACCCAGGACATTCTGTATGTAAGGCAGGTGTGATAACCGCCACACTATGGAACAATTTCACCTTTTTGGTGCAGTTCAATCAATAGATCTGGTGGAAAATATTTACTCTCAGAGTCTGGGTCAGGAGTCAAAGATGAGTCACAGAGATCATCACATTAGGTGTAAAAGACAGTCAGAAATGTCCAAGTATTCACAACTGTACTCTCTTAGCCGTGGTAGTATCTTCTGCTTTCTGCGATACCAGTAAAGGTTAATGGAATTCTGTCGTAGCAGACCATTAAACTTGTTTTCCTCACCTGACAACACTTGAGCCAACACTTGACATTTATTTGTGTGCAACGTTCTTCGCCACTCACATCCAAGAGCCTCATTCCAAAGTCATTTGTACTGAAGGTAAACAACAGGTGATGATAGATTGCGTGTTTACCTTCTGATGTCACATCACGGTGAGGAAAATGATCAACAATACAATGTGCTGGAAGTTTTTTAAGAAGTTATTTATTTTGCAGCACAGTCTTGGAAAACATGAAATGATTTATTTCACCACAGCCTTAATTTCTTTGTAGTTCCTGTGATGATTCAAGCTAACGCCATTGCCTAACCTGTGTGTGTGTGTGCTCCAGTGTAGCGCCTCACTGGATGTGTGCCCATGCAGTGCTGTATGTGTGATCCTGTTTAGCTTATTCATGTTATTGATTTTCCAGTATGGTTCTGGGAGAGTCTGAATTGGCAAATTGTTCTGACACAGACGTCAATTTAAAAGGCCGTATAATTTACCTAAGTGGAAATGCTTAGTAAGAAGTGATTGTTCCAAAAATTCATGGTTGGAGTGATAGGGCAGGGTTTGGAGTCTTTGTTATCACAAAGCTAGCTTTGAGAAATCCAAAAAAATGTAATCTATGGATTCAGTTGTTCATAAAAAGGTTTGCTGAAGAATGCACATCAAAATTTAAAACAACATTTTCTTCTATTTTCTACGAATAACACAATTGTTTAATATTGTTGTTTAATCATTTTTTTGTTAAAAACTAATTAATTTTAAAACCAGCTTGACTCCTGAAATAATCTGCTCAGCAGTGCTCCCAGAGGCATGTGTGAGATCATATGAGATGATGAAAGTGAGACACTTCTGTGGAGTTTTAAAGTTAACTTTTACATTTACTTCACAGTTGATTGACTTATGATTGAGAGAAAAAAAATCGATTAATCCATCGATTAATCTAGTAACTTGTGGCTCTGAGAACGTGTAGTTTGAACCGAAGAGTTTGACAAATGAATCAAACGTGTGAATTAATAAAAAGTCACTTACTGCTGATGAAAGTTGAGAAAAACAATGAACACACTAATCTCTGCCCTGCAGGTACATGGCCATCATCCACCCTCTGAAGCCTCGTCTGTCAGCCAAAGCCACCACAGGAGTTATCGTTTGTATCTGGAGTTTGGCTGTGGTTCTGGCCTTTCCTCTCTGCTACTTCTCTACCATTCAAACTCTGCCTGGACCTCGCAACAGAACCCTCTGCTACGTGGCCTGGCCTCACAAGGCCAGTGACGCATTCATGTAAGAAATGTTTACAAGCTTCAATGGGTTGTGAAGGAATCTGCTTCGAAACATCTCAAAACCAATTAAATCAATTTCACTAATGTGTACACTTACTGGCCACATTATTCAGTTCATCTCGTTTGGACTGTATTTTCTCCATGGAATAATTCCATTCATCAGATTAGTGTCAATAATAATATCCCAGCTGCAATTTCTCAGTGGGATCTGGTGACAAACAGTGTGCTTTTAATGCACTGAACCTTAGGAAATAATACAAATAATAAAAAGGGCATTTACATGATAAGAGCTTTGTGACAGTGGTTTTCAAAGTGGGGGACACAGCCCCCCGGAGCTAATGGGTCCTTAGACAATTGGAGGGAAGATAAGAAAAAGAAAAATTTTAGTAACCATTTGTCCTCAACCTTACAACACAAAGTTTTGTAATCGTCGGATTCTCAAGTTTCCGACGGTTCCTGAACCCACCTCGTGAGACAGCTGCAACTTTGACCTCTGGCATCAACAAAATGTTTCACTCATCTTTGGAATACGCTCTGCAAACCCTAAGATGGTCATGGCGTGAAATCTCAGCAGACGATGTTCAAATAATCATTTAATGTCACTTGAATCAACTTTTGTTTTCTCAACCAGGTCAACTACAGTAAACTAAATAACACAATTTTGATCATATTATTGTCTAATTTAATATTTGCATTAACATGCAGCCTAATGGGTATGCCTATCAAAGTGGCCAGTCAGTCACTAGTAGGCTACACCCTTATGTTTATTAGTCGACCAACAAAGAACCTTTATGTATAACAGTCCTGACAATGACATGAACAGAAATATAAAAATATGACGACAAATACAATTTGGTTGTTAAGTAGACATTTTGAAATGATATAATCAACTGTGTTATATCTATAATTTGTCTATCAATACGGTGGTTAATGTTTATAACAACAGGCAACCACAGGAAGCCAAAACAATATTTTTCCAGTCCCAGTCCTGTCTTCCTGTGTGTGGCCTTAACTACATTTACAAAACTTCGGGGACCACGTTCATGCATTTCCCATATATAAAACCATCACTCTTCTATTGATGTGAATTTTCTTCTACCCTTTTTTCCTCTCCAGGTATCACATCATAGTGACAGTTCTGGTCTACGCGCTGCCTTTAGTGGTGATGGGCATCACTTACACTATAGTGGGGCTGACGCTGTGGGGAGGGGAGATCCCCGGAGACTCATGTGATAACTATCACGGCCAGCTCCAGGCTAAGAGGAAGGTAGGCATACGGAAATCCAGATCCATTCATTACAGCGTGCAGATTTTACTTAGGGCTGTTTAATTAGTAAGTGAGAAGAGGGAGGTCTTTAAATGTTAACGAAGTCAGCTGAAGAACCATTTGTAATTTCCTGCTCATGAGCTCCAAGAAATGAGGATCTGACTTACATAGACATACGGAAGAACAATGCTCTTTGTGGCCACTTAACCTTTACGACCTCAGAAAGGGAATATTGTATGTGTGGATTTACTTTATTTTCTTGTTTTGGTTAGAACCACTACGTTATTTTTAAATGTCAATGCAACGGTGATATTCTGTTTCTCTGTAGTTTTGTTTTCTATTCAAGCCTCTTTTAATTTTTATTTATTTATATTTTACTTTAACATATTTATTTGTTTGGAGTGTTTAGTGCGGGGAACAGGTAGACATGCTGCATTTGAGTCGAGAAATCTTTTATTCAACACAACACAACCTTTGTGGTTGTCACTTGTCCTCATTCAACCGCTCGCTTAGACATCCAGACTGTGTCATGGCCTGAAAAGCGGTCGTGTCTCCAGGCACAGTCAGTTTGTCTGCACTTTGGAACAAATGTCTAAACCCTCGCCCCTGATGTCCCAGGAGTCTGAATATTTATTTTAAAAATATTTTCTGCCCGGTGATAAATGTACTTCTTTGTATCTTCCAAATCCCAAATGCAATACTTTGCAACTAATGCAGTATCCATCAAAGTAAAACCTCGGACAGAGATTCCTTTCATTACAACTGATGAGACATCTCAGGTCTCTGTGTGACTTTATGTCATATGTCTATCATTAATAGACATTTTTATGCTTTCCTATTATGGATAGACCAGCAACTGTCTTGGGCTGTCATTACGACCCACTCAGTCAAGTGCATCCTAACTGAAGCCATCCATCATGTTACCAATATGCCATTATGTCAGGCTTGGATCCTGTAGGGTTCTACTGAATTAGGTCTTTGATTCAAACTGTTTGTCAATAATTAGCGTTGTCCCTTTACCAGTTTTTTGAAAGCAGATACAAGTACAAACCTCATCATTTGTGTACTAGCTGATACCAAGGTACTTCATGTTGGGTTTCAACTATCATACTAGCAACTATCACTGTCGCCTCATTGGTCCATAGTTCTAATTTTGTCCAAATGCTTATTTGGATTGTGCTGTTAGAGGGGAGTACAATTTAAATCAACTCTCAATAAGAGAATAATGATATAATACGATACAAAAAGATACAATACGACACAACACGATAACACGTGTATATTTCTACTGCAGAAAAAAATGTCCTTGTTACAGCTGCAGTGGAAAGACAAAATAATAAGAAAAATCACATCCATTGCCCTTGTACATGGACACATATACACACACATTTGTCCTCAGCATTTAACGCATCAACTCATTCCTGGGGATTGAGCTTTGAGCGCTCGGAAGCACATCAGGAGCATTAGTGCTAGCTCAGCAGACCAAGGTGGGGTTCAAACCAGGGTCCTCTGATCACAAGCACAATAATAAATAACAAATAACTCTTAAAGCAGAAAAGAAGCAAAAAAATTAGAGTTTTCAGCTAATTGTAGATAATCAATTATAATGTAATAAAAATGAAAGAAACATAATAAAACTTAAATTCAGAAGAAGAAAAGAATCAAATTGACCAGAGAAGGAGAATATAAAAAATACACCTTGTACAGTTGCTGTGAAAAACCGAACCTGTAATTGGCAAACTGAGTGTGATGTCAGAGATCCCTTGTTAGTTTCTCTCTTCTTGTGTGAATATATCTCCTGTGGCAGTTCATCTTCATATTGTTTTTTCCATATTTTGTTCTTGTCTCTTCTTCAAGTCAAGTCAAGTGGGGATTTTTTTGTATAGCCCAAATTAACAAATCACATTTGTCTCAATGGACCTTTAATTTTTAAAAATTGAATTTGAAATATCCCGGAGGAACAAACGTACGTATATACAGTCAATTCCGTACTGAGTTTGTATTAACAATAAAAAGTAGAGCAATATAAACTTCACAAATATTGCTGAAAAGCAAATTAAATTACACACTGAGCAGTATTTTGGCAACGGTGGAGAGAGAAAAAGAAAAAAAAAACATTCAACAGAAAAAACTCTCCAGCAGATCCAGACTCATTGTTGCCATCTGCCTCAGGAAAGAGAGAAAGAGGAAATTAGGGGAGACTGCAGAGGGGAAGAAAAGAGGTGAGGAAAGAACGAGAGAGAGGAGTAGACACACAACAGGATCATATGTAGAGACCTTAAAAAATAGGAAGCGAGTTGGGGAAGGGGTTAGGAGGTGGCATCTTGTGTCAACTCGCCTGATGTTTTTCAGCCAAACCACTCTCTTATTAGTTGGTGAGAAACTCTGTATGCTCTTTATTTAATTGTTTTATTTGGTTTATTTAAGTGTTTGTATATTTGTAATTAGTCAGCGTTATATCAGATTTCAAATATTACAGGAAATGTAACGGTGCGGCATATGTACTTCCTACTGACCTAAACCTAAGCCCTGTGATGAAAAGTGCAGCAGAAGCAGTTTTGAGGGTCAGTCACATTATAATAAAAGTGATGTTGGCTGCTTTCTTTAAGGGGCAAGAGTCATAGTCACATGACCTTTAATTGCTTTTCTCAACAGTGATTGTTTAGAAAGAAAAAAAAAAAGATGTTTTCACACCATGAGAAACATCCTGTTGAAACACATGACCCTAATGGACACTTTTTTGTTGCTGTCACTGAATCCATTATGAGAAAAGATACAAATTCAGTGACAGCTTGTGTGCTTGAATGTCATGAGCAATACTCCGTACTGCTTCTGGAGAAAAAGTCAAGTTCCAGGAAAAATACCACCTTTTAAATACAATAAAGGCCTCAGAAGGCATTTACTTTACAAGAGAGGCTATTAGAACACGTCTGGTGCTGGAAAATGTAAACAGATGACAGCCTGGGCAAAAGACTGTGACGTCTTGGTTAAATAATGATTCTTATAGAATAGAATAGAATAGCACCACTCCATACCATATCACACCGTACTATATTGTACCTTACTATACCTAAACACATGGTACTATACCATACAACACTGTACCTTAACATCTCGTCTTGCTTTCTCAATAAAAGTCTTCCACTTAAGCCACTCTGAAAAAAAAACCCTTTATTAATGAAGTGCTCCTAAACCCTGTAAGGTTTTTACACAATCCAGCAAACTAAAACAAGTGCCATGCGAAGCACCTACATCTGCAAAGTAATTATTATGCCATTACAGTGTGAAACAAAATATGTAAATGGAACTAAAAAGGAGTCGACGAGGTGGCAGGGCGGTTAGTGCTCCTAGCAAGAAGATCACTGGTTCAAGTCTTGAACCTGGGTTTATAACGCAACATTTTGCTTAAAACTGTTGGTGGGATTTATTCATTACTGCGTATGTTGATGGAGGCTATAGAAAACACCAATAGTTCTTTTAATAAACCCACAAAGCTCTTGTCCTCAAATATATTCTACAGTTCATTGCAGTGACCGGCAGTTGACACCTCCACAAACACAGGTTGGACCTGGAGATGTTATTTTGAGCTCCAGGTGCTTCGACTGTATGTCAGAGCCAGAGTAAGTGGATAGATGGAGTCTTTCCGTATCTCATTTGTATTCTGTACTCACAGCCCTGAAGATGGTCAGATAATGTCTATATAAAGCATGGCTTAGGTTAATGTAAACCTCACAGGATTTACTGAATATTGTTTATATATCCAAGGAGGAAAGTATGTGCACTCTTTGGTCATCGCACTCTAGAGACGGGCTCTAAATTATGTATCTTCACTCTTCTCTAGGAAAGACTGTCATATGTTGTTAGCCCCACATTTGTGCAGCGTCTACTTGTTTACTGTTTGCTGCGTCTGAGTGACTCACAACAAACATTTAACACTGAAAATGTTCTATTATGGAATGTACATTTTTAATTTTTCTACATGTCAAAACATTACTTATCCTGTCAGGTTTGTTGTAAAGCAGACACATACTTTGAATGTCTGAGAATGAAGACAGTGTAGCCAGTGTACACACATACAGTAGAGTGCATTTAAAAATGTGAACATGTTCATATTATTGTTTATATTCATATTAATGGACCAACCCTTAAAAAGTAAACTAATGCAACTGTTCATATGCAGTACATGGATCGCTTCCTTAAAGATAATACTCACTTTATTTTACCTTACCACAGCGACCTAGTGTTTTCCACAAGGATTTTCCATTATTTGTCCCTTATCTACAAAATCGACTTTTGTCCATTCTAAAAAAATGACCAGTGCACAAATTTTATTTCTAGCCAAAACCCATTGGGTCATATCTAAATCTACCCTGCATTTTGTCATTACCTTTAGAAGTTTGAATACCCCCAAAATGAGGGGAAAACAAAATCACACAATTAAAATATAATCGCATTTCTGATAAGGAATTAATGAAGTTGGGTTGGAAGGGAAAAGGACAAAACAAGGCACAAAAGGAGGAAACTAAGAAAAAAGAATGAACAAAAGAAACAAAGAAAGAAAGAAAGCAGAAATCACTTAAACCTAGATTTACCTGGAGAATTATTTTCATGTCAAAACGGAAATGCCTGTAGCGTAAACACAAAATGTTCTGGGTAAGACGGCAAAGGTTAGACATTTCCGTGAGGTTTCTCTGTCAGCAAAATAAAAGGAAAGGGAATTAAAATCTACAAAGTGACATAAGACACATGCACCAAAAGTTCAGACTTTCTATCAGGCTTTCTAGGAATTTGTTTGAGTGTACCGTAATTTAAAAAATAATTGACTTGTAGCTATAGCTGAATAAAATGGGATGCGACCCCATGGTGAACCCACTGTTTTGCAAAAAGCTGCAGGTTTTCAAGCTGTAAATAAACTAAAAAATACAGTCATTCTTTACTTGGTCCCTTTGTTTGCTCGAGAGAAAACATGGTTATTAATTTGAAACTCTGACCGTTTAGAATTCTGCTGCTAACGTTTACAGCACAGCGTGTGTTATGTTATAAACTTCTCTGCAGTTTACACTCCAAAAAAAGTGAGTCAAGACCTGTGTTTAGATTTCTTGATGTGCATGATGTCTGTATTGTCTCTGGTCGACACTGGTCCTCATGTGAGGTGTCATTCTGCTCTGGTTAACATCACAAGTTAGCACACATCTGGAGGAAAACAGCAAAGAAAAAACAAAACAAAACAACAAAAAACAATTTGCATGGCTGTGTTGTACAGCATTGTTTCCCAAAGACTGGGTTGCGATCCTCAGGTGGGTCGCAAGAGATTTTATTTGAAGTCGTCTCACATCACGTTTCGCAGGAGTTTATGACTAATGTCTATTGACTTGGGTCGATGGGCGAAGGTTTGTGACTTTTAAAATATGGGTCCCCCAAAAAAGTTTGGGAAACACTTGTACAGGATAAAAAAAGACAGGAAAAGTAACAGTAACAACCACGGCCGTTTAGCTGCTCAGATTGGTGTAAAATGTAAATTTTCCTTAATGAAGATCAAGAAAACCCGGTCCTCTCACATTTTGTCCTGTGTTAATTCCGATCAGTATCTGAAAGTAACAATCTAACGATCTGTCTGTATTTAAGATTAGTTGCGAGATGATTGAGTACTGAGCAGCATATAGCGTGGCGAATACAATGATGCTATTAATTTGACTGTAGATGGCGTTTTATTTTTGGAAACGTTGAAGTCCTTGCACCTGCCATATGCTGCCACATAACTGGGTTTGTTTACCATTGTAGCTGGAGCTAGTGTTCCTGATGCTGGCAGCTGTCAAGTAATGAAGCATACTTTAATTATTTTATTATAATTTCAGACATTCTTCAAGTACCTCGTATTTTGTATAATTTATTTTTAATCAAGAAAAGTGTGCAAGCATGTCAAAAAAGCTCCTTGTATTTCCAAGACACTGCTAAAATATAACTTCCAAGTCTACAGTTCGCAGTAGGTGTATAAATAGAGTAATTCAATTATTTATTGATCAGTGAATGAAGGAAAATTTAATGATTGATTTTCAGTTACATATAGTTCCTATATGCATTACAGCCCTGCAGGTGGCAGCAATGATCCAACAGGTTGTTTGCCATTCATGAAAAGTGGCAAAACAATGAGAATATAATGAGGGAATGAAGAGAAATCTAAATTAAATTCTACTTTTTTTTTCATTTCTGAGTACAAATCGTTCTCTGAGGTTCATCACTTCAACTTTTCTTCCGTCAGTTTCAGTTCCTTTGCTTGTCTTCAGGTGGTGAAGATGATGATAATTGTGGTGGTGACCTTTGCCCTGTGTTGGTTGCCTTATCACATCTACTTCATTGTGACGGGTCTCAACAAGCAGCTGAACAGGTGGAAGTACATCCAGCAGATTTACCTGTCAGTGATGTGGCTGGCAATGAGCTCCACCATGTACAACCCCATCATCTACTGCTGCCTCAACAGCAGGTGAGTGGCTGGAACTGAATGTCTCTGAGGTCACTGTCTGATGTCACAGGTTACAACTGTTCACGTAGACCGTAGGCCTGTAGACCGGGCTCGTCACTGTGGCACAAAATAAATCTTTAGCTGAATCCATTTGTACCATTTTAACTGTAAAAATATACTGAACTGCTATGAGACTAAAACACAGATAAAAAATAAACTGTATATACATATATATATATATTTAATTTATAATAAGATCAACGGTCGAAATGTTTAGCGACATTGCATATGAATATATGCAATGTCGATGAAGTGCTTAATTTATAAAAGAAAACCATTAATTTTAATTCTATTGAATATTTTATGCACTCATAGATAATATATTATGCTAATATAAAACATTTATTATCATCCTCCATCTCGTGATTATTTTGCTTAATATCAGTGATGGGGGAGAGATTCACAATGAAGCTGTTGTCAAAATGAATTCTCTCTGTATTAATGAGGTTAATGAGTTGTGTCTTCTTTAGTCATCTTTTCATCAGCAGATATCACTTCATTTTCCTCCAAACATCTTTGTTTTCCTGGCTTTGTTTTCCAGCATCATTAATTGTTTTAAATAACATCAGCTGAACTGTGCTCCCCTTCACTGCACTCTTACTTTATAAATAATTGATCTATAAATGAAGCTGTGAGATACAGGTCAGGTTTTCAGATACATCTGCCGTATGACTGGGAGAGTGTGCTGTCCACCCTCTCTGTCATTCATTAACACATTCTCATTAGACACATTTGGCAGCTTTAATCAATTCCCTCTGGTTTGCACTACATTTCCATCCTGTGTTTCTCACTCATTCACTGATGATTTTCAATTTCAAAAATTGAAACTGTGTTGATGTCTTCAACTTTATTATATCAGAGCTACCCTGCTGTTCCTGACTAATGTACCAATGATGACTTTGTTGTTACATTTTAGTTAGTCTATACGGCAGAGTCAGGCAGGATGATTTAATACTCTTCTTTGTGCCTGTCTTTCTTCAATTCCTTTGAGTTTATCAGTGCTGTCTTCAACTAAATAAGCACAGGTTTCACACTGAGTACATGAATTAAAACTAGAAGATCATTGGTGGTTCCATAGTGTAGCAGTTATCACACCTGCCTTACATACAGTATCTGCCTTACACACAGAAGGTCCTGTGTTTGAGCCCCAGAGGAACCGCGTAACTGTCAACACTGTAAACTCTGCTGTAGACACGGGGACAAATAAGGGACTAAATATACCCCATTTGCTGGTCCACCGTGGGATTTTTCTAATGCCATATAGGTGCCAGACTCAAAGGGCAGTTAGGAATCACTGCCCTAAACTGACTATAGAGATGAATATGAATATGAGTGTGTTTGTGTACGTAGTAGAGTCTGTGGCCCTGTGATAAGCTGGTGAAGCAGGTTGTATCCAAATGACTGCTGGGATTGGCTCAGCTTCTACTGCGTTCTTGCAAAAGGATCAATGGCAGAGGATTTATAAATGACATCTGCAGTTCATAAAATCACATCTTTACGGACTACCATTCAAATTTGTTTTGTCAAAAAAATAAGGCTGCGTCCTCGCAAAGTTCTAACATGCTTGTTTACTCGGAGTGAATACTAATTTTTCTGTGTTTGCACCACAACTTATACGGCACCAGGTTTCGCGCTGGCTTCAAGCGAGCTTTTCGTTGGTGCCCATTCATCAAGGTGTCAAGCTACGATGAGCTGGAACTGCGCTCTACGCGGCTGCACCCCACACGCCAGAGCAGCATGTACACACTCTCACGGATGGATACCACCATGGTGGTTGTTTACGACCCCTCTGAGAATGATGGTCCAGGTGGGGGCTCCAGCAGGAAGCATTCTCTTTCATCGAAGAAAAGGAGTTACACCACCACACGTCACGCCGGGGTCGCCAGGTGCAGCAGTGCCAGTGTGAACACACAAAATGGAGAAGCAGCCAATCCTCAGCCTGAGCAGTTCTCCTGAAAAGTCCACACCAACCTGTGTAGAAAAATATCACATTTAACACCGTGAAGTAGATTTCTCTCATGAATTTCAAGTTTTACTGAACGTCCACACTTACAGCTGGATGAGACGATTATTGATTTTGGTGTAATGAAGAATATTGATTTTTTTTTAAGATATGTTGTGGCCAGGATTACAGAACAGTCTCCGTGGACACAGTCCCAAAGGCTCAATATGCCACAGACCGTCTGTATAATGAAACACTCCTCAGTGCTGATCTTGATCCCTGAGCTGCAGTGATCTCATTTGTTTTGACTGATCATTAATGACATGGTCAAGTTGCTCATATGTATTTTACCCAATTAATTTTCCCGCGACAATGTATCGAAACTTCTTTGTCCGCCCAATTTCCCACGACAATGTATCGAAACTTCTTTGTCCGAAATAGCATTATAGTGTGAACAGAACAGCATCTTTAACAAATCAGATCTCTGAAGATTTAGAAAAGAAATATTCGTTAAAAAGTGAAGACCTCCGACCATTCAGTTTCCAACAGTGTCAGTTCACTGTCTGTCTGTTTTTATTCATTATTGTTTTAAAAGAAATGCCAAAAATGGGATCTATGTCCGGATCAACACCAAAGTTCAATTAGAGACGTCCTCAGAACCTCTGCACCAGGGGTCCCCAACACCTGGTCCTGGGACCAGTGCTGGGCCGAACGTCATTTGGTACCGGGCCGCAGTGGGAAACATGTACTTCAGTTTTACTAATTTACTTCATTCAAAAAGAAAATAATAATAAAAATATAAAACTTACCTGATACATGTGATGTTGTTCACCAATGTGGCCTTTAATACACATCAGTGACAGGATGTACACATTGCATTAATCAGAACCAATCATGTTTGAGTTTCCAGAACACATTCTTTCCTGTGAACGTACTAAAGTAAAAAAAAAAAAAAATAGCTCAAAGCTGAATTTGTGAGTTGATTGACTGTATGACAATTCAAAATGCTAAATTATCAAACTGATGATCAGTAGTCACTGTGATCTCTGGCACGGAGGATAAGTCCCAGATTATTGATTATTTAAGTATAACCCCAGGGCAGGTTCACAGCCAAAATGTATTTGTAAATATTGTTAAATAATTCCGGAGCCATTGTGCCGCATACTTATTACAGTGAATGCTCTAAATGTGCATGTATCTGTTTGATGTCAAAGAGATTAGAGATGTGTCTGGGAGTCCTAACCCTAACCTCTTCATTGACCTGAGGCACACCTTGGGCTGGTGTCTGGATTTTATTTGCATTTACCTGAAGGCATCATGGCCCAAACGGTGCAGCCTTGACCACAGGATGTGTTTACAGCATGTGTACACAGAATCTTTGATCATCACAGACATTTTGAGACACTGTCGGTATAAAAAAAGAGCTTTAAAGTTTGTTGAGGTAAAAGTATGTGACCAGAAGAAAACATTTTTTGAAGATTATAAAAGATTTAAAAGTATCTTTACATGTTTTAATTTGTTTTGTTGTCAGGTACCTGTGTGTAAAGAAGTAACTGAAGTGAATTGATCTTTTTGTTTGTTGGTTTTCTTATTGTGGCAAAGAGAATCCTGCACAAATATATATTGAACTCTATTTTAAAAGAAGACTTAATGAAAGTATTTTACTGAAGAATGTGAAGACAAAGGTTTATTGTTCGTTGTAGGTGTCAGTGCTCGCCACTATTTTCAAGTGTATTATAAATATTTACAGTGGGAGGAGCCTTTAGTGTTTTGTCCGTGTAAAAGTCTTTGTTTTCTTTGACTGAACTGTACTGTACTGTACTGTACTGTACTGTACTGTACTGTGTCATGTGTTGAACATTTTCTCTGCTGTATCTTACTTGGGCCAAAAAATTTCAGTAGAATTGTTTTTTGTTTGTTTGTTAATTTCATCTAAGTTCTGCATTTAATCATCAGACTATAAAATACTTTAATAATTTATCAAGTAATATTTATGTTGAATGTTAAAGAGAATTGTTGGTCTGGTGTCTTTGAACTATAGCTCTGGTACGGCTTCATTAGTAAATGCGTTCAAATATTATCAAATGTGGCAGTTAATCGTTAATTGCTAACGTACGCTTTTAAATGCTAGGAAAAGCTAAAGTGATTTGTTTCGTGCTATTTTGTGATGAAGACTAATTACATATCGTTCTGATCATTACGTTTTAAAGTGAATCCTGCTCTTCATGTTCATGTGGATTTTATTTTATTTTTTTTCAGATTTCTTTTTCAGATTAAAGGTGTAAGTGTCATTTAATTGAACTAATACAGACAAATGTGGATTTTAAAATTACGTGTCATTGTCAGTGTCTTGTCTTGGTTGAAATATCTCTGCGAAGCGACGTTGGCTGCACATGGAGATTTAGACACATTTTAATCCATTCTAGAGTGCACTGATTATTACAGTCAGATTTATGAAGAATCTTTCGTAACTGACACCACTTAAAACATGATTTTCACAATTTTTCACACACTGTGAAGCCAGGACTTGACCATTACATTTAAGTACGTAAGTATCTTATTTGTTTTGATTTTTTGTGTGCCTGTTAATAAAGCACTCACACACTTCTTCATTAATCATGTTTCTCGCAGTAACAGCTCAAAAATGAACTTAATGATCACAATCTCCAGGCAGCGTTTCTTTCCGACACATTGCGACAGTAGCCCTGGACTATTTTACATAATTATTGGGAAGAATTTGATTAGTTAGCAGGTCAGACCGCAGGGAATGTGGGAAACTGCAAAACAGAACGGTTAAAACATGGAGAAGAAAATAAATACCAAATTGTGACAGTTTATGTATCGTGTGGAACATTTCACCCAGGACTATTAAAGGCACAGTCTGAAGTATTACTAAAACCCAAAACTCAAGTTTCATGTTGTTGAAGATTCCTCACAAAACCATAGCCATCCAAGCAGACCTGTCACTAACCAGTTCAATGCCCGGGGCAAGATTGTAGGTGGCGCCCTCTCTGCAGTGACTTAAAGTGGACATTTACATAAAGTCACACAAGAAAACTAAATTTCTTTGTCTTTGACATGCTCTGTTATTTAAAGGAAGTGTTACCCAATCAAAACACTGAACAAAATGGAGAATGCATTTGAAATGAAATTTAAATATTGGGAAATTAAAATAGCATGAGTGCTAAACATCAAAGATGAATTATCCACAAAATAAAATTATATGTTAATGATATGTTATTTAAAGTAAACTCAACATAATGAAAGGCAAGGCAACACATTTAAATAAAAATGATTTATTTAAGAGTTCAATATAAAAAAAACTAAAAAAATGTATATTTACCTAACCTCAGACATTGTTCCAGGTGGGAAACGTGGTGAACTCCTGCACAGGATGACTGCTGGGATTGGTTCTAACAGTGAAGAGAAGCTGCAGAAGACGAACGACTGAATATTAAACAGTGCAGCTCCTAAAGAAACTGCTATTTTTAAAGTTCAGTTTTACAGAGGGCCGGTTACCTTCCTTACTTCATATTGTTGCTGTGTGTACTGTTACGCAACATAAATGTGTGAATGTATTTACCTTCTAACTGTTCAAACCATGAGGCGTGACAGAATATTGATCTGAAAGAGCTAATCCATTTGGGTATGAACCAAAGGCACATCAATTATTTATCATGGTCTTATTAGAAAATGAGTTACTGCTCTGTGCCTTATTAAACCTTAATTAACATAAGCCAAATGTTAAGGTTACAGTAATTACTATATCTGCTGTGAGGTATTTTATTTGACCTCTTCTTCTTTTGAATGACTTTCTTGAGGACTGTGATTTAACTTTGAGAAATCATGTTTAAAGTGTTTACATCGCTGCGATGGAAAGAACAGTTCTGGTCTAACACCACGCACAGTCGTGGCTCTGCAACACTAAATAAGGCAGTGGTACACAGCTGTCCTGCCTTCATAGTTTAGAGTGCTGGTCTGCTGCTCTGTGTCAGGCCACTTGGCAGGTTTGTCATTTTCAGTGCAGCCTCTCACTGAGCACCACAGCATAAAGCTGTCAAAACAGACACCGGACGTCTGATGACTCTTACTGTTCACTGCTCCGTGAACCGAGGAAACATGTTTGTGTTGCTTTTACTCCAGAGTACATAAATGTTTCACTGCAATCACTGCGCGATAATTATTGAGCCGGCTGATCTTTCATTTACACAGTCAGACTAATATTTAAGCTACATTTAAACTGTGTTTTATAATTGATTTTATTCCATCTGCTAAACCAATGTGTGTGTGTGTGTGTGTGTGTGTGTGTGTGATTGTGTGTGTGTGTGTGTGATGAGGCAGTCATAGTAATTTTTTTTCTTAGTTTAGCTCCTAAGGGAACTTGCATCTTCGGGTGAAGCTATTGTTTCTTTTTCAAATTTGATATTTTTTTAAGCTCCCCATTGTCCTCGTTCCTGGTGTGGCTGTTATCTCAGTCTGTGCAGAGCAGTGGGAGTTTATACTGGAATTGGTGGAAGTTGTGTGTAACTAATTTGCTGTGGCTATGAATTCTCTACCTGACAGTGCTACGTGTCTTCGTCTCATCTAATGTGTCTACGACCCTGCAGTAACCCACCTGCCAGAACAGGATGTGACATCAATCACAGGATGCTGTGTTCATAGTAGTGGATGTGGATTTTACACCTGTCAGCATGTGGGTATAGTTTTTAAAGTTCTTTGTCAATCAGTTTGACTTCAATCACAGACCCAGTCACAGGCTCTGTAACTGACAGCTGACTCACTTCTTTCCACAGTGACCTGCTCCTGGCCTCCAGCCTTCTTCTCCACTGAGGATAATGAACCCTGTTGTTGTTGTTGTTTGATTTTATCTTGAAGCTGCTTCATCTAGGATCACCGTGCTGTGTAGATCAGCTCAGTGGTTTCAGTTTTGGTCCAAGTAGGACGAGTGCCTAGGGCTGCATTCACACAGACATAGAAGGTGGTCTGTGTAGGAGCCTATCTGTGATCTTCAATCTTAAGCCAGGTGCTATTATTTTCAGCAGGTCGTAAGGGCATGTAATTAGTGGATCTTGGTGATATCTCCTCTCTGACATGTTGTCGTAGCCCCCCCTTAGTGCAGTGAGCTGAGGCCAGGATGTGGACTTCCAGTCTTACTCACTTCTCTGTGCTTGACATGATCTAATAGAGACTGTCTGGTCCCCTGTCCACTTAAATGACATCAATCAGCAATTAGTTAAAGAGGCATTTGACATTTGAATTAAGAATAACAAACACAGACACCACACAGGAATCCCAACAGTAGAACAGCTAGATGTGCATCGTTAAATGTTCCATCATATACAGTACAGTAGTTCCTGTATAAACATTAGACTATAGACTTTGACTTTGGATCAGCCAGAGACTACTTCCTGTCAAAGGTCGCTGTTTATTTTTACTGTCCCCATTTGTTCAATTAATGGTGTTTTTGTCCATAACATTGTGACACCACTGGGTGTCAGTTTTACAGAAACCTTGTGAGTGCGTCTGAACAAGTCTGGTTTAGCCTTATTGACCTTCTCAGTCTCACATGCCTCGGTAAACGAGAGCTACACTTTCTTTCCGTCACATTTACTTTAGTGGTGTAGATTGTAGCTGCTGCTCGCAGTGAAGGTCGGAGAAGTGAACGACTCACGTGGCCCAGGGGTACGCTGGAGGAAACGGAGGTGTCAAGGAGATGTGTTGCACTGTTGGATTAGGTGTGCGGCTGATCCAGGCTTGTTTTTCAGTAAAAAAAAAAACAACCCTCTATTTCCGCTTTCAACGTTAATTCAAAAGCACATGACTAAACCTTTATATACACACAGCTAACATTTTAGGCTTCAAATGTTAAAATGATTGTTGGAGAGTGTTTTTATACATTTATTACAACTAGATGATTTTCTTTTTCTTTTTTCCATCTCATATTCTCACAGCCCTTTTAGCCTCAACTACATCTTTACCCGTAAATAATCTAGTGGTGCTTTTTTGTGGTTTCGATTTTTTATTTTATTCTGAAATATTTTCAGCATAAGTAAAGTAAATTTATTTATCTACTTCTTGTGAAAGATAAACTAAGACAGAATCTGTCCTGGCCTTTCGTCAGTCATTATTTTATTTTTTATTTTTTTATTAAGTTTCTCCTTTGAGTTGTGATTTCAAACATTTTTCATCTCTCATCGTTCCTCTCACATCTCCGTAGAAGACAACAATATCTTGTCATAAGTGGTTGTGAGGTGAAAAGCAAAACTATATGCTTCATGTATATCCAAGTGCATTGTTAATACAAAAAAAAAAGAAAATATATTGTATTGGTTTATTTGAGTATAGACATAAAAGTAAAACCTTCCGCATCAGGATGTTTGTCAAAACAAGCTTGTATAAAAATGATATTTGGTCATCCGGTGGCAAGTTTCATTGTGTCTGCAGACAAACAATCAAGAATTATTCTTTCCGTGATAGAGAGCACTCCAGAAGGAAAACTCAATTATTAGAAAGGAACTTTTCATAACCTAATGTCTGAAAAAACTTTTAGTAGAGAACATTGAAAATAGACATTTAAAAAAAAATAGTGTGAGACAGAGGCTTATAGATTAATGCAATGAATATAAATTAGGGCAGTCCATCAATTAAAGTGATTAATCATGATTAATCACAGGATGGCTGTGGGTTATTCATGATTGTTCAAGATTAATCATGTTGGTAATTTATCATGATTTATCATGTTATGGCCAAAAAACAATCAAATGTTTCTTTGTTCTGTATGTACAGTATGCTGAACCAGAAAGACAAAAACAGCAGGTTAAAAAAAGGTTATTTTTGTGACTAATCCAAATAATGGAATTATTAATGTGGGAAAATGTCTCAAAACATGCAAAACTATAATTAAAACCTTTTTTCTTCAGAGAGTCGGTGGTCTTTAGTCATTACTCTGTATCTTGACCGTGGTTTGTAGACCACAGGCTGAGTTAATCTGGTGAGGCCTTTGTCCTCAGTGATATTAATGGGTCCACAGACCCCTGCAATTCATTGTCAGCTTGTCCGCTGTATATTTACTTTACGTTACGTCCATGTGTCTAGAGCAACCAGACCCAACAAGAAATAAACCGTGTGTATTAAAAAAAAAAAAAGAAATCTAATGACAGACATGGTTTGAGCTAAGGTTAGTCTGGGAAGGTCTCCCCTACATGCACCTCAATCACACACCTGCAACACCTAAGAAAACGACCCCTGGGGTTGTAATATTACTCACTGCCCTGCGCCCAAGGGCTGAAATTTTGGTATTACTTCAGTCACTTTCCCAGTTTAATAAAATCTAGAATGTGATTTCTTTATGAATTGGAAATCATATCTGATTCATTATTAATGTTTACATCTACATATGTGATACACTGTCGACCACCTCAGCTAATACTGGACCCAGCTCTACCAAGATACTATTAACTTGATTAAAGTGTTCAATGGTGAATAAATACATATTTAATCTAGATTATGAGAAAATGTATAAAGTACTTCTTATCTGGGGATATTAACTCAGTAAGTCAGTTTTAATGGCCTCTGTCTCATAGTATAAATGCTAATATGTTACAATGACTTAGAGCTTAAATTCTAGTCCTCTGTGTCCATGCATGTTTTTTTTAAAAAACATTTTTAAAATGATTCTTTAACCTGCCGAATATTTGATTTCTTGTATGTCTAATGTCCCGACCACATTCGAGCACACCAATAGGGAGGTTGACACTATTTTGAACTTCTATAAATCTCATTCTTCCAGGAAGTGGAGAACAGATAACATCCCGTTTGTTCTTAGGTGCAGTGGTTCCCAGCTTTCACCACCATTTCTTTAATTAGACGACAATACACAAACTGAATTTCTCTGTTTGATTTAATTGTAACATTTTACATAACCACCAGATGTTGCTAAATCTTACAGTGCAGTACACATGCCCTTTAATGTAAATACATGGATTTAGTCTAGGGGATACGCCAGAGTACCTTGGATGAAAAACTAAAGAGCTCTCAAGTCGTGTACTGTTTTTATTTAGAGCAGGTTTGTCTTCATTGATTTGTTTGGTTTAAATGAACAATTATCTTCCCAATCGTCCCATGGCTCCTGTCAGACTATTTTGAATTACCTTAATACTTAGGCCTTATAAAAAGAGGTCTTTTATCTTTTCACCATGATTAATCAATAGGTCATTATTGGATTTTCTGCAAGCAAAAGCAGGTTCTGTAGATTTGCAGATTAAACCTCTCACAATGTAGTCTTGCAGTTCCAAAACAATGATACAGTGTGTTGCAATTATTTCAACAAAGCCCAGCAGTCGGTGCATCTAAATTTACTCCTTAACCGTGCCTTTCTCGATCCACATTTGCTGCAATCCAACGTGATGAATGACGGACATTCAATCGTTTTCCACGGCACTGACAAATAGGGCTCAGTGTGTTTTTTCCAAGGGGCAATTAAAAAACACATACATGCACACACACAAACACACACAGTAGTCGTAGATCAGTTTGTTTTCCAACTTGGAGTTCCCATATCCTGTGTGTATTCCTTTCACTTACTGAACGCTCAACACACACTGCCAATGGGTAAAATAAAATCCTTAGGTTGTAATTACATGCCGTTCATCCATCCGATTCATGGGTGGTTAATTTGGCTCAGCCCCGTCTGATCAGGGACTTATGGGTAGACAGATTACTTCTGTAGAAGAGGCAAAGAAATCTCACAACTGAAAAAAACAAAACAAAACATCCAGGTTCAGCAAAACATCCAAATGGACCATTTTGTTGCCATTGACAAATGTTTATAGGAGAATAGTCATTATTTTCTTGGCAATTTACTGTTTGGGTTGAAGATTGTTTTATTTAACTTGTTTAAAATTTTTTATAAACAGAAATATTGGAAAAAGTTCCTTAACTAAAAATGTAAGGTAATTTAAATTTGGTTTTCTGCAATCATTTTGGTAATTCATTACTTAATATGCAAGTTAGACAAACAAAGTTACCATATATATATTTTTTTATTTTATTTGCCCATTTTTCAAAAATATATTTGTGATGTCCCAGGAGTTTTTTTTATATAGTCTGGTTATTGTGTGTTAGAGCATGTTGGTGTAGGCCTCTGCTCATTTTCTGGAGTTGCAATATTCAGAATGGTTGTGTAAATAAATTTCACTGTACTTACCTTCACTCCTCTCGGTGTTCTGCTCCTGGGTCAGCCCTGCTCGTCTATATATAGAGACAGCAACAATATTAACCTCTGAAAACCAAAGGAGAGGGTTGTAGACTTCCTACAACCTTTCTGAAACATCTTTTTTGTGGCATCAGAAGACCCACCCCACTTCCCCCCCTGCTGGCAGTGTTAGGTAAGGCCTTCATGTTGTGACATTTAATGTGTCTTCCCCCCTGACCCTAGGGTCATCTCATGTGCCTCCAATACAATCTTCACTACAGTTGCTGACCAAACCTTTGTCGTCTATATTTGTATTGACTGTTCAACATTCCTTTCTACATTGTACCTACTAAGTTACTGCTAATGAAGCCAATGCTAATGAGACCTGTGAATGAACTCGACAACCCATTTTGTAAATGAGTCATTGTAAAATGGCAAATCAATTTTAAAATGGTTGAGGATTCTATGGGCAAAATACTTTTTCGAGGAAATAAATACTAGTTGAGGTTGTATTGAAATATACTGTCGAAAATCTTCAGCAAGAAGCTATAGCGACCCACATAAAAAATCACAGAAGGAATCATAACATGCTTCAGATACGTTAGGCCCTGTCAGAAGTTATAAAGTGAAATTTATCACAGGCAGTTAAGATATTGTTCAGATATATATAAAAAATCACATTTAAAAAAATATTTTTTTAGGGTTCATGTCTATTAATGCCTGTTAATGTCATGTCTAATGTTATGTTTATTTGTTAATGGCAACTGAGATCTAAAAAGATTTTACATTAATATATTTTTTTATTATGCAGGTCTTGTTCTTCCACATCAGTATTTTATGACTTGTTTCCAGTAAAAGGTTTACTTGTAGACACAAAAACGGTTGATCAATCAGTCACACCATCAGAAGTTAGAATTTGACCTCATGTTGTTGTTCTTTCCACAAACCACTGACCCGTTAAAGAAAGGTAAGGCACTTGTAAACCTGTCTGAGGTTATTGTTCCAAAGTACGCCATATTTATTGTCACTGTCAAGACGATTTACTCCACATTCACGTCGTTATCTGCGTACTAAATTTGTGTATGTACTTTAAGGTTTGCTGCACTGAAACTAAAAATAATTACGAATCGACAAACTCATTCCCCGTCAGACAAAACGGTGGGAACAAAGTCTGAAGGAACTTTCTGTACAGTTCGTGTTCTCGCTGCTTGCGCGGCTGAAGGAACACTTCCTGTGCGAGAACTAATAGCCGACTCAGACCGGGGTCACGTGTCACTTTCTTCTGAAGTTCACATAAACGCTTAACATTTCCAGGTAAGTTTCCAGTTTCATTTAATATCAGTTTTGGGTTGTCATGGTTTTACGTTGAGGGAAAACAATCGACATATGAAACATGGTGGTTGTTTTTCCTGTTTTGATCACAGCAGCAGGAGAACCATGGGCCGCCTGGATGGAAAAGTGATTGTGCTGTCAGCGGCAGCGCAGGGGATCGGACGTGCTGCAGCAATAGTAATGCGCTTCAATCAGTATAATTTATACCAGTGTTACAACTGACTGCGTTTTATTTATAAAATGCATTTAAGATATCCCTGAATGCAAACTATTTGCATATTTCTACATAGTTGCTTTTTTATATGTGTCATAGGTCATGTGATATTGAATGTTGCCAGTTGTCACCATACACAAAGTAGAAATTCAGTACCTTTGTTGTCAGATGAAAACATAGTGTTAAGACATTTTTCATGCACAGTCCTCTTTGCAGACAAATAGCAAACAAAACACTTGAAAAATACCACACACACACACACACACTTGTTCATATTGGGTCATCACCACATTTTTTTAAACCCTCATCTCTATGACGCTTTATCTTGAGGGCTTGGACTGTGGTGGCATTCAGATAGAAAGACCAGAGTAGTCCATCTACGGTGTGTCACACCATTAGTTAGTAAATGATGTGGCGTTATCAGCTGCATGTGGTGCTTGGCCTCGTGCGTTTTCTATGTAGAGCTTGAAAGGCGTTTTTCGTTGTGTGGTGGTTAATGATGCTGTCTCTCTATCAGCGTTAGCCTGACCAAAAGAACAGATAGACAGTAAAAGTATTATCTGTGAATACAAGAATAAATGTGGACTGAAGAACACCGACATGTCAACAATTGGTAAAAAGTGCATAAATCAATTTTATTTCTCTTGTTTTGTGTGCAGGCATTTGCGAAAGAAGGAGCTCTCGTCACAGCAACAGACGTCAACGGGGAATTGCTGAAAGAACTCGACGGGATTCCAGGTAAAATTAATATCGCTTGGTGTGAAGCTGCCATCTGCTGGTTCATAGCTGCAAAACAGCCACTACAACGTAACAAAAAGCACCAATAAAAATGATTAAGTTAAATGTTTAAAACTCATAAAAGAGAAATTCATACCTGGTCCAGGTAGCAGTAGGAGCCTGTTGATATGCACGCATTATTGAATATGCTGTCATGCATTTAAAATTCATATTATATTCTAAGGAAGTAGTCAAAGGAAATAAGCTTCGCTGACTTTCTTAATTACAAGCAGCAGACACTTAACATAGGCAAGCAGAAAGCAAATAATTAATTAATTTAAAGTAATATATTTTTATTAGTGACTGGACAGCTTTCCTCCTCATTTGTAGGGATAAAGACCAAGGTTGTGGATGTGACCAAGAATGACCAAGTGGAAGCTCTGGCCAAGGAGCTTGACCATGTAGACGTGCTGTTCAATGTAGCTGGGTACTTCTCTTATTCATTATTCTATTAAGCTTTTTATGCAGTGCTTCATTAACGATGGAGTGATGCATTACTGTCTAACTGTATGAACACAACACGAGTACAAAGTCAGATTTGCATGTTAGTTAGACACATTCATACTTATATTTTGTACACAGTACACAGTAATGTACACAGTAATTTATAGTCTAAAGACACTCGGCTGCAAAGTTAATTACACGTTTAAAGTTTTTCTTATTACACAAAAACTAATTTCTCATTACATGTGTAATTTTTGATGGAGATTTATTTTAATTGCATATTCAAATTGGCGGCCAGTTACAGAGAAATTCAAATTTAATTACTAATTCACATTTACCTCAAACAGAGTAAATTAACATTTTATTACCTGTTCGTATTCTTTTAAGTGTACACTTGCAAACCACTAGCATTACTGATATTATTACATTCATAACATTTAAAAAATGGCCTCATATTTTTAAGTTTGCTTCTGATTACATGGACAAATTTGTAGAATCCTAAATTCCTGTTCCTGTTTGCCACAGATTCACATAAATAATCATTACTGTCACTGGTTTGACCTTTATTTGAGGTGGAGATGATTGATTTGATATTTATGTGAACAGCTTTGTGCACCATGGCACCATCTTGGACTGTGAAGAGGCCGACTGGGACTTCACCATGGATTTGAATGTCAAGAGCATGTACCGGATGTGCAAGGCTTTCCTGCCTAAGGTAATCTTTGCCCACTTCATTACAGAGTTTATCTAGTTTAATCTGTGGTTGAGCAAATGGAATGGGTTGGTGAATGAGTGACATATGTTCATATTTGTTCCCCATCCTTTGTTCACTGGGATTACCTACAGTACCTTAAACCCAATCCCTAATCCGGCTTCAGCTGCAAACTCACCACAACGCAGCTTTGAGGAATTTGAGTTTGAATGATTTTTGTCCTACAGTGAGGAATGTTACACAAATGTAATTTACAGTGACCATCTTGGTATTTATTTATTTTAGATGTTGGAAAGGAAATCAGGAAACATTATCAACATGGCCTCTGTTGTATCAACCATTAAAGGTACAAGATATTCCACATGTTGTCTGTTCCCTCCTGAAGACACACTGAAGTATGACTAAGATCACTGTAATCTTCTTAAGATAATTACTCCTTATGTGGGTCTGGATGACTGACATGTTTTGTTTTTTTTAAAACAGGTGCTGTCAACCGTTTTGTCTATGCTACCTCAAAAGCCGCGGTAATAGGGTTGAGCAAATCTATTGCGGTTGATTTCATCGAGAAAGGCATTCGTTGTAATTGTATTTGTCCCGGTGAGTAAAAAAAAGGCACATTATCTAAAAGAATAATGTCAAATAATATAAACCAAACGTTTTTTTTAATTAACGTCCCGAGATGCCTTATAATGAAGGCACTTTGAAACCAAGTCTAACTGTTGTTTGTTATTTCCTCAGGTACGGTCGATACCCCATCCTTGAGAGGCAGGATCCAGGCTCAACCTGACCCAGAGCAGGTACAGTTGAACTTGCTGCAATGTTATACTCATGTCATCTCTGAAACCTCATTATGTTACAAGGTAAAGCCAATCCTAGCTAACATTAGGCTATCTAAATAGAAAGAAAGCACTCACTTTCACATCTTACACTACCTATTTGTATGGTTGTTGGCAAAACAAAGGATCAGGACCGTATAAATCTAAAAATGACATTTTTATGAAGCCTAGTCTGTACAAACAACTGCCAACTTGGTACGACCATGTTACTACTGCTACCTTAATTAAAATGCCACATGTATAACTCCTTGTCTGCAGGCATATAAGGATTTCATGGCAAGACAGAAAATTGGCAGAATGTGTACAGCTGAAGAAGTGGCTTACCTGTGTGTTTACCTGGCCTCAGATGAGGTGAGTGCAGAGGTCATATAATGTCACACACCAGCAGTCAGATGTCTTAACGACTCTCTTAAAAACCATTGTTACTGAAAATGTGTCAGTATTCAAACTATCTCTCCCATGTGTTGGATCTTCCACAGTCAGCCTACGTGACAGGAACTGAACACATCATTGACGCAGGATGGAGACTGTGAAAACATTGTGGCAACAGTGGAGTCACTTGTTTGCAGATGAAGGAATTGTAAATGAAGAGTGCACAGTATAATTATTTTGCTTGTACCATAACATGGCAAATGCTGGTAATTAGAGAGTTCCCAGACAGGAGAGGTTATTACTCATCAAAAATCAATAATTGTAAAAATAAATAAAGTGCCTGCTTTAACAAAGCACTTTTTCATATAAAAAATAAAAACTGTGTACAGCATTGTCAACTCTGAACTCTGAAAGATTCTCATTTTTACACTCCCTGTGTTTTCTCTTTTTTTTTCCTGTGTCTTCTCTATTTCATTATTTGCATCTGTCTGCACTAATCTCTGCCCACAACCCAGTGTATGATTAATGATTTGCTGGGTATGTTATTAATTAGATACTTGACAACATTATTAGTCATGCAGACATTTTAAAACACATTACAAGAAAGCCATTAAATGAGAAACTCACTTTGTTTTTCTGAGCAAGTCATGGTCAATTAAGGTCCACATGCTGGACCTTCAGGTCCCTTAAAAGCCATTACAAAAGCACAGTGCTATAATGCACAATGTCAACTAATTATAGATCGTTAACCAGAAGAGGACAAACTTTTAAAATTTTAATTCTCCCCTTGGACTAAAGACTAAATGATTGACTAACTTTTTTTTTTTTTTTACTCATTAACACTGCTGCTCAGGAAAAACCACAAAAAGGCCTGGCTGATCAATGATAAATGAATTGCATAATGCCTGGCAGGAAAACACTTGATAACAACCTGAAGGTAAAATGTGCACACATATACACACAACTCCAAGTTTGTGTCTCCTTTGGGGCAATTCAGAGACCAAGGGCACTATCTGTTATCTGTTGCCCTTTGGTATTCATGTTCATAAAACATGATAAGGTGAAGCACTGTTGGTATTGGCTTCTTTACTTTTACTACAGTATACTGATTCATCTCAAAATGTGTTGTGCCTTTAAACTCTGTTGTGTATGTGTCAAACCTGCTGTTGTCAAGACCAAATTTCCACTATGTGGGATTAATAAAATCTAATTAAATCTTATACTGTATTTTTTGGGCTTCTAGTCAGTTCTTCTGTCCCTAGAGTCAATATTTGACTTGAATGAATTTTCTCTCGTGTCTTTTTGTTTTCCTTCTGTCTTAAAGCTCTCTTTTCAATGTCCATTGTCAAATATGTCCACTGTCTCACCACACTTCTTTTTTCCTGGCCACAGTCACTATGCTCATTAGTGGTGATGACTAAAAATCACACATCTAGACCAATAAACTACAAGAGAAAAGAAGGATACTGGAATGCAAAAACTACTTTTTGGCTTCTGATGTATGTGTGATAAGCTATATATTATAAAATTGTTTTAGTGCTTGCTAATGAAGTGTTTTGGAGACATCAGCATAAAGTACTTCCTCGACTTTTTGGTTGAACCCAAATACCCTGCCCCCCTACACATCTAATGCCCGTGCTGGTTCTTAGTCCCTGCCACAAACACTCCTGGCTCTCTGTAATCCGCCTGATTCCACTTCACCAGCTGGTGTAACTGGCTCAGGAGCAGAGTCGGGCACTGCGTGTCTCCAGTCTGTATGATATGAGGTAAGTTATATTCTATAACAGTGGTGTTTGGGGACCCGGGCGCAGGGAGGCAGTATCTGTATTTACAACCCGCTACTGTGCTTGAAGAGTGGGAGTGGAGTTTACCGCTATCCACAGGAAGCACAAAGGTGGCTACCGGCGATACGTCCAATGTCGGACACGGAGAGCCTCGCTTAACTTGGACATTAAAAGAAAGCCGTCTCTCTGCTCATTAACTCCGATCTATTGTGAGGATGTTTGCGCTAATTCCCGTTAGGAATTGTCATGGAAACGTCTTTTCTAACGTCAGGTCAGTTTCAATAATATCACGTTTTCTAAACGCTCATGTCCGATATTGGATCTGCTGTCATGGGTTAACTGTAGGCAATTCGGAGAGTTGCCTTTTTGCCGGCTAAATATTGTTAGCCATGGCTGTGGTTTTTAGCTGTTTTTACGTGTTCATCCAGAAGGCACTTGAATGAAATAAAACTTCAATTAATCCGTCCATTCTCATACGTACAGTTTATTTTGCCTGCTAGCTACCCGAGTATAGATTTGCAGTTGGTCGGTTCTAACCTACTGCTAATGTTAGTTGGATGTGCCATATGGTGCACCTGTAAGCATTGATTAGTGTGCTCTGCTTACAATTGGATTAACTAACGCCTGTCCTCACAGGCAACTGTCAAAACAATGGAGTGACTCGAAGTTGGATTTAACCGAAGTCACCAGCGGAGTGGACATGTCTACTGTGTTAAAGCACTTTGAGCTACACGACTGTATGAAATGTGCTATATAAATAAAGTTGTTATTATTATTACTGTATGAAGTTATCTGGCACCACTTTTTCTTTATACCAGCGGATTTACAGTTGTACACAGGAGCCTCAAAAGACCCTCGGTAGAACATTTTTTTCCTGATGCACTTAATTTCTCTCACGCAGAGGTCTCCAAGACATGGTACGCGAAGTCCGCAGTACATGACATGACATACTGTACTATATATGAACCTGTGTACCGTATTATTTAAGTAGATTAGTACAACTAATTTGCATATTTTGACTTTAAAAGGATAGAACTACACTACAGTATATAAAAATCTAAAATAATGTTATTATTTTTACTGTTGGATCAATTTGCACAACTAACATCACTTTCTTTCTATTATTAGACTCTCCCGTATGAAAAGGAGCCTGAGGTGTGATCTGGACAAAGAAAAACAGGAGTGAAGGGAACTGTTAATCGATGGCCAAACCCATACAGCTCTTATATAAACTTTGACAAACAGAAGTGTTTGGACCAAAGCATTACTGTAGCTATTTGCCATGGAAGACACAAACCCCAAACCACCCACACCAGATCTTAGCCCTGCACATAGTCCTGCTCCTAGCCCAGCACCTAGTCCATTACCCAGTCCAGCTCCCAGCCCCCTGCTGGACAAAATCCCCATACCTTCAGCAAACCATGTTGAGGTAAGATATTTTAATAATTCCACACTTTACTGTATTTGCATTGACATAGTCTTGTCTCTGGTCATTCAGGGATATCCTGGACAGATGTGTATCTTTATCCACCTATATGCAGTAACCTATACCGACAATGGCTATTAGTGATTCTCCCCAAGATATACGAATTGCACATTTTGTCAGGTACAGAGCAGGTGTGTGGTTGTTAGCAGTGTGGTAGCACATAGTGCGCAAATTTTGAAATGAGTTTATGTAGACTAAGCTCATTCAGGGATATCCTGGACAGATGTGTATCTTTATCCACCTATATGCAGTAATGTACAGTAATGTGTTTGAAATGAGTTTATGTAGACTAAGCTAACCTTGCTAATGTACTCACCTTCTCTGCTTCTTTGGGCTTTGCAGATAACTCTAAATCTTTTATGCTGTAATACTGCCACCTAGTGGTTTAATTTTCCACATGTAAATATATAATCTAGAGGAGATGTCATTAACAAAAACACACAAAGAGAGGGCAGAAACATTGCTAATGTAGACAAACAGTCAGTAAAGACACTACTAATATCTGAAAAGTATTAATTAATTTATCTTACTTAGCCCTACTATAGTTTTAAACTTATCTGTATCTGTGTTTTATCTGTATACCTGTATATCTGTATTTTAAAGGACATTTCCCCAAAAATGCAATTTCATCATGTCCTTTTTAGTCATTTGGAAATATTGGTAATACACAGAAATATTTAAAATGTCATAATTACTCTTCTTGTTCAGCACCTCAATGTAAGCCAGATCCAGGTGGTGGTGCGACGTGCTTCCACTCCAAATGTAACAGAGGAGACAACATATTTTATTCCTCGAAACCAAGTGGTGGACGCAGGCACAAACACAGACCCCCCTTTAGTGTGCTGTCCTCTGATCCAGAGATATTGCCCATGTCCACCAAGAGGCATCCTGGCCTCTCTCATAACCAAAGGTAATAAAGCATGGGAGGATCAATGATGGTAAACATCAGAAATATGATAAAACAATCTCTCTTTGTCCTTTCGTAAAAGTGCAGTTACACCATTTTTATCATGTATGTCTTCTCCTTCCAGTTATCTTGGCAGGCGTCCTCTTTGGTGTGATTTGGTCCATCACAGTGGAGGAATGTCTTCCAGGGGGAAACTTGTTTGGCATCACAGTCCTCTTCATCTCTGCACTCGTTGGAGGCAAACTGGTGGCTCTAGTCCATCTTCCTAAACTTCCACCCTTCCCTCCATTATTAGGTGAAACTGAACACACTGTTTATGCCGATTTTATTTAATTCAAATGTATTTGTTTTAGATTAAATAAAAATATCTATAATGAATAATGAATCTTTGCAGCAATTTAAGATTCTGTTTCCACACGTGTTATGTGTAATAACAGTAATTTAAGTCTCCTTCTCTGGTGTGCAGTTTAGCAATGGGAAGTTTGAAAAGCAACAGGGTGCTTTACTCATTTTACTTCATTTCAGGAGAGAATTGTGAGAAAATGAACCAAAGTCTTCAAGTTCAACTAGTTTCTCACATTCTCTTTAACACTGCAGGTATGCTGCTGATGGGCTTCACGCTGAGGAACATCCCAGTGATAACAGACAGTGTGTACATTAACACCAAATGGTCGGCCTCACTGAGGAACATTGCTCTGGCTGTCATCCTTGCCAGAGCTGGTCTGGGCTTGGACCCATTGGTATGTCTGTTGTTCTACTAATGCACATCGTTAAATACATACAGAACTGGTGGAAGTGAAACAAATGTTCCTCCATTCACTGTAGAAGTGTCTGCATGGAATTTATGTTGGGTGTTCTTTTCCTAACACTGATACTGTATGTGTCCATGTTTTCAGGCCCTGAGGAAACTGAAGTCTGTGTGCTTACGTGTGGCCGCGGGTCCGTGCCTCATAGAGGCTTGCACCATAGCTCTCGTTTCTCACTTCCTCTTGGACCTACCCTGGGTGTGGGGCTTCATCCTCGGGTAAATATAACACTACTCACTCTTTTCCATTGTCATTCACCCTAAAAGTGTGTTTTCCTGATGGAACAGGAAGGGTTTATTTCCAGTAGTCAGTACTTTGACAACTTCCAAAATCTTCTGTTCGTAGTTTTGTGCTGGGTGCTGTGACTCCAGCAGTGGTGGTTCCTGCTATGTTGCTGCTCCAGAACGATGGCTACGGTGTGGAGCAGGGCATCCCCACGCTGATGATGGCTGCGTGCAGCTTCGACGACATCCTGGCCATTACTGGGTTCACCACATGCCTTGGCATGGCCTTCGCTACAGGTATACAGCTGATGTGATTCTTCATCTTCTTTGCTTTTTCCATCTTTTTTATCATCTTTCAGTGAGCCATCCATGCATGTAGTTCCTCAGCAGAACAGCAGAGGATGTTAGTGAGCCATTATCAAATCTCAATATTTTATGACATTTACTTGATGCAAGGCTTTATCCCTTCCCTTGAAATTTTTTTTTTTGCAGTATAGGAGAACACATTTACTCAAAATGACTTTAACAAAGCTTCCAGTTAATCTGTTTCATTTTCCCTGATTCTCTCAGGCTCCACTTGGTACAATCTTCTGAGGGGGTTGTTGGAGGTGGCTGGTGGGATGGTTGCTGGGATTCTCCTTGGTTTCCTCATCCAACATTTTCCTAGTGTTGACCAAGTGAGTGTCGCTTTTCGATCTGCATTAATTCTTGTACTTTCAGACATTAAAAAATACAATGTGTTTTCTATGGTACAAATACTACTCTTTTGTTACCTGATGAGAAACATGTTTTTCCAGTTTTATGAAAAACATCATTCTTAATTAAACAAACGTCACACTCTTCCAGAAACACCTGGTGATGAAGCGCTCCTTCTTGGTGCTGGGTCTGTCCGTCTTTGCCGTGTTTGGCAGTGGTGTGGCTGGCTTTCCCGGATCCGGAGGCCTTTGCACTCTGGTGTTGACCTTTCTGGCTGGGCTCGGCTGGGGTCATGAGAAGGTAGCAGTTTTTTCTTTCTGCCATACGTTTCCGTCTGTCAGCCTACAATAATGTGTTTTGGGTTGAAGATGTTGTCAGTGATTATAAAATTGATAGATGGTGTCAGTCCCATTGGAACAACCCATTAGGAAAAAACATTTCCTCTTCTGACAGTGTGTCTGACAGCTGAATGCAGTTGCTGCTGCTGATTTAAAAGTTCATCTCCCGATTTAGAGTAAAACTGCAGAAACTGAGAGATACAAGCCACAAAGGAAACATATTGAAATCAGTGAAAACCGAAAGGTGTAAAAACTAAAGATGGCTAGATCTGATAATCAGGAACAGTATCAGACACACATCACATTTACAGCATTGAACAAACATTTGTGCTGTAAACAGTGACATTATCACCTTAGCAACAGCAGCCCAACACCATGCTGGAGGTATCAGAAATAATTTGGTATCAGCAGATACTCCAGTTGCAGTGTCAGTATCAGCCATGAAAAAGTTGTATCGAGCCTTCCCTACTAAAAACTTGAAGCTATTTAACATGAACAAAACAAAGCAATACCCTGACAGCAGTGGGGGTTTCACATATCGAGTTGCTTAAGGAGACAGGCAGCCTTTTATGTAACAAACCTCAGTTCTTTGTACATCTTGTTTCTCTTAAGGCACGGGTGGAGGAAGTGGTGGACTGGGCATGGGACGTGTTTCAGCCGTTGCTTTTCGGACTCATAGGAGCAGAGATTCGTGTCTCTGAGCTGGAGGGACACACAGTCGGTGAGACACGCGCACAGTCCATGCACAATTCCTAACACAGTATGCGATCGTCACAGTGAGAGATGCAAATGTCACTGAATGTAAGCAAGATTTGCTTAGTCAAAAACAAATTCCAGGAAGAATATATTTTGCTGTCAGTGAAGCTTACCTTTTTTTTGAGTGTTTGTATATATTCACAGTGTACTTCTTCAGTAATCCCATAAAGAATTGGAGTTTAAAGAGCAACATTTTTGGGATTTTGGGACAATATCTTAAAATACAAAGTTTTAAAAAGACTTTAAAAAAAGAGAAAAACGGTGAAGTTAACAGGGTTAAACAGCCACGGAGCAGTCGTTGATGAGATTTTTATTAAGAAATACATTTGTTGATGTCAAATAAATGTTTTGGTTCTGTCATGAATTTTCATTGTTAAAATACAGCAGGAAAGATGTATGTCTTAGGTTTTGTTTTTCTGGTTCACAACCTCATGGGTAGGACATTTAGATGAGGCCATCTGATGTGTCTAGTAATTGATAAAGAAACGTCACTTTGTGCACTAATTTGATTACTGTGATTACTTTTGTAATGTTTCTTCCTAGGTTTGGGTATTGCCTCGCTGCTCATTGCCCTTCTGGTGCGAGTTTCGTTCACTTTTGTGTGTGTGTTGTGCGCGGGTTTTAACCTGAAAGAAAAGCTCTTTATCGCCATCGCATGGATGCCCAAAGCCACAGTCCAGGTATATCTGTGATCAGTTTTGTGAACAGTTAGAGGTCAATAATCTTCTGTTGAACATCAGCAGATCTAATATTTTGCAAACTTTTAAATTTAAAGTGCATTAAAACAATGTAGTACCAAATGTCCTTTGCGCTAATTCATATATTTTTTCCCCCACGTCAGGCGGCTATAGGCTCCACAGCGTTAGACATGGCCAGAACAAAGGATAGCCCAGAGCTGCAGGTATATGGCATGAAGGTGCTGACAGTGGCTGTGCTGTCCATCCTCCTCACAGCTCCTGTAGGAGCAATAATTATAGGACTGTGTGGACCTCAGTTACTGCAGAGACCCAAGAACTCTGCCTGTGGTGAGCGAGTCAAACCCAATCTATCAGCCTTTTTCTTAGGTGGGTAAAATCAAACAATTCAACTCGACCCAGCTACCTACCTAGCTTCACCTCTACTCAAGTAGTCGTCCATCACCTCTTCCTTCAGATCCTTCCCTCTGTCTATGGTAGTAGATGTGTTGCTTAGACAGTTGAAGCTTCAAGATTTACACAGACTCAACGCTTCATGGTTTTTTTTTTTTTAACAAACCCCCATCTCCAGTTGGTGCACTTCAAATGAAAAATAATCGGCATCAGGAATGTGCACACATGCAAATACTGTCTATTGTTAGGATACATGTCTTGTCTATGAATTGTTGTTTGCCTCTATATGTGGCCTGGTGATGGACTAGTGATGATCTGGCTGTACACCCCAACAAACCCCCTTCCCACCTTTCCACCCAATGACAGGCTCAACCTACTGTGACCCTGAAAAAAAGATTAAGATGTAGAAGATTAAGGATCATTCAACACTGGTTACAACTGTGACTTTCTACACAGTGCATTCTTGCAGCCTGCAGTCAAGAATCTATTGAGTGTCTGCTGTCTTGTACCTTATGTGGAGAAAAAAAAGATAATAGTTACAACTCTGGAGCAAATCAGGTCTTTCATAATGTGAACTGAACATGAAAAAAGCTAAAGCTAAAGCTCCTCTTTTGGTTGTTTTAGTATTATCTCTAAATCAATAAAATATAATTGGCTCATTGGAAACAAAGTCTGTTGACCTAAGGTTGCACGTTTGTTAAAGTCACTCATGCAAATGACCTGTCTTTAAAAAGTAGTTTTACATCTAATGTTATGTTGCCTAACTTCCTTCCTCATTTTTTCACCCTGCAGGCACTGAAGCTGGAGGAGAAGATGACGACGAAACACCAGTGAGTTATGAAAGTACACTCTGACACAAGGTGTCCTCGTCCACCAAAGAACATTAGAGAACACTAGAGACATGTCCCCACACCTCAGACACCTGGGTGTCCTTCTCATCTTCATCCCAACGACTGCAACAGAAATGTGTGTGTATGCCCGTATTCATGGCCTGGGATTGTTACCATCCAAACGAATGACATAAGCCATATCTTTTGCTGAAAAAGTACTCAGTATTTGATTTTTTTTTTACTCTATTTACTAAATATGAATTAGGTGTCTTTCTTGTTTGTTTAGTTTCCAGTAAACCAGAAACATAACTCCAGATGAAGATAAATCAGCTGTTGTTCACAACCCCAACAATGTCAACATAATCTTTATCATGTAAAGAGCAAATAATGTGTATTTTCATGTTTTTAACTAATTTTTATTACAGGTGTGCATATTTTTTTAATTTGTACCATTTAGTAGCAAATATTTAATAATTTATTTGAAGAATGTATTTTTTAAATTAAAAATGTAGTAAAATGTATTATGTTGAAGATTTTTTTTTTCTTAATCACCCCCCCCCCACCCATTCCCCCACGTATCTGTCCACAGGTAAATTCTCCATGTGAAATGATTGGGGTTCCATGCAAAAGACAGTTAAACTGATAATGGTTGGAGTATCCAGTATGGGTATAAAATTGTGTCCAGCACATCTTGGTCCTTGCAACCAAAGTTTATTTACTTACTTTTACCTACACAGGCTGTGGCTAAAAACTACTATACTGTGAATGTGCACAACATTACGACTGTTTAAATTGCATGGTTAGGTTTCATGAAGAACCCAAAATTGGCAATACTCTGACACATGGGGGCAGGGTTTGGTGTTTCTAAATGCTGTTGGGTCAAAAGTAACATCTGCAGGTACTGGCCCTGAATCCTTCAGAATGATGCAAACAAAGATTAAAAAAGAGGGCTGTACTCTGTATAACTGCTGAGTCATAGAAAATTTTGAACAATTTGCCAACAAAGTCATCCACACTCCATTGGCTTCTCTCTTAAACATGAACCCTTTATGTAGAAAATATTACAGATGAATTACAAATAAAGAAAACATTCCAGCAGGAAGTCAAGTGTATCATGACAAAGATAGTGAAACATTGCGCTACCTCTGAAGGTTAGTGAAGATTAATCGGAATATTACTGCTGTGTTTTGAAATGATTTAAGACAACTGAATATAAAATGCAAAACTTTTAGCATTTAGCATTTCTAGAAAATTCTATCAAAGACCATAGGTAACATCCAATAAAAACAATAGCTTATAAGATTATTAAACATAGTAGGGGTTTTTTTGGCTAAAGAGAACAGGGAAGCCGAGTAAAGGAAGGAAGGGTTAAAGACGACTGAACGCTACATGAGAATTGTCCTGCATGAAAACCTACTGTACAAAATGTTTAATCCAGTTTGAACTAGCTATTTTGAATTTAATTAAAACAGCCGTCTAAAGAAGTTCAACTGAACAAACCTCCACCCTCATTCTTTTGTTATTATTCACCACCTGGTTGAAATTACAATGCAACGTTTTATCTCAAAGTGGTCCCAACAACTTGACTAAAACGTGTTTAAAGTACATACAGTTAAAGTGTTTTTTTATGAGAAAAAACTAAATACAGGTGACAAATCTCCAAACTATTAAGAAAGGAAAAGGGAAGCGAGAGAGAAAGTCCCCTTAGTAACTGATTAAAGTATCTTCTTTTTGAGTATCAGCGGTCCCACGTTGTCTCCAGTTAACTCGTTGTGCTTTAAATGTGACTTGTCACAAACAGGAAACTGAAACAGGAAACACATAAACCATTCACCGTCAAACAAACACTTTTTCTGCTGGTGAGGGATATTCAAATATGTGAAATAACATGTCTACTTACAGTTTTAGAGCGCCAGCAGCGACAGTAACAAACATTTGCACAGTTGAGGTCTTCAATATCTATCTCATTAACCACTTTGGGGTTTTCTTTTTGGATCTTCAGGTTGATCAAACTGTCTTTTTGCTTCTTCTTCTTCGGCAGGAATGGACGAATAGTCAAGTAGCCAAGCAAAGCCAGGATACCCAGGAGAGGCAGCAACCGCAGCCACTCAGACACTACAAACATACAAAGAAAAATGAATAATGTTAAGTAATTAACGGCTGAAATATGCTAATCTTTGCTTGTGTATGCTGCAACAGGTGGACGCTCAATCATCTAAACTGCTGATTATCAACAGGCGACCCATAGGTAGACTCCAATGTCAAATAATAATGTTAGACACAAATGTGATTTTTATTTCATTTCATTTGAGTGTCCAGACCCAAAATATACATTGAGATAAAATAAATGTTTCTTTCATTACCAAGAAAAGACTATAGTGCTGAAAGGACTAGAACCTTCCTGAGGACGTGTGACAGATTTATGTACCTCACAGGGAATAACCTTCTTAGCAAAGTGACTGGTTCTGCTTTTCTAAGCGACTCACAGCTGAGAAGGTGATCAGATCAAATCATCAATTATCACGTATGTGAGCAGTTGCCAAATGTGTCATGTCATGTGACAACAGAAGGCTGTGGAACAAGTTGTATAAAACTGAACATTTTTACATGCTGTGACACGTGTTTTCTAAATGTAAGAATTTCGATCGTTCATATTCAACGTCTCAAAGAAATCAGCCGAAAAATCAAAGCCAGTACGACCAGTAAATGTAATTGTAATAATTATGACAGCTGTTAATAACAGTGTTTTGAAGGTCTTTGACGCCCTAGTCTGGATGTGCCCTGGATCTTCAAGCACATTTAAACATTTAACCTACTTTTTTTTAAAGATCATTTCATGTTCAACCGACATGGTTTAAAAACAGTAACACATTTTCAAAATATATCAGGAACTTGTTTGATCGAAAATTGCATACTCATTTGAGTGCTAACCTTATGAAAGAGTAGTTTGTTCTTAAGGTCAAAGAAAGGGGGCATCATACACAAACTAGCAGAACAATATTTAGCTCATGCTAGCTGGCGTGTAGAGATCTGCGATGTCCCGGTTGAAGTCATCTTTACAGAACAGACAGAACAACGCAACTGCTGATAATTTACCTGTTAACCTTGCAAAACCACCGATAGTGTCCGGGAGCGGCAACTTCTTTAGATAGGCTGGAAGTTGGATTTTTATTATTCTTGAAATAGTTTCTAAGACCATCTTGAGTTGCTCAAATAGGCCGGTTATACTTGTTTAGTTTCTGTGGTTCGTTTCTGTCATTGTATTGGCTCCTGAACGTATGCTGGCAGTACGTACAGTTCTCTCTTTGAACCAAGAAATGTCCGCAAAAGTACACAGACGACTTCAAGAATAGACGTATCAACGCTCTATGGTGGCGGTGAACGTAACCAATTGGCGTTAGAGGAGTTGGTGGCTTCTGATTGGACAACGTAGCATGACGGTGTCGTTTGCTTACTTCATGTACTTCTCGTAATTTTTTCTTCTATCACTTACAATCAATTACAGAAACATTCCTTCATAAAATAAAGTGCTATGTAAATTGTCACATCTTTTGATTTTTGTAAAACAAATATGTCAACTCCTGCAAAAATTATTTATTTGTTTGATCTATTTTAAAAGGTAACTCGGATTCCATTAAAATGTATTACTCAAGTGCGACGGTAATTACATTCTTTCAGACTGCATGCAAGCTCTTCAATAATTATGCAAAAAGGCTTTCCAAAGCAAACATCTACACACTTAAAAAACACAATTTATTAAAACATATGTAGACGTTAGCAAATTTCAAATGAAAGGGGACTCATATGAGAGTCATATGAGAAATGGTAGACCTGGTAGACACAAATATTAAAATTTCAGTGGATTGTATATGAAATAATTTTACGTGGCGCTCGACGTAAAGAACACATGATATAAACAAAAATATATAATAAATTATTTTGAGAGTATGAAAGTCACACTTTCCGGTGAGTGTACACAATATTTATATCCATTACATTGCACAAAATTACACAACATTTCTGCCACATTTTTATTTTCTACTCACTTCATTGTGAGAACAGTATATCCTTGTGAATGATCTAGCGAGTCATCTAGTGGTAAAATTGTATATTTCATGTACCTCCTGGGAAACTTCAGTACCCAGAATTCCTACCATTTGTTTCGGTCCATTTATTCGCCTGGGATATTGGTATTTTCTTTGTCTAATGAACTATAAATACAGCTTTGGGTAATATAAACTAATGAGATAGCGATAGAATAACAGCGTCATTAATTCACTCTTCTGAGCTTTTTAGTTTCATTGAAAATAAAAATATATTACAAGGATATTTGTGGTCAGCTAAAATCCCCTGCTTGAGGTCCTGCGACACTGGTGTCATTGGTGAATGACCGAAGATGTCTCACACCAGGTTGTTTGCCAAGCTGCTTTGTAAGTTTTTACAAAACATTTAACTTTAAATGTAATATCTCTAGCGTGACTATGGTGATTTTGTATGCTTTTAGTCTTTGGGTGAGGTTTGTTAGCTTGAACTATTTTGAACGGACTTTAAAGCTTCACTTATGGGCTGTCAGTTAGCACAGCCTGAACAGCCACGTTAGCTTCCTGGCGAACGTAGACAATTACTCCAGTGGCAAATGGTTACAATGTCTAAGTTTAGACTGTAAGGCCAGGGCATGTTTGGTCTTTGACCTTGTTTCATAGACTAAATACCTCGGCATATAGTTGTAGTGTCAGTGACCATCAACTAAAGATTTGACTTAGGTTTAAGGCTGAATGCTAGCAACGTAATATTTAGCAACTAATTTCGTTAAAGGGTAAATTACTGTTTGAGTAATTGTTATAGTCAATATATTTATTGAATAATATTTATTGAATAATAGTCACGTTGTCCCTAAGCTAAGGCGTTCAGTGAACTTTGCACTCCATCACAACTAAGTTGTCTCAGACATGATAGCAGACCAAAGTTCAGTCATTGGGGTTGTTGTTTTTGCACACATTAACACATATTGTACGTGGTCACTCATTTATAATGTATTAATCTTCTAACGTAACGTACTCATGTCCAGTCTAAACTATACTATTCAACAAAAGTAATTATTTTCCTAACGAACACTTAAGTGTAAATAATTATCCCGAAATACGTGACTCGTTGTCACCCTTGTCCTGTGTAATCGAATCAAACAATATGTTATTTAAAACCTTGGAAAATGGTATAAGTCATCTATAACATGCAGTTGCAGATGTGTTTTTCAATTTATTTGTTTCTATGTAGTTGGTTCAGTTTAGCATTTTAGGTTGGAAAAGCAAACATGGTTTTTAAAGTCAAGGAATTTCTGGACAAATTGATGGCAGAATCACATTTTTTTCTGTTGCCCATTTGATAGTTTGCAATTTTTGTTTAATTAATCTGTATTTATCTATCACTCAGTGCAGCAGAGTGGAGTCAGGCACTGTTATACGGGTACAAGAAAGAATCTCTACATCACCAAGAACTCAAAAGTCATTTGTCAAGGTTTCACGGGGAAGCAGGTTTGTAATGAAAACTTTTGTTGTTACCATCCACACATCAGTTGTCCGTAGTGGTTCACACAGGATTTGGTTACAGTTATAATATTGGGAAATCACACACGTGATTACAATTCCTCTTTTTTTGGTCAAACCACAAAAAGATTATTCAATATCATGTAATTTTCACAATGTCGGGAAAGACTGTGTTCAAATGTGTCTCACAAAGTAATAATACACTTTTATTTGTATACATAAAAACTTTACTATATTTCAAGTGTGAATACAACTCTTTTATTTGAAGAATAAGTAATTTGTGACTGAAATGTTATGAAAGTATTTTTCGCTTATATGTCTACCTTTATACCGTACCGTAATTTTGAGTTGATAGATAATGATTTACTGAATGATGAAAATTAGCTTGGTTTTCAGTGTTTTTGTTGCCATTGTAGATCATTCCCCAATTCCACCAATTTTAATCAAGGACATCTGATTGCCATGACATTTATTAATGTTAAGAGAAAGCAGAGGCACAGTGTTTATGTGAGATCTCTGATTAGTCTCATGAGAGTGTGTTATGTGAATCCTCCATCAACTGCCTGCCTGGATTAGCACAGAGTTGCCTTTTACAGCAAAAATGGACACACATTTATGTCAGTATATTGTCACAAACACAACAGGTAACACACACTGCCACAGACCTGCTTTCTGTGTGGATAACAATCAGGAGAGGCAAAGCCCCTGACAAAGCCAATATGTACTGCATACATGTTTAGTGTTAGTTTCTAGTAGAACTTCCCAGTTGTTTCTGTATCAGTACCACAGAAAAAACAAAACAAAATACGTGCTTACAACAGCAACCGGTCAAGGAGATTTTGAGGGGGAAAAAAACACTTAATTCTCACTGATTTGTTTCTAATCCTCTGTCCTTGTGCACATTCAGTACATCTGTGTTTTTCTAACATGATAAGAGGTTTTTAAATAAGCATTCAATGAACACTGAGCAATTTGAAAAGGATGAGAAGTGAAGCAAGTGCTGTTGAGTGCACATCGTCCTCTCTCTCTGGCTGGATAAGCAAGCCTATTTTTTTTCTCTAACAAATTTATTGTCCCAACATTTGCGATGACAACGACTGGAGAAAAACAGCAAAGTTAGCACAGTGAAAGACTGTATGAGGCTTTAGGAAATGCTGATACGTCGCTTCTTATTCATTTTAATGGGCTGGTTTTAACTTTAACATTAAGCTCATTTATCTACACTTGTAGCCGACACCGTTGGCTGTGTTGATGTTGTTTCAGCATCTTTTATCCCTAATAATAAACTTATTGCATGGGAAAAGAATCTGTATATCTTTGTTCACTCCCTTTTTTGCTGCAATAAAACTACAAGAGATTACCCAAATAAAATAAATGGCACTTTATTGTTGGTGTTGTCCAAACTTCTCTTATATTAAATCGCCATATATTTGAAAACATCTATCAACATTTATTACTCTTTGCTCTATTACTCCTGCTATAATAATATAATGAATCATTCCTAAATATTTTAAAATGTTTTAAAATATTTTATTTTAAAGACATTTGAAATTATCAAATTGTCACAACGAAGGATTAGTAACTACTGTATGTTTTTCTTCTGGAACCTTATGCCTGTCTTGGTCAGATTTCTAAGTATTATAATAATTTTTGTTATTGTTGCTGTTGCTGTTTGTGTTGATACAAATCCACTTGCAGCATTTATTGGACATCAGAACATTTACAGAATCTAAAATCTGTTTGGAACGTTTTTGTATTTTCTTCTGAATATCTGCTGGAGAAAATCCAAAGTATATTTGATTTGATCTGCCTTTTCAATGGAATGTTGGAAGATTAACTGAGCCTGGTATCATTACTTATCTGACAAGGATATTTTGATTCATTCACACCGAATATATTTACCCTTACTTACACATAATTCCCCAAGAGAAGCACGCCGTGCTTCTGTCCTCTGATGCTCTGAGGCGCAGGTGATTGATCCTGGTTGGCAGCATATTTCCTCCTTCCTCTCTGTCTGTAATGATATTTCAAGGTTGATGCTGCAGAAGTGGCTGTACCCCACTTCATTACACAGTGGTGCACATGCTGACTCTTTTTCCCCTTCTCTGCCTGTAGGGAACATTTCATAGTCAGCAGGCCCTTGACTATGGCTCCCAGTTAGTTGGAGGTGTTTCTCCTGGTAAAGGTGGCAAAACGCACCTCGGCCTGCCAGTGTTCAACTCGGTCGTAGAGGTGAGTGTGGCTCACAAGTGTAATAATTAAAGGGTGTGTATGCCATTTGTCTCTGAAGAATGTGTGGATATTTTTTAAACATGAGGTGGCACTATTCCCTTTACTATTCACTTTACAATTTCACTGTGAAAGGTTCTAAAAATAAGTTATTTCTGCCTTAGGCCAAGGAGGGCACAGGGGCAGATGCCACCGTAATTTATGTACCTCCGCCATTTGCGGCAGCGGCCATTATCGAGGCCATTGACGCAGAGATCCCCCTGGTGGTTTGCATCACCGAGGGCATTCCCCAGCAGGATATGGTGAGAGTCAAACATAAGCTTCTGCGTCAGAGCAACACTCGCCTCATAGGCCCCAACTGTCCAGGAGTCATCAATGTAAGCTACAGCACTCACTCACTCACTCACTCACTCACTCACTCACTCTCTCTCTTCTCTCTATCATTCTCACTCTCTCTCTCTCTATCATTCTCTCTCTGATAATTGAACATTTTTGTCCTGCTGGTGGAGTTGAGTGGGTTGGAAGCATGAATTCCCTCTCAAGGCTCCAAATGTAATTCAGATTCAAAGAATTAATATTCAGCTCAGTCCAACTCAAACCTTAAAGGAGTATGTGGTTTATACTGCATTGAGGTTTTGTTTGTTTGTGTTTTCTCTTAGTTGTTGCAGTGTTTTTCTTGAACAGCACAGTATTTTTTGTGTAGTTAGTATCATTTTGATATGCAGCAATAATAATACATAGACAAGAATTCAGAATGAGTTGAATAACTTTTTTTTTTCATTGCAAAACATAGTTAAGGGAAAATGCCAGTGAATGAATGGAAGTTGAATTTCTTGGCCGATAAATTGTGTTTATCTGCAGCCTGGAGAATGCAAGATTGGTATCATGCCAGGTCATATCCACAAGAAAGGACGAATTGGTGAGATTTTTTTATTGGACTATTTGAAAATAAACATGTTATTGCATGTATACACCTTTTTAGTTTAAAGATGACCTAATTTAACATCTGTTTAAATATGTACAGATATTAAAGACTAGTTGAGCTTGGCCATAATCCTACAGAAAGTTTGTCTTTAGGCTTCTGGCATTACTTTATTACTGCTTTGGAGCAGGACCAGTCTTTAGAGTCTAAAGAATATTTTGATATTCGGTAATGCAGTGGTTCCCAAAGTGGGAGGTGGGTCCCCATGGGGGCCCACGGCCACTACAAGGGGCACAGGGCATGTTTACGTACTTTACTTAAATACTTTACTTTAGTTAAATACCTCAACATATTGTAAATTTAATTTACACCTGACTATGCTATTTTTTCCCTGCTAACCCTCTATGGTATCTCTGCATCATTTAAGTTAGTTTCTGACAACCCCTTAATTGGGGAATTGCTGGTATTGCTTTTATTATTAAACATTCATATGTCTTATAAAAGAGCCTGGTCTATAATGTCTGTTTTTGCTGTAAATCAATTGCTTTTGTTTTCAGAGCATACACTGGACAGCTGCGTCAATATTAGTGATTTTCACCCTTTAAACCAAAACAAACTGCTAAATTTGCATGAACATCACTGCGTAATTACAAAAGTAAAGTGTTTGCTGTCTTTCAGGAATTGTATCCCGATCAGGAACTTTGACATATGAAGCTGTTCACCAAACCACACAAGTCGGCCTGGGGCAGTCTCTTTGCGTTGGTAAGCTGCCCTTGTGTGATATTAAATTGGCTTCACACTTAGAAACATAGCTTTTAGGAAAATTATTTTTTTACATAAGTATATGGGTTACAGCTACAAAAAGAGGAAAATTACACAATAAGTGACTTGGGTTTTAACTTAACAAATACTTCAAAATGGCAACTCAGTTATAAAACTGGTACCATCAAGGGACACATCTTCTAGATCAAGTCAATGTTATTTTTTAAAAAGATTAAAAGATATAAAACCCTGCCAATAACAACTTTACCTAACTTTACAGTGCTTATGTTGGACTGAGTCCCGTATGTTAAAGATTGATAAGATTAGCACCATATTTAATACTCATGTAATTTTGACACTGCTAATGCAGTTGTCTTTAATTATTCAAGTTCTTCTTTCTGGATGTTGCCAGGTTCTTTAATGGTATGACTATGGGTCATATTTTGTCTTTGAACATTTCTCTCGTGGAGGTTTGCCCAAATTGTTACGGCCCTTGTATAATTTCAAATAAAAGCATAATTACTGGGCCCTGGTGATTTGGAGGAGCCTTGAAAGTTGTGTTCGCTGGATATGAAAAAAGTGGTGTCATTAAACTGCCCTGCAGAGATGAAAGTCATTTGGGACATTTGTACCATTAAACCAACTTTAAAGAGCCTTTGAAGTAAATTTGAATAATGGTGCAGTCCAATTTAACAGCAACACACCTTACAAAATGTTGTGTATAATAAGTGACTCAGCAAACTATTTGAAAACCTCTCTTTCTTTGCACCTTAAGTTATAGATGAAGTTCCAACTGTGATCAACATGATAAATTATTTTTTTTCAGGATGTGATTGAACTGAACTGGGCTTGTTGTTATGGAACTTTTATTCACTTTCAACACACTTCTAGTCTTCACTTCACTGCAGTTGTGACACAGCAAAAAAGCTCTGCAAAATCTACACAGCAATGCTGGTGAACATAGTGGAGCATTAAATAACTAAAAAGCTTAGCTTGTAAAAAGAATCCCTATGAAATTCTCTACTACTATATGATACTATTACATATACTATATGATAATGAGGGCGAAAAGACGGAATTCTAGGAAAGTGACACTACTGGCATTCAGAGGTGTTTTATATGTGGACTAATGTTTTCTGGACTTATTATTAGTCAATTGAAATCATTTTCCATCAAAATCTATTTAATGGTCAATAGATCTGCAAACAAGGTGCCCTTTGAAAACTGTTAATTTCAATATAGAGTGTTGTGCAAAACATTTGGACAACAGTGGAAAAGGGGTATAAATAGAGAAGGTGAAGTATAGTAGATACTATAGTAGATAGTACATTTGATCGTCAACAATTAGCAAAATGTGGTAAATAAACAAGAGAAATTTAAATCACAATGATGTACAGATTTTTGTAGGTAAACAGTTTTAAAGAAGAAGGTTTGACACTCCTGAGAACTAACCACAATCTACTGTGAATCTGGACTTAACTCTTCATGTCCTCACAGTCCGACTCAGTGATTATTGTTAATCCAGCTCCTGATAGATTTAATAGCAGGACATTAATATTAGAATTTCAGACAATGTCTTGTCCAATGAGCTAAGGTCAAGTGGCACTTGACCTTAGCTGTACACTCTGTCGGGGAAACTGTGTTGTTCTAAAGAGTTGCATCACTTGAGTAGAATTATCATAGGACTCTTTTTGATATTGTTGATAAACCTTTGACATTTTAGATTCTTATCAGAGTGTCAACACAGTTACCACTCTTAGATCCATTAGTCATGAATGTTCCAGTATTCACTGTGAATTTCCTTTTAAAGTAGCACAGCAACTGTTTACTTTGCCCTCTTCCAGGTATTGGCGGAGATCCATTCAATGGCACAAATTTCATAGACTGTCTGGAGGTGTTCCTGCAGGATCCCAAGACAGACGGCATCATCCTTATTGGAGAGATTGGAGGCAATGCGGAGGAGAATGCAGCAGAATATCTTAAACAGCATAACACCGTAAGGAAATAACAACACAGGACACACTCTTTTCACTCCCTCTCTAACAGTTTTTACTCCTGTCTCACTTGGGTCTTTAATTTGCAGATTTTCAGTGGATATAGTGGTCCAGTTAGAACAGACAACCCAATGAGGTTTCTGTTCTCCATGATTACAGCCCCAGGACGCCTCATGTAGTTTCATTGGCCATGTATTTAGATTTATAAAGAATTACAGATAAAACGTGACATGGACCTCACTGAAGATTTTTAATGTTTTGTTTTATGAACCATTTGTTTTGCGGCATTCAGGAGATGAAAACCCAAAACTTCTAAGTGCAGGGATGGTAGAATTGTTTCTTTTAGATAGCTTGGTTAACCTTTTGTTAGTTTTATACTTTAAGTACATTAGTGCCACTTACTAGCCATGCTTTTCACTGTATTCCCAACTCCTATTATTTGCACAAGAGCGGAAATTACTATTTAACACAGTACATGATTGAGGGAATGACTTGGGTCAGTAATTTAATGTTTTGCACATTTTGTCCCTAAATTTGAGGAGAGAATGAACCAGCCACAGCTCTCACCAACTGCCGTAACATTGACATTTCACTGGGGCCATTTATATGTCGCTTTAAAGGTAAAACCCCTTTAACCTTGACGTTCTCCGACCACATAACTCAAAGTTAAAAGTTAATTGAGAATTTTCCCCAAGGTTTGCTTGACACTTTGCATCAACATGACATATTCTGCCACCCCGGCTACATTACGTATTGAATGTTCAGTGAAATTAAAGTTCCCCTCTCATGATTGATTTGTGTCATGCAACATAAAATGTATTGGACTCCAGTTTGAGAAAAAGAGGCATTATACCAGAAAGGTGAAGAGGTATTGATTTCATTATCCATCAGTGTTGCTGCTGAGTTACTGCAGACTGTTTATTATCCCGACACCTTAATTTTGTTAAATTCAAGAAAACAAGCTTGTATTTCCTTCCAGTCCTTGCTGTCAGATTTTATGATGCAGATCATATTTCAAGATTCTGTCTTCATCAGTGTCTGCTGTGCTCGGCACCATGATGATGTCTCAAGAAGTCAGCTATATTCAAGGTTTGCCTGTCCTGTCTTACCAGACGTTCGCAGAATTTTAAAGGCAGATCTTTTTTTTTTCCCACAAAGACCATATAACATGACGTGTCATGCATATCAAGCAGGTCAGTAAATTTAGCACCTAAGCTGCCATGGAGGTTTCTGGACCTTTATTTTCTTTTTTTTTTGCCTCAGGAATTTTAATTAAGTCCGTCTCCACTGGGTTCAGCTAAGCCTGCTTGTAATTCTGTGGAAACAACATGGACATTTCAAGCAGTTTGTGGTCTAGAGAAAAGGTTAAAACCAAAGGGAAAAAAAAAAGTTTCACGTGTGCGAACACAGTTGCAATGTATTTGTTTCCTACCCTCTCTGTAATTGTCTGACTTCTGAGGCTTGTTATTGCTGTTTTTCCAATTAGACCTGGCATGAATATTTTTATATTCATGAACCCAAACCTCCTCAACTGCACAGAGATAGATGAGCTTGCATTTTCATTCGTAATGAACCAAAAATATTCAAACTGATAACAATGGTAATAAATTGATTTTTAAAAGGACTCTATGACTCTGTTCCAACAAACATTGTTAGCAAAGAGGGTCTGTTGAAGAAAGTGTTTCGAGTAGTTAAAGGTCTTTGGTGATATATTTGAGATGAAACACATGAGGGGGTTTGGTTTATTCAGAACGTGATTTGACTCATGAGCCTGGTTTGACGTTAATTTGTTTTGTACGTACGTCTGGGCGGAGAACTGATTGCTGGAAACATATTTACTGCACTCAGAAGTGATATTGCCCGTCCAACTCTTCATTTCCTTGTTATCTGTGCAAGTGTTAATATCTCATTAGCGGTGCATTTCCAGCAAAGGTCCTCAACATTTCTCTGGATGATATATGTCCTACTTCTCTAAATTATCGAATCATCTGGTGTTTGTATCACTTCCCAATCCCCCCCCCCCCCCCCCCCCCCCCCCTCGATGCTGTCTTAATTTAGAGCTAAAATGGTGGAAGCTGTGTGCTGTTTTCGAAAGACCTCACTATATTACTCTGTGGCAGTTGAGGAGAGTCCGTTCCCTCTGTTTCCTAACTGTGAGTTATTATCTACCGCACATGCATACACAGATGCACACCATCCCTCTCGCTCACAATAACGTTATTGCCCAAGATGAAACATTAGCTCTCTTCACCTTCGCAGTGATCTTAACTGTTGAACACAGCATCCATCAAGGAGCAAGCAGTGCAGACAGGTGTTGAGCTAATCAGTGCCTGCATGACTAATTACCATTTCAGAATTGAGATGATATAAAATGGCAGGAGTCCCAATCTTTCCGTACACCAACCCATGCAATTAAATGGCTTGATTGACCCTTTGTTTTAATAATGCTGGCTGAATCGGAGATGGCTGCTGCGACGAGCCTGTTATGAGAGAGCTTCTGTAGTCAGAGGGTGAGGGGTGTTTACCTTCTAATGAATTAATGTGATGCAGGTGCAGAAATTCTGGTCTTTGTAGACCCACCTCTCTTGTTGTGTATTCTCCTTATCCTCCACACAATATATTTGATTTTTTTTACTTGTCTAATGTAGCTGCAAACCCCAGAAACCTGGTATACTATATTTAATTTGCAGTCCAGATCTTTCCATGTCCTTATAACGAGGAAAATCAGACACTGACCGTGAACTTGTGAAACTTAGAAGTGGGCTGCTATTTTCCTTTACCAGTTTCCTTTACCAGAACCCCATCACCAAATTCCAGACTAACTCTGTACTTTTCTTTTTTTTTTTTTGCCTTTTCCATTCAGGGAGCAAATGCAAAACCTGTGGTGTCCTTCATTGCCGGGCTAACTGCTCCACCTGGCCGTAGGATGGGCCATGCAGGCGCTATCATCGCCGGTGGAAAAGGCGGAGCCAAAGAGAAGATTGCAGCCCTCCAGTCTGCAGGCGTTGTGGTCAGCATGTCTCCTGCCCAGCTGGGCAGCACTATGTTCAAGGTGAGTCCTCTCTCCTAACCAGATATTATCATGGCACAGAGGAGTTACTAGAATTATGCTAATGTGATAGTTGTACTTTTAATGGCCTGTGGAAAAGGACAGAACCACATATTAAAGTTTATAGTGTAATATAGTTGTTCTGTGTAGCCCAGTAAAGCACTTATCTAAACATTAATTACAATTAACAGTGAAAGCTTTCTGTCTTTGCCCTGTAATTCAGTTTAAACCTTTTTTTTTCTTTTCTTTTTACCTCGTTCTTAGGGATGAGAACGAGTCAAAAGTAATTTGCCGTACATTCTCCTATCTCCATGATAACTCTGTGACATTGGCATAAAAGTTGAATTTACGTAAGGCAACTAATGCCTGAATGCAATTACTTTGACAGGCAGATGAAGATGGCAAAGTTTTCTGTAAAGGATTTTAAGAGGGTAGAATTATTCATGTGTCACACTTGAATTATTCAGTGTATTTAGCATCGTCGACATGCACTAGCTGACTCTCTAAAAGTGATATTTAACTCATTATAAAAACATAATCCAAGAAGAAGCTACCTTCTCTTCTTGTTACAACAATTCACTCATTAACTCACCTTTGATGACCCCACTGTCAGATTAACTTATATGTTTAACCTTTATGTGTCAGGCAGCTTACTTTTTTTTTTTTTACAAAAAGAATGATAATATTAATAAATGTTGATGTCCTCCCAATCTAGTTAAAAAACAAACCTATACAGTACTATACTAGTATATAATATATAACATATTATATAATAAATAAATGAATAAAGTAATATACGTATTATTAACATACTCTCTCCATATGTATATATATATATATAATATAATAGTACTGTACTGTAACAGTATGTTGCTGAAACTGAAAGCAGGGATAGGAAAGTGTTTGAAATTATAATCTAGGATTGGACGGGCTGATTTAAACTTTTAGCCGTACTGTAAGAACACTGCTGAAGAGAAGGGCAAATGTATATGTAAGCGTGGCAACAGAGGCGTTGCTGCTCCTTTATTTCAATTTATTTAAGGAAGCACAGTTAACAAGATGTATAAAAAGTGAAAGCATGTATTACAACCATTTATCATCCATGAGTTTCATTACCACCGTTGGCCTCAGTGCTCACCAATATAGATTTACACGTGTTCTTTTCTTCTCTCTTCCCTAAAGTTTAATTCATAATCATTGTGTGTAACGATGAAAAACGTGTTTTTGCTGCTGCTCATTTTCGCCGCACACCATAATCATACGTCTCTGTTAATCCCATTGACCTCTGTAATCAAAGTGATAAGACGTAAAAGACATTACGCTCTGGGTGTGGAACACCGTGTTGACCACAGTCGCAGCTGTTCCTGTTGGGGCAGAGCATCTCCGCCGCCACTGACCTGCACCAGCCTCTGCACATGTGTAGACAGAAAAATGGACCCACAAAAAAAGGATACATGCATCATCAGATTTAATTATAGCTTCTGTATTCTTACTTTTGTTTGGCCAAAAGAAATTGTACTTGGGTTTGTACATCAAAAGGTACATGTTGTTTTTTTAAGGATTCATTTAGTTGTATGAAATATCACATGGCTAAAGTAATCCTCACTAATGAAGCCACCGCTTCAGCCGGTGCTCTTGTTCGCATATTTTTAAATATTCGCACCTCAGCACCAGCCATTCATCATCATAATAGTTACAGACTCTTTCTGCCAATTCAGTTGCTGTGTACACAGATGGTAGCATGCTGACATTTTTGCCACCATCTCTTCTGGAAGAATAACATTTTCATTATGGGCTTTTTGACATTTTTGTAACAGTAAAATAAAACATTCTATTTTATTATAGTTCTATTTGTTTGCTGCACTTATAGAACAGTCCTCTGTTTTGGCAAAAAATAAAACTTGAAAAAGAAATCTTGCTTCTAGCACAGTTTGGTGAGAATACAGGTTTGGATGTGCTGTTTGAACAGGCATAGAAATACAGCAACTTAAGTCAAAGGTGCACCAGATACAGATATATTGGAATAATAAAAAGGTCTTGTCCAGTTAGTAAAAAAAGAGTTTGTTTTATTTTTAGAAATACAGTAGAAAAAATACAATTTACCTCAATTTTTGTGATTTATATGAGCTTGGCTGTCCTCAGTCCTGCACCATTTCATGAATATGTCTCCGTCTCTCATAAATTTAAGAAAATCTTGTTCTATCATTCTGACGTACGGCATAAAAAGAAGAATTTCAAGGGAACAAGTTGGCTAGCAGAGCAGATGAATACGTCGTCGTACGGCGCTATACAAGGAAGACAGCTCTGTTGGCATTGGCTGGTAGTACACCATGCATTGGATTGTGCTAGATTAGTCCTAGTTTACGATGTTATCGCTGTTAGCATAGGTGAATGGTAATTTTTACAGTTTTGTTACTGAACTCTACTGAACCTCCGTAAACCACAGTGCTGTACTAATAACACCAAGCTGCAGGTTTATTACTGCAAAACTGCCAATAGGATAAAATGTCAATCCCATTCTATCCCCTACATTCATGCGCACAGGATTCTCCCCACTCCCTTAGTCTTGTACAGTCTATTAACTGATGCTCATGTTGCACCTTTCGTTGAGAAACACTGATTTTAAAATTAACAATTTGATAGAAAAAGTTCAGGACTAAATGTTCGTTCTCTGCCAGCATGTATGCCTTGTGCATCTTAATAGTTTCCTTTGAAAGCCCCAGTGATGCCCAAACCAGTCTCTCGTTAACCTGCTGGAATGAATCGCAGGCATGAAGAAGAATCACTCTCGGCTTTTGCCAAGGGCTACAGCCAGGTCTGTAGTTGGTGCAGTAATTTGCCAGATTTTACCCCACATGCTCTTCTTGACGCAACCCTCTGGGTTTTTGAGTAGGAGCAGCATTGTTAATCCTTCATTTGTTTCAGGCATCAATTTCGTGTTTCGTGTCAAAACGTGTTTCTTCATCTCCTCAAGAAAACATTCCCAAATCCATTAAATGGAACAAAATATGGTGCAGGAGTTGGAGTATCTGAAAACTTATTTTTTCCTTTAGTTTTTCCAGTCACATCCCTAGTCATTTCCAGTTCCAGTGGTGCGTGCACAAGCTATTGGAAAAACATATTTTCTACCCCCCCCCCCCAAAAAAAAACCCAAGAAAGTCCTTCATAATAGTGTGGAATTATGACGGTCTTTTATCTGACGTTCACAGTCACAGCGGCTGAGAGCATTAGCCTGCCTGCTCTATGTGTATTCATGCACACGCAACACACACACACACACACACAGATGTGTGCAGAAATTCTTGGCTCACAGGTTGTATGACTGATGCCATGCCATACATCAGACCTCAGGTGTGTTAAAGCTGCTGTCACAGCTTATAAACGTTCCGTTGCTCATTTGTGTTCCCCTCTGCTCTCCCTGGGTTCCGTGCCTCTTTTTTGAGTGACATCCTCTGCTTTTCTCATTTTACTCCCCTTTTTCTTCTGGACTTGTCAGATGTCTGAGCCTGTCTGACACCAAAAGCTTCAACACCCACCTCCCCTCTCACCCACCTCCCCTCTCACCCACCTCCCCTCAGGCACAAACAGCTCTACACTTACCTTGTTGCTATGATTTCTGCCTTGTACTCCAGTCTATAGAACACAACCACCACCTTTATTTTTTGTCCATGCAGTTTTTTTTTTCTTTTTTCCTCTGGGGCGTTGTCTTCCCTTTATCTCTACTCTAGTGAACTGGGCCACCGTCACCTACTCTCTCTACTCTCCACATTTCTGCCCGTTCATTTTCTCTGTAGCAAGGAAACAATGAAACATTTTCTCCTCAAGGTGGCAGTAGACCTTCAGGTATTCACAAGACGATGAAGGACAGAGTGGCTGCGTGCACTCATGAGCACTTGTGTGTTCTGTAAACTTGATAAATGACATTTGCATTAAGTCGCAGTCCCCAAGTGGAATGAAAATTCTCGGGTACCGACGTATTCTATCATCTCGCGGTTTGTGTGATATTTCCCAAATTGAATATGTAAATAGCTACATCCTTTTTAATGGCCAACATAATGCTTTCTCATTTATAGTAACATGGTTGGACTGTGCTGATAAACACAAGAACTACAACTTCACATAAATCAGATTCTTTTAGATGTGCAGCTCCCATAAATCTCACAAAGTGAGCTGTTTTAATGTTGACAACTGCAACTCACAGACTTGCGTGTGCGACACTTGATTTGCACTGGCACCACAAAAACAAACCATCAGGCTCACTCTGGCTCTCGCTGCCTCATTTCCTCCTGCCCTGCACTCCCTCCCTTCTTCCCTCCTTTCCTCCCTCTCTCCCTCAACAGCTGATCTGACACACGGGATCATAACAGAGCTGTGTGAATTCCACATGAATAAATCATTCACATCTATCTCACTTCATTTCACCTCCTTTTTTCTTCCTCTTCCTCTCTGTAGGAGTTTGAGAAGAGGAAGATGCTGTGAATTTCTGCAGGAGGGCACCCCACCTTTAACACCGTGCCCAGAAAATTCAGAGGAACAGCCCAATGTGGAGGTGGATGCGGCCTACAGGATCAGCCTACCCCGATTACTACAACTCTGAAACGCACACGTTATGTTCATGTCCTTGTTTCTGCCATGATCTTGTACCTTGCACACGAAGATGAAATAAATAAGTGTCTCCATGGTGGTAACCAATAGAACTCATTGTGCACAGTGTCATAGCTTTAGATGTGTGTGATGTTGTTTTTTTCTCTCACCCACATGTTGACAGCTGAAGGGAGATACCATGGTTACCTCAGTGATCTGTTTAGTTCTGCTCTGCTCCTGTAACATATGACCCATCCTCTGTCTCGCAGGTTGTCCACCTGAATATGAAATATTTCACATAACACGTCCTCTGCTCTGCTGTTGTGCTTTTGTGTCTGTTTCTCAGGTGTGATCTCATTATAGTACGTTTTTTGTTTCTGGGTTTGCAGAATGCAAAAATAACCTGGATGCATGAAACCCTAAAGAGAACAAACAGGAATAGAAAAGAAAGGGATCGCTGACAGGAGGTGATTTGTCTTCTCTCTGGAGAATAATTTCTGGATTGTGGAGAAGATCAGATAAAGAAGCTTTTAAGCTATATGTCTTTTAGTTGTCCTGAAGGCTCCCTTATCTCAGCAGTGTAGACTTACATGTGGAGCGATTGCTTATGCCTTTGTTTTGACAGGACTGTTAAAGAAGAGCAGAAATGATTAAGGCCGGTCTTACATGAAACATGGCAGTCAGGTCATGTCCTCATTCATATTCTATGGAGAGCAGTGACAGAAGTACAACGTATGATGGGATTTCATAACATGATAAACAGTGGTTCCAAAAGTTCTGTTGGATCCACTGGTTCATGTCTTAATACTAGCCAGTCACCACGGCAGGTCAATTTCGACTCCCTCAGAGGTGTCACCTGACGTCACCGTGTGTGTCCTCGTCAGCTGCTGTTGTGTACGATGGTGTCTGTATTGACAGGACAACCATCTCTCCTGCTGCCTGGCTGCTCCTCCAGGACAGCACTCGAGGTGTGGGGCTGTAAAATTGCCCTCGATCGGTGAACTGCGATGAGGGGGCATTTTTGCCAGTACTGACCGTCGAAACATGTTTTGATACAAACGGTTTCATAAGGTTGAAGTGATGTCACGTAATTGTATGAAACTCTTCAGGACTCGATGTCCTCCCTAAAAGAAATGTGGAGCAAAATTGTGAGCAAACATAATCCAACACTGAATGTCCTCCAAGTGGAGATGATGTGTTTCTGTCTGAAAATATTTCATCTCTTGCAAGGCCACGTCAGCTTTTAGAGCTTCTTGAATTGAATGTTTTTAAACCACGTCCAACCATCGTAATTAGAACTTTTCCACTTGTACCAATGTCATTTGTTAGTCTTTTCAAACCTTTACACGTCCAGACAGACTGTGCTGTCGCAGCAGCACCTTGACTTGGAGGCAGTTATGGAATGAGATGGTGTTTTATCCAGAGACCAAAGTGACAGGCAGAAGTGAATGGTAGTGGCCAGAAAAACTATGAAGATAGAATGAGAGCAATTATTCCCAGCCTGCTACTCTGTCAGCTGGTTAACTTGACAGCTACAGTGTTGCAAAGTGCGAAGGAAGAATGTTATTCTCCCTCAGTATACAGTCCCTCAAGGTGTTTACCTCTAACTGTATTGAGTACTGAGTGCGGCGGGGGAGCTGGATCAACTCCCGGCAGAATTTCAGCTCAAGGCGGAGACACCCAGGTTGTTAGTGTGTTGTACTGTAGTGATGATGTAAGGGATCAAACGACCTGTAGTCAATGCTCTGTTTCCAAAGAGATTTATTTAAAAAGCCTTCCAGGTTTAAAAAGGCCATTAACAGATCTCAAATTAGAAATGTATTTGTGTTCAATTTTATTATTTGACCTGAATTGTACTAGAAAGGACAACATATCATTAAGATCATCGTCAAGATTCAAGATATGTATTGTCACATGAGGACGTCCAGGTACGCACACAGTGAAATGAAGTTGTAACCAGCACCTGTGTAAACTGTGTGTAGCTTAGAGTAAATTAAATAAAGTATAAAGACTTGCAGCAGAAAAAAAATGATAATATTGAAGATACATAAAATATAAAACATTTGAACAAACAGCAGCATTTGGTGCAGGTGTGCTTGACGGAGCAGCATTATTCTTATTATTCTATTATTGGAGAATTGTGTATCACACAACTAGCTCTTTGTTTTATTCTGTACCTTTGGGGTAGCTCTCTGGTCCCTACTATAGGCACTTTTGCCAAAGACCGTTCGGGTCATGTAGTACGGTGTCGTAAAGGAAATAGAACTCAAATCAGAATGCTGCATCAGATGCTGAATTTGGCATTTGAGTTGAAAGGAAAGAAACAATCTTTTTTTCTGAAATAAACAAAAGAATATAAAGATAAAATTGATATATTTGACAGGCTAATGAATAACATTTGTTAAAATTGAACATTTTTCTATTGTAGGTAATAATTCATGTTAAAGTTTAACCTCTAATAGTCCCTAGAATGCAGTTAGAAAAAATTTAAACAAGCCACTGAGTCTGAGTTCACTTCTTTTTTTTTAAATGAATGCAACAGGAACCAAAGAGTGTAATGAAGCTAATGTTCAATGGGCATCTCCACCACTTATCTTCATCACAGCAGTCAGTACAGGCAGATTATTCTGTGTATGCTTTGTGTTAGCAATTACTTTTTATAATCTGCATGAGTGAATTTACATAATAGCTGCCAGAGGAACGGAGGGCTTATTTGTTGAGAGGCTCAGAAGTTCCTTCTGGTATTGAAGGTACTGAGACGTGCTTTGCTTCAGTTGGTCCAATGCAGTGTTTTAGAAACTTTCTTTCTGAGGGGTGGTGGCCCTGGAGATAAACAATACAGAGAGACAAAGATGAAGAAAACATTATTTAAATCACAAAAGGTTATAGAACATTTCTAAGCAGCCTGAGATTTCACACTGATGACTTTTTGTCTCTCAAATGGAGACAGTGAATATGAAAACTGTATTTTCTACAGCAGAAATCGTCAACAGCCAGACGAGTCATGGGCAGCAGGTCATGCAGAGAAGTAAATGTACTGTAACGTGTTTTATTGATTATCAATGGAAACATTTGTGATAAAAGTAAAGGGGCCAAACATGAGACTTTGACTTTCAAAATAAAAGAGAGTTGCATTTACAGTTTGAGGTAATTTCGTCAGATGAATCTTTGTTAGTAATTATTTGTTTTGGTCACGCCTTGACAACTGATTTGTTGATCCGTGTTAGCAGCTTCATTATAAATATGTGTAGGTGAGTTCTTTTGAATGGAACTGAGAACGGAAAGTATTGTGGAGCAGAGTCTTCAAGGAGTGTGAAAAATGTGGCAAACTTTTCATGTACAAAGCTGCGAACTTGTAAATGTCTGAAAAAGATCTGTTTAGAAAGTGACGAATTGGCAAACCGTTTCTGATAAGTGTTTTTTTTTTTTTTTAATGTTTGATTGTTCCGGTAATTTATTAATGTCATAAAGTCAGTGCCTGACAAAGTTCTTGTTGCCAAATGAATCAAAATTTAAATGACTTTTCTCATTTACGAGCCAACGTCCGGTAATTTATTAATGTCATAAAGTCAGTGCCTGACAAAGTTCTTGTTGCCAAATGAATCAAAATTTAAATGACTTTTCTCATTTACGAGCCAACGTGAACAAAAGAGCTTCACAAAAAACACAGACTGGACCTCAGAGTGATGTAAGATTTTAGGCAGTTTACAGACCATGCAGGGCTGCAGCTCAATCATCTGTCTCTGTACCGGTTTGTAAACAAGTTCTGAATAGATTTTTCTCCTTTCTTCAACAGTTATATACAAGGTCAAAACTAGAACTGCACTGATTGTGAAACTCTGGACCAACACCAATGTTTTTATTCACTCTTTTGTACCAAGAAAACATTACTGAACTATTTTAAAATTCTTTCCGCCCTTTATCATAATATCCTTTAATGAGCACAAAGCGAGAGACAGGGGAGTTACTAGTTACTGCAGTGAAGTTTTAGTCGTACAAAGGACTCCAGATAATCCATTAAATACATTTTGCCCTTCTCTCTTTCTGCTTTGAAATGGATGATTGTATTATTTTTTTTGAAAACCAATAAATGTCTAACTCATTTAAAAGAACACAAAGAAAAGAAATATATAAAAGTGACATCAGTGTTTCTGTGCAAATAGTTTGGAAATTGAAAAAGGTCCGGAGCTGAGCTCGGTTCACTTTTAATTTATTTTTCATTCCACATTTTTCTGTTCTCGCTTCATCACTGACGTCTGCTTCTCTCTACTCTAATGCTTTTCTTTTGGCCTTTGAGTCGGTGAATTCACAATGTAATAGCAGGAAGTTAATTTTGCCAGTCAAACTATGAATGACTGGTCGGAACCACCTCACTGACCTACACTGAGGCTGAGTTCTCATTCTCTAAGGAGAGACAGTCGGGTCAGTCCCCCAGCCCCCCAACACCACCACCATCCACCCCCTGAGTTAAAAATGTAAGAACATGTCTGGGAGCAGACAGCAGTCCTAATGAACTCAACGAGGTTCCCTGAAGTAGCACCTTATTACTGATGTATGTGGGGAGAAGATGAAAAGGTGCCACAGCACGACCGTCAGTCATTTAATTAAGGAGTTCCTAATGAAAGTGACGAGACAAATGTTAGACCAACAGGTAGCCACTCTTTTTTTCTCTTCTAATGGCTGTCCTGTGTTCACAGTGAGTACAAGTGCACGTGTCCACTCATGAACAACTCTGCTTAAAACTATCAGCAGCCCAGACTGCTGCCTGACACTTAGATTAATTATGTTTTCCTACCAAAAACGTTGTGCAGCTCTGGTGCAGGTTTCTAACGGCCCGGCGTGTTTGCAGCCACTGTTAATGAGAAGCTCATGGTCACATATTGCGCTCTTTAGCCTGAAGGTGTGAGTGATCATTGATCAGAGGGTAGTTATTATTATTGATACCAGTGATCCCATCAAATTTTGCTCTGTCACAGTTTCCACTAAAGCGTTAGAGAGCAGCAGAGGAAACTGGGAATCAAACCATGGACTTTGACAGTAGCAATTTGCATGAGGCAGTATTGTTTTAATAGAATCACTGCCTGGAGATTGCTTTGGGAATTGAGGGCAAGAATGAG